AATAAATTTCAATTATTTTCCTGGATCTCACAAATTTATCAAGAAATATTGATTAGGAAGCTGCTGGACAGAGACAAAAGTAATGTTATTATAGGATCTTACGCATGTCTGTCATGCATGACTCACAAGAGCAACAATAAACAGTGATTTTCACATAATTTTCAGCATTTTTCATGTGTTACCTGAGCTGGTTAAATTAACACACACAAGAATGTTTTGAAATGACGTGAAAGCTGGGATGAGATTAGAGATGAAATGGGTTGAAATGGATTTAGCAGAGTGCAGTGATTGAAACGTGAATGGTGCAGGAGAGCTTAGGGAAAGTGAAGGTGGGGAGTACCTGGACGATTCTTTGAGACATCATCATCAGCTATATACAACTCCCAATTCTTAAACCCTACTCAAATCGTACTCTTTTTGGAAAAACCTATTCGTCTCCTGTCTTACTTGTAACGTAATATATATGTATATTGTTAAATTTAAACATTTATATTATTTAATAAATTTTTATAAAGTATAAAATTTATTAATTTTATATTATTTTTGTAATTATGTATGTAAAATTTTATATTTATTTATAATTTATAAATAGTATATGTTGATAGAAAATAATAAAATTAAATATTAATTATTTACTTTTTTCATAACAATTTATAAAATTAATTTATTTAATAAAGAATTTAGATTATTAATTTCGTATTTTATAAAAATATTATTAAGTAATGTACGAATTAAAATTAATAATAATGTCAACTTGTCATACAGGAGTCCTGGCCTGGTTAATTTAAAACTAGTTAGCAACACAATTTAAGTTACTTTTGAAAGTATTTTCTCATTTTATGTTTTTCTTGACATGTTCTGTAATTTAGTTCAATTATTTGAATATAATCATTGTTCTATATGTGAGTTTATCTATAATTTTTTTTATTTCTTAGTTATAAAAAATTTCGCTTTACAGTTTTCTGTTAAAATTGACTTTAATTATACTTTTAGTTTTTATATAAATTTAATTAATTATATTAAAAAATTAATTATTCAAATTAGGTTTCTCATATTAAAAAAATATTCAATAGCTAATAAAAATACAACATGTGCCTTTTTTGGATAAATTGAAAAAACAAAACACGTAAATAAATAAAGAAAGAAATTACTTTCATTATTTTATATATCTTATATACACACGATATCTTTTTCGCTGAGTATACAAATAAAGAATATGTTGTATGCGTATCATTTATTAAATAAAATTTTATAAATTTTAATTTATATAATTAAAAATATGATAGTTAAAAGTGAACATTTAAAATTACATATAAATTAAATAAATAATTTTTTCATTTGCAACAGAGATTTGTCAAAGAGAATTTAATTAGCTGACCAATAATTATAAAATCTCAAGATCTTACATAGTTAAAATATTTATTGTTCTATATATGAGATATTTTCAATGAATTAATCATGATTAGTTACCCATTCATAAATTTGAGAGTTAAATATAATGATATAATTAAAAAATGATGTCATTTTATATAAAGAATATATTAACATGACATGTGTCATTTAAAATAATAAATTATTATTATATTATTTAATTTTAATATCTATTATCGACAAAAATTAATGTAATTAATAATTATTAATTTAAGAAATAAAAAATTAAAATTAAAAATATAAAAAAATTAATTTAAATAATGTTGTAGATTTTAAAAATGAAAGCAAAATTTTACTTAATTATTTTTTAAAAGATATTTAACAAAACATAACTCATCAGAGTTCACGTGTGTTTGTCACTGCATTTTCTTGGTGGAAGAAAAGATTAATCTACTTACTAGAAAAAGAAGAAGAAAGAGGTAAGCACGTGAGCCCACAAGTCTTGTAAGTTGTAACGTCAATGCTTTTTTTTGAAATGACATAAGCGTTTTTTTTCTTTAATCCGAAAGCGACATGAGAGTTGAAACCAATGTGGTGCTCCAAGAATTATTATATCAACATAAGTTTTATCATTGCGTAGGAAGTTTAATATATTGTTGATTTTTTTAAAGCTTTAAAAATTCATTTTATTTTATGCTTTTTAACTTTTAAATTATTTGTTTTTAGAGTGAGTCTAATCAAGTATCTGTAAAATATAAATTAATGACATTTGAAAGAGGAATTTTTAGTGAAATATTGTTTGATTTGCTTGGACAAAAACAAAGAGAAAAATTAAATATGAATTTTTAATTTAATTAAAGAAAAATGAGATTGATTTATGAAATCGAATTATATTTTTAATTAAGTTCCAAATTTTTGTCTCTCTTTTCATTGAACCATACATAGGATTGGATTGAGGATTGCAGTGATCACCTTTTAAATTTTTCTCTAATAAGATGGAAAGACATCTTCATGATATAAATTAACAACCTTGAGAGGAGTAAAATAGCATTCGAGTAAGAGATCAAATGAACTATTGTTGCTTTCTCATTTAAATAATAAAACTCACTCTTAACTATTTATTTCATTTGAAGCAGTGACTATTGTAGATTATCACGAGCCTTTGAATATCTCCAAAGACGGCTGTAAAATTTGAAAAAGGGAATTGTTTTTGTCAATAAAATATATTAAAAAATTGGACCAAAGCTTTAGAAATTTTGTAATTTATAGCATATGATTAAATGAACTTGGACTTTTGATAGTTTTGATTCTAAAATGCATGTTGAAATTGGATTTCAACTAAAAATATATGATAGGCTTCAAAATTAAAAAGATACCTAAGCTTTTGATTGATCGTAAACCGCTAAATTTTTTGCCACAAGAATCTCAAATTAATTATTTCTAAATTTTTAAATTTATATTTTTTCATGAAATTTAACTTTTATAACTTTAAAATTAATTATGTTTGTTTCTCATAATTTAAAATATTTTTATAACGAATGAGATTTTTGTTAATATAAATACACGAGAACCATATTGTTTGTGTAGTATATGGAAATATGTGTACAACGTAATTTATATTTTTGTATTAATTATGTCTTTTTTTTTTATAATGTTTCCTAATCTGTATATAAAATATCGTCGATGAAATATCACTATAAAAAATTATCTTTTATTTAGATGTGTTTGGAGGGCAATTATACCCATCGAGAAGTAATAAAGGATTCTTAAATTAAGTTCTCGAAATATCGTCTCACAAGGATTGATTTCCAATTACTAAGAATTTTTTAATTTAATTGTTTAAGCTTCAAAGATACGAGATTAATTAAAAACAAGAATTTATAAAATCAATTATAAAACTAAAAGCAAGGAATACACTGCACGTCTTGGTTAAACTTATCGGAGAGGAACCTAGGGCATATGAATTTTCTCATTCAATCCTTTATGTTATTTTTCTATTTAACTCTAAATTCAATTTCCTTGTGATTACCAATCATTCATACGAATACTATTAATATCCAATGGTCATACAATATTAATATTCTTTTCTCTAAATTAACATCCTCAATGGTCATGCAAGACATCAATTTAAGAAAGCTTAAGAATCCTATGAACTTGTTAATTTAATAACGATTAGAAGAGAAAGATTAGTTTGGTCCACCTAATCCTTTGTCTTGTTTTACCCTATAGATCTATTAATTAATCGAGGTACGGTCGCCTGACAATATAATTAATTAAGATTAAGAAAGGAGCGCAATAGGATAAAATCTAATCACAAAACGGAAATCAAATTTAGATTCAAACATCAAAATTTCATAAATTCATGAACAATAGTTTCCATAACTCTAGCTATGGACTTAGTTAATGCTAAAGAAAAGAACTAAAACAATCATAAACAAAGTCATAATCAAAAGAAATAATAAACTAGAGTATGAGATGTGTTCCCGGTCTTCAAGTACGATCGCTTGAAGCTCCAAGTCTCTCCAAGCATGAGCCAATGATCCCGTGCAAGAGAGACGAGATCAGATGTATTCTAGAGCAAAAGCCAAGATGTAAAAACGGTGTAAAAACGCATATCCAAGATTATGTGGTATCAGAGCCAGGTTATGAAATTTATGATTCTCCATGAATATGTTTTTTCAATTTAATTTTTGCTGCACGTATATTTGAAATCAGAATTATTTTCGATTATGTGAATTGTATTAGTAATATCTTAATATTTTTCCTACATGAAGATTTACGATAATTACTATTTGCACTGTGATTCTGGAAAGGGTCTCATTAATTGCTATTTGCGTATGTACTGCAGTAAGCTTTTGAAATTGCCGATTTCCAATAATCGTACGATTCCATATTTGATTGTCAATTGCCTTTTGCCATAAAGTATTCATATTATTATTATTATTTTTATATTTCAAAAGTACGTAGTTGCGAGACCCTGACTGAATTATTTGATTGATTGGCATTCGCACTGAAAATTTGCTTTTGATATCAATTAATTGCTAAAAGTCGTACAAATGCATTATTGATTAATTGACAATTGCTGCAGAATTTAGTTCATTATATTATCATTGTAATTGAAAGTCAATTTATTATTATGTCTTTAGACGACTACTAAAATTAACATTGTTGAAGAATAATACTTTGTTTAAGATTAAAGTACGTGATGAATTTTGTTAATCACCAAAGTGGTCAAATTCATAAATTTTATTTAATTCCAAATTGATGATAATTCATTTCAATTACCTATAGGATAATGGATGCTAAACATATTATTATTGGTTTATAGGTATGTATTAAAATTCATTGTTATGATACATTTCTGGGTCACCCAAAGGTTGATTAATTGTTTTTATAATCAATGAGAATAATTGTAGGTAATTTATATGTGCCATTAATTTATTTATATACCCAAAGGTAGTAGATATTTCTAATTGGTACATGTTTCATTGCCGACTGATTGTGTATTATTAGCATCATTAAATGTCATGTATCCTAATGTATCACCCAAAGGAGAACATTAGTATACATTAAATGTTAGAATGTCTTGTATATGTAATATGTGTATTTATGTCTCAAAACACTTACGTATGTTTAATTATACAGTAAATGTTCCCAATATTCTACACTCTAGCATTTCGTCTGTGTCAGTTTTTAATGGGCTTAACTTCTCTAACTGGAGTGAACAAGTTCAATTTCACCTTGGTGTTTTGGACCTTGATCTTGCTCTTCAGGAGGAGAAGCCTACTGATATTACTGATACTAGCAGCAATGAAGAAAAGACCCATTATAAAGCTTGGGAAAGATCAAACAGACTTAGCCTGATGTTCATGCTAATGAGTGTAGCAGAAAATATAAAGACAGCTCTTTCCAAAACTGAAAATGCAAAACAATTTATGAAAAATGTGGAAGAGCGCTCCCAAACTGCTGACAAGTCTCTTGCTAGGACATTAATGAGTACACTAACCAACATAAGGTTTGATGGTTCGTGTACCATGCATGAGCATGTCGTCGAAATGACGAACATTGCTGCAAGGCTTAAGTCCTTAGGCATGACCGTGGATGAAAGCTTCCTTACTCAGTTTATTCTTAACTCATTACTGACTAAGTATGGGCCATTTCAAGTGAACTATAATGCCATGAAAGATAAATGAAATGTGCATGAATTGCACAGTATGTTAGTTCAGGAGGAAACACGGCTAAAAAATCAAGGAAGTCATTCAGTCCATTACGTGAGTCATAAAGGACATCAAGGAGTTGGAAAGAAGGTTATAAAGAAGCATGATAAGGGCAAAGGGCCATTGAAGATTAATGAGGCCTCTGCACAAATCCAGAAGAATAATAATGATAAAGATAAATGTCGTTTATGTGGAAAATCTGGTCATTTCCAGAAGAATTGTCTGAAACGGAAAGCTTGGTTTGAGAAAAAGGGTAAGCTCAATGCTTATGTATGTTATGAATCAAACTTAACTGAAGTTCCACATAATACTTGGTGGATTGATTCTAGATATACAACTCATGTTTCTAACACAATGCAGGGATTCCATTCGATCCAAGCCATAAACCCAAATGAAAGGTTTGTGTTTATGGGGAATAGAGTGAAAGCTCCAGTTGAAGCTGTCGGAACTCATCGCTTGATTCTTGACACTGGACATCATTTAGATTTAGTGAAAACTATTTATGTACCTAGTATATCTAGGAATTTAGTTTCATTATCTAAACTTGATGTTACTGGATACTTTTTTAATTTTGGAAATGGATGTTTTAGTTTATTTAAACATAATTATCCCATTGGTACTGGTACTCTTTGTGATGGTTTATATAAATTAAATTCAGATGGTTTGTATGCTGAAACTCTCTTAACTCTGCATCATAGTATTGGCACTAAACGTAGTTTAGTGAATGAACGTTTCGCTTACTTGTGACATAGACGTTTAGGCCATATATCCAGGGAAAGAATGGAAAGACTAGTAAGAGGTGGAGTTCTTCCAGACTTAGATTTTACTGACCTAAATATTTGTGTGAATTGCATAAAAGGAAAGCAAACAAAACACACAAAGAAAGGAGCCACAAGAAGTAACCAGCTTCTTGAAGTTGTGCACACTAATATTTGTGGACCTTTTGATGTTAATTCTTTCGGAAAAGATAGATACTTTATTACTTTTATTGATGACTATTCCTGTTGTGGTTATGTCTATTTGCTGCATGAGAGTGGATGCCTTGGAAATTTACTTGAATGAAGTGGAAAGACAATCAGACAGAAGGGTGAAAGTTGTTAGGTCTAATAGAAGTGGTGAGTATTACGGAAGGTATGATGAAACTGGACAACATCTAGGTCTATTTGCTAAATTCCTTGAGAAACGTGGTATTTGGACTCAATACACAATGCCGGGTACACCACAACAAAATGGTGTATCGGAAAGGCGTAATAGAACATTAATAGATATGGTTAGGAGCATGTTAAGCAATTCTTCTTTACCCTTATCTTTGTGGATGTATGCCTTGAAAACTGCTATGTATCTGTTAAACAGGGTTCCTAGTAAAGCTATTCCAAAGACACCTTTTGAACTTTGGACTGGTAGGACTCCTAGTTTGAGGCACCTGCATGTTTGGGGTTGCCAAGTAGAAATAAGGGCTTATAATCCACAAGAAAAGAAACTAGATGCAAGAACTATCAGTGGTTATTTCATTGGTTATCCAGAAAAGTCCAAGGGATTTAGATTTTATTGCCCTAGTCATAGTACAAGAATTGTTGAAACTGAAAATGCTAGGTTCATTAAAAATGGTGAAATCAGTGGGAGTACAGATCCACAAAATGTAGAAATTAAAGAAGTTAGAGTACAAGTTCCTGTGACTTGTGTTTCTAGCAGTAGAGTTGTTGCTCCTCTTATTGCTACACCACAACATAATGAAGAAGAGCAATAAAATACTAAACTAGTGATTCAAAATGAACCTATTGTAGAAGAACCACAATAAATAGCATTAAGGAGGTCTCAAAGAGAAAGAAGACCTGCTATTCCAAATGATTATGTGGTATATCTACAGGAATCAGAAGCTGACTTAAGCATTATGATAATGATCCAGTTTCATTTTCACAAGCCATAAGTTGTGATAATTCTAATAAATGGTTAGATGCCATGAAAGAAGAGTTAGAATCTATGGAATATAATGGTGTTTGGGACCTTGTAAAATTTCCAGAAGGTTGTAAGAGAATTGGTTGTAAGTGGGTCTTCAAGACCAAACGTGATTCTCATGGTAATCTTGAACGTTACAAGGCTAGACTTGTTGCTAAAGGTTTTACTCAAAAGGATGACATTGACTATAAAGAGACATTTTCACCTGTCTCACGAAAGGATTCCTTTAGGATTATCATGGCACTGGTGGCCCATTATGACTTGGAATTACACCAGATGGATGTGAAAACTGTCTTTCTTAATGGAGATTTAGAAGAAAGTGTTTATATGGATCAACCAATGGGATTCTCAGTTGAAGGAAAGAAACACATGGTGTGCAAATTAAAGAAGTCAATATACGGACTCAAGCAAGCTTCTCGTCAATGGTATCTAAAGTTCAACGATACCATTATATCCTTTGGATTTAAGGAAAACATTGTTGATCGGTGTATATATCTAAAGGTCAGTGGGAGTAAGTTCATATTTCTAGTTCTGTATGTTGATGATATCTTGCTTGCAGCTAATGATCTTGGTCTTTTATATGAGACTAAGAAGTTTCTTTCTAGTAACTTTAAAATGAAAGATATGGGTGAGGCAAGCTATGTGATAGGGATAGAAATATTCCGTAACAGATCACAAGGACTATTAGGTTTGTCTCAGAAAGCATATATCAATAAAGTACTAGAGAGATTTAGAATGGAAAAGTGTTCAGCATCACCTGTTCTAATTCAAAATGGAGACAAGTTTAGTCTCGCACAATGTCCCAAGAATGATTTGAAACAGAAACAGATGGAAACAATTTCGTATGCATCTGTTGTTGGGAGTATTATGTATGCTCAGACCTGTACCAGGCCAGATATAAGCTTTGTAGTTAGAATGTTGGGAAGATACCAGAGTAATCCTGGATTGGATCACTGGAAAGCTGCGAAGAAGGTTCTAAGATACCTACAGGGAACAAAAGAACACATGCTTACATATAGAAGGTCTGATCACCTTGAAGTGATTGGGTATTCAAATTCAGATTTTGCTGGATGTGTGGATACAAGAAAGTTCACTCTTGGCTATGTGTTTCTTTTAGCTAGAGGAGCGATATCATGGAAGAGTGCAAAACAATAAGTTGTTGCTGCATCTACCATGGAAGCTGAGTTTGTAGCATGTTTTGAGGCTACAGTTCAGGCTAACTGGCTGCGAAACTTTATTTCAGGACTTGAAATAGTCGACAGTATTGCCAAGCCGCTGAAAATTTTTTGTGATAATTCTGCAGCAGTGTTTTTCTCTAAGAACAATAAGTACTCTAAGGGTGCTAAGCATATGGAGCTTAAGTACTTTTCTGTGAAAGATGAAGTACAGAAACATAGAGTATCAATAGAACATATTAGTACAAACCTTATGATAGCTGATCCTCCGACAAAAGGGTTGCCGCCCAAGACATTTATTGAGCATGTTGAAAATATGGGCATTATTGTTTATGATGATTGTTAGATGTAATGATTATATTTTATGTATTATGCACTTGATACTCTGAGTTCACTTATGAGTATGTTTCTGATTACTTGTTTTCTTATATGCATGCATGATTGTATTGTGATGATGTAAATAGGTACCGTCTTGAATCAAGATATTATGTTTGACCAATTTTGTACTTTCCACTTACTGGTCATATTAAGGAGAAGACTAATTTTGTAGTACATGGAAGGAAATATGTCGATTAAAGTGATGTACAACTGCCATGACTCAAATTAGTTCTTATTCTTAATTATGATTTATGATGTACTCAATGTATGGGATGATTTAGTCATAATAATGCGCATTATGATGATTTAATCTTATTTATTAGATCACGATGTTGGATAATGTCATAATGTTACATGAGCCAAGTGGGAGAATATAAAACTTTAAGTGTCTCATGTGAGGAGCATGTGACTTATCTGGGGTTTAATAAATAATTAAATTATTAAGGACTAAATTGTAATTGAGTAATGGGAAGCAATTTCAAATTTAAATAAACTGCTTATTGATAGGGTTAGCAATTGTAACGATTCACCAAAATCAAAGGAACGTGAAACAAGTCCTTTTCCTGACCAAAAAAGTATTTTCTCTTCTCTCACCATCAATAACGTAGAGAAAATAGAAGCGTAAGCCAAGGAGGTAGAAATTGGTTTTCTCTCTCTTATCAAAGAAATTCAATCGTTGAATCAATTCTGTTAATCATTAATGGACAAAGGTTAGTCATCTTCCAATTGTGTGATATGTGAGAATCCTAAATTTCAAGATCGAATGATAATTTTTTACTATTAACATTGAAGAAACTTACAAATTAAAGTATAACTTTTTTTTGTTGTCAATTGTGATCTAAATGCCTAGTCTCGAACCATTGCCACAACTTCTTCTTTTTATCTGAAAATTAGTAAACCCTGCGAAAGGAACAAGCACTTACTTTTCCTCTCTTGCAACCACAGTTTGCACGAGCTACAGAAAGAGCGGTGAAGAGTATGAAAAGATTTCATGAAGGCCTTCACTGTTTTATCGATGCCGACTCATACCCAGCAATTATGATTCCACACTGATATCATAAACATGTCATGTTCAAAGCTTCTTACAAAGGTCCATATGATGTTTAGGGTACAAACAAAAGGTCCATATTTATTCACATGATCGAATAGAATTTGATCTTTTGATAGTTACGTGGAAGTAAGAAGCCAAACAAATTCAAATTCTTCCACTAGTTCCCATTTTCATTTCGTACTCCATTGACAGCTTGCTACAACATTCAATAAAAGAGCGTTCATTTTCTAACGTTCAGTATAAAAACTTAGTATGAAAATAAAAGATATATACATACACATCAAACTAGACGAGAAGGTTAATTGATTCTAGTCATCACCTGAAAGCACGATAGGACGTACTGCACATCACTCGTTGATATTTGGTGGTGGAAGACAATTCTCAAACTGTAAGAAGTAAATAAATTAATGTCACCAGCCTCTGTGCTATTAGGCATGTTATCCATAAAATATAAGAAAAATGTGCTAATAACACTTGAAAACTAAAAATATAAAAGAGAGAACATTAATTTTGAAGTGAAAAAAGAGTAAAATTTATATAATTTTTGTAATTTTTAATAAATTTTAGTTAACAGTGAAGGGTGTGTTAAAAAAATATATTACAAAATGTATGTTAAAAATGTTATTAAAATTAAGTGTAATAGTTATTCCATAAAATGTAATCAATTAAATTACTACTCATAGAAAAAGAGACCCATAAACAACAACGGTCAATCGTTGAGCTTCTGAAAATGTTTTTAGGACTTCAAAACTAATTTTCTTGCCCTAACGTCTTGTACACCAAAAATGTTACACAGAAAATTATTTTCTTCATCATTTTTTGTTTCTCATATATGAGAATATTGTTAAAGTTGTCGGTACATTTGTTTTGCTGATTGCTTACTATTAATTTAGGCAATCTTATAAAAAATAACTTTTTTACGCCTTAATTTTAACATTATTATACTTTACCTTTTATTATTTTTCCTTATTTATTCATCACTTCACTCATAATATATTTATTACGCTCGTTTCTTGGCACGCACACACATAAATATTCCTGTCAAGACTGAGCCATAATAACGAAGTAACCTAGTTTTACTACCATTTTTGTATATATAAAAAAAAGGTTAATTGTTCGAGTTGAAAAAACTGTATAATTAAGCTCTGAATGGACTCTAGTCTTAAGCAATTAATAAATTGTATTGCAACTTATGCAGTGAAAGAGAAGATAAACAGGCCCCGGCTTATAATATAATTAAAAAATTAATTAATATTTATTTCCATTTTATATAATAGCAAAGCAGATTTCATATATGGGTGTGTATATATGTGTATTAGTAGCAAACAAGACCTTGATGAGCTCAATGCCATCAGAAGGATACCATAATCTTCCAAGTCCTTGCACAGCTTTGCAGCTGTAGTTCGTGAGCTCTCTTCAATTTGAACATATATCTGGCATCAGATATCAAAGAGAATACCGGTTAATATACAAATGATTGTCATTAACAAGCTAAGAAAGTTATTAAAGATCCACAAAAAGCTCTGCTCAAGAGACCCGAATCCACGTATTAAGCATCCAAATTGCTGGTCTTGTAGAATAAGCAATGACATGATCAAAATCAAGATGAAATGGAAAATGGAATATCCCCTCACACAGAAGTAATCAGAGCAACATTAAAGCATTAATGGACCCCACTAAATACTCACAATATTGGTTTCCACAGAAGAGGTATCCACTCTCAGTCCTTTAATTTCATTCAACCCATCTAGAACAAAAGAAAATTTTCATATGAGACACGCAAGTTCAATTCAGAAAAAAATAAAATTGAATGACATTACCAGCCAAAAACCTAGCCTTCTTGTGATCACTTCCAAGCTTTTCAACGTTTTCTTGTAAAGCAACAAGTGCAGCAGCACAAAGGATGCCAACCTGTCTCATTCCACCACCTAAGGTTTTTCGGAGCCGTTTAGCCTAAAATAGCGCGCGCGCACACACACACACACGACACTTAAGTTCTTTCAGAAAGAATCTATCTTCTATATATTATATTCTCACAAAAGATTTTGTAACTTCATACCTTGGCGATAAAGCTACTCGAACCAACAATAACAGATCCAACTGGAGCACCCAGGCCTTTTGATAGACATACCTATTAAAGAATCGTAATCGATTCCCAATGGGGTGTAGAAGGAACTGAGTAGAAGTTTGATTTTAATTGGATAATGAAAGTAGATTTCCAGAATTCTTTGTATAAGATAGCTAAAACTGCCAAGTCAAGAAACCATACTAAGATAGTGTTGGCTCATCTTCTTTTCTGACTTTCTAAAAATGTTTTTTAAAATAAACAAAATATATCGAAAAGATTTTAAAAATGTTCTAGAAAAATTTCTTTTTCCACCATTCCAAATTTATCCAAGAAATTTTTATTTTAACTATAAAGTAATTTTTAAGATAAACAATTAAAATAAGCCAAACGTCTGCTAAATCTGGAAAAGTAATTTTAACTGCAAATTAAGAGCCAGAAAGAGAGAAAAAAACACACCGATACTGAATCAGCTGCTTGAACAAGCCTATCCACGGGAACACCCAATGCCTGAAAAACCAAATGTCTCAGTCAAGTGTCGTTTGCACATAATAGCAGAAAGCGTAAACAAAAAAAAAAATGATCAGAACTGAAAGCTAGATTTAGAAAATGCTATTAGAAAAATCAGAGTACGCACTGAAGAGTTGGATCATGTTTATTAATTACTAATATCACTTCATTTAAACAATTGCCGGATTGACATGTCATCATTCAAATGGTAAATATCTTTTTTTGGTTAAATAGTTTGATTATATTCTCATTATAACATCCACATTATATATGAAAGTGAATATGCACACACACCAAAACAAAAACTCTTGCCAATAACTCCGCTCATGTTACCAAAATGCAAGCGACTCAATCGGTCATTTCTGATTAATCCATCTCAAAATTACTGATAAAAATTTGGTTATTATGTTGGCATTAATCATTTCATCACAGTTAAAAATATAGTGATGTATGACTCAAATGATAAGTAATTTTACTCAAAGGCTTTTCAACAAATCAAATAAACAAAAATTTGACTTACAACTGATGCATTAAATATACGGGCTCCATCAATGTGAAGCTTTAGTCCGTGCTTTTTAGCAACCTCTCCAACTTTATCTGTATATTTAACTGAAAGGCATCTACCACCGGAGCTACATTCAGAAAAAAAAATAAATAAAATATATATATATATATATATCAACCATTACTACATAAGGATTTAAAACGTTACATTATTAAAGAAGCAACATTTGTGCTCTAACAATCAATGTATGCTTTAACAAAAGGTTATAGGCATTTATGAACAAAATCCATTTTTGTGTTTTGCATGATAAAATTAGTCCTTCGTTGACAAGCAGCAGAAGTGAAAAAGAGTATGAATGTACTGTGCAGAAAAATTTTAACAGAAGATTCGCTTACTTTCCATGAGTATTTTCCAAGCAAATAAGCCTTGTGGTTGGATACACTAACTCCCCCTTTGGATCTCTGATGGCAGCCTCAATCAAATCAATGTCCATGGTTCCGTCCTCATTGTTTTTAACTGTTCTTGGGTGTACCCCTCCAATAGTTGCAATCCCTCCATTCTCATAAATATGTATATGGGAATTGTTTCCAAGAATAACCTCACTTCCCCTTATATCACAATGAACAAGCACAGATATAAGGTTGGCCATAGTGCCTGATGGAACAAAGAGAGCAGCTTCCTTGCCCAATATCTTTGCCATTTCAGCTTCTAAGCGAAAACAGGTAGGATCATGGCCAAGAACATCATCATCAACATCAGCACTTGCCATAGCAGCTCGCATTGCTTCAGTTGGCTTTGTCACTGTATCTGACCGAAGATCCACTATCCTAGTTACCATTTCCTCTGCCACCAAAACAAGCCAAAAAGTAAATGACATGTGCCATTCTCACCATTTGCATTTGGTAGCAGAAGAATGGAAAAACCCAAGTTCCCTATGCTACAAATAATCAGCAAAAAATATGAGAAAAAGTATGGAAAAGTTGATACAAATAAAATCCCTTCTCACAATATGGTTGAACTATCTGGAATGTTCAAGAAAATATTTGAAGCCTAGTTTCCTATTTACAGAAGGGAATTAAAACACAGGAGATCACTGACAACTTCAAATGGTGATAGATTAGCTAATAACCATTAATTTAATTGATATCAATAAAAATCACAAGAAAATGATGCTAATATACATGTGCAGCAAGGGAACTATTAAAATCAAAATCTTGTTAGAAATTTGTGCTGTGGTTCTTAGCTTGTGAACCCCAGTATCATGTAAATTACAAGGAAGTAGTTAATGCTTTCTTTTAACATCAAACAGAATGAGTGGCAGAGAAAAGAACAGTGTCAATCCAGAAGTTTCAGAAGAATTGATTACCTAGATACTCCAACAAAATCTCAAGTAACCCAAGTTAAGTACTATTGGGGAAGCTGTATCTGTAGTGCTCGCTTATTTCAACAACTTTGGTCTGAAATTTGAATTGCAGCGATGTTTCATTAAATATGACTGGGATAACATGAGGAAGAAGAAAGGAATCATATTTCACCCATAATTAAGTTTATGTTTTTATTATAATGTCAAGTTGTGTAGTAACCACAGTACAGTTTCGATGGATTTTTTTCTCCACCAACCCCATTAGTCATTTTTTTTTTTGTCAAACCAACCATTGGTCTGTCTTTATCCATTTTGTCATTTTCCCTTCCTATCAAAGGATAATATTTATCTTCTGCAACTCGTAAAATGATTGGATTTGTTGTCATATTATACAATAGATGGTTTGTCTATATGCTTTTTATTTTCCGTTAATATAAATTCCTCTTCACGATAACGTATTCATTATTGTTGGATGAATATCATTGGAGTCTTATTTCATAGGGTGTGTGTGAATTATTTGACGAGATTTATATAACATTTAGTTAATAATAAAATCTATTAAAAAAAGAATATGTTATTACTGGCCATTGAATGCAGGTCTCGGGTGATAAATATGATCTCTCGTTAACATAATCTTTGGTGTATGAATTATTTCATTAAAAGAACAGGGTAAAATATTAACAAAATTTCACATATTGACAAATGGAACAGCGAATAGTAAGATCACTCGTATACGTAAACGTAACAGACCATTGATACAGCATCAGAGAAAACAAAATTATATTGTTTATTTTAGGAGCTTTTGCATGAAATCTCATTCATGAATTTCTAAACAAAATGTAGAGTTTAGGTGGTTAGTCTTTTGAATTGTAACCGGTGCCTAAATAGATTGATTAACTCACGGTGATGGGTAGAGATCGCAAAACTTTCACGATTGCGGAGTTGGAGCTCTTGTTTGAAAACGAAATCGTGAACTCTATAAAAGTTGAGAAAAAAGTTCAACATAAAATAGAAAATAAATATTAACATTAGACTTAATAAATGTTGCCAAAAATATTATCTTACAATGATTAACAACTCAATCATGTAAATCATTATCGTATCTGTTTGTTGATATTGGTATATGACGGTTATGGATTCCTGCAGTTGTTTTAATACATATTCCTCCGTCCCCGGTGTTCATGATTGGTCAATTTAAGTAATTAAAAGTCTGGAGATTCTTTTGATCATCGGGGCTCGTCCATCTATATTGTCTTGCATGAAAGTTAAAATGTTGCCCTAGAAGTGCCAGACCAGATGGGAGTAGACTACTAGACCCCTTCATCACACCTCTGCGTGCCCGTGCCCAAATGGATTCCACCCTAATGTATACCTTTGCAAGACAATTCACCTTAATCAAACTATTTTAGGTCGACCACCTTTCATCAGACTACTGAAAATGGCTCAACTCATGGCAAAGGACCAAATACTATAAAAGTGCTATTTAAAAACAATAAAGAGGGTATAGTGGATTAAAATCTAATTCATTGCAAAATCTCAAGCGTTTTATCAAATGCGTAGAATAGCACATCACCAACGTCCACTTGGTGGAATTAACGAGGACGAAAAATTGGTAAAAATACATGTAACCATCTCAATGTGCTGCTATAGATTAAGGCTGATCATAGTGTTAAAAAGTTTCCTGAAGACCGTACAGTAAAAAAGGACTCACTTTCCAGGCAATTCAATCAACCCTCTGGGTTGAGCAACAATCTCCCCAATTTAATGCCCCCAAACTTTAATACCAGAATTTGATGATAAAGTCTCCAACCTAATTTTACCTCCTTTCGTTTACCATCAGCAACCTAATTAGGCGGGGTGACTTTTCTTATTTTATTTACCATGTTGGTCTACGGCGTTCACCTCATTTGGATTCTCAACATCTCGATCCTCCCTATTTTCCTCAATACTACTTGTTTCCACTGCAGCACTCCTATCTAGTGTAGTGTCTCTGCTGTCAATATAACCATCAGTGCTTTTACCTTCTACCACTTCTTCATTGTTATCCTCTGCAGAAGGTGCATCTGGCAACTTATCATCAGTGTTGTCCATCATTTGCTCTTTACAAGAATCCACATCCATATCGTTTTTGGAGATAGAAGTGGTCTGGTCTTGCATGTCCGCTTGCGGGTCAGCAGTTCCATCATTAGATGAACTAACTGATATAGTACTTCCATGGTCTACTGAGAGGGGTACAGCTTCACAATTCTCTGTACCCTGCACATTAATTTCATTAGTCTTGGCCTCAATAAATTCAGGGGCACAATTGTTTGCTTCAATTTCTTCTTGCTGTTGTGCTTCTTTTGCCCTGAACTGGTCCATGACATTTTGTATCCTTTCCAGTTCTGCCACAAGATCCCCGTACTTCTTTTGTAAAATTTTCTCAAGTTCCTTTTGCTTCTGTACTTCAGCCCAAAGATTATTTATCCTGTGTGACGCAGCTAATTGCTCCTGCTTTTGTAAAGCTTCAAAACACTCAAACTCTGTCGAAGCTATGTCCATTTGCTTGAAAGTGGCTTCAATTTGCGGCCAAAGACTTTTCTTTGCCCTCATCTGGAAATGCAATAGCCAAAATAACAATGAAGATAAGAAACATGATTCCACTTTCCAATATGATAAACCTCTATGGGTAAAGAGAGTAATTGCGACAGACAAAAAAAGTCCTTCCAGTCGTATATAAAAAACAAACTCTAATTGTAGGTGTAGGTGATTAACTTGATGAAAAATTTTAGAAGAATAATATGATGTTTTAGATTTTTTAGGGATTAATTTTGTAACCAAAACTTTTTTAAGGACTAAAATTAAAGTTTTTTCTAAATTATATTTTAGGTGGTTAGGTTATAATTTATTATTATTCATTAATTATTAAATAATTAATACTATATATATGATATTTTATTTTAAAAAATAAGAAAAGTATAAAAATAGTGAAGACAAAGAATTTAAAAACAAAATAAAAAACGTCATCTGTCATAATATCTATGGTGGATTTTTTGCTCACCCCCATGAGCCCCCATCTGCCACTGAAAATACTGATATATAGAAGTAAAATCATTTTTTGTTCAAATAACTACTGTTACAAGGAAAACAACTGTCACCCACAGTGATGAAATGTATTCCAAACACTTTTTACAAGTGACCACCATCACTTTCCCAACTCCATAAATTTTCAGTTGCAACTATCTAAGTTGAGTTTATAGCATCTCCAATAACAACCAACTTTGAAGGGCCATTCCGATTTCAGACAACATAGACTCTAGAATCTCAATAAAATTACTGCAAGCTAACTCTTAAGCAAGAAAATGAAAGAGACCACTAGCAGGCATCTAAAAAACTAGACACCTGAAATTAGTCACACTGGCAAGATTTGAAGGCAAAACTGCAAGAAACAGAAACCTAGGAATTTGCATACAGAATAGGAACATACCTCATAGCCTTGGGTGAGTACTGTCACCTTCTTCTCAAGGCGTACCATCTTCTCCTTACCATCATCCAACTTGCTTCTCACATTCTCATATTCATCCTGCAAAGCTGCTAGCTTCTCCATGTTTCCAGCAACACTTGATAGACCATATGCATTACGGGTGGCAAAGTACATTAAATCATTAATGCAAGTTGTATGTGCATCAACAAATTCACTGAGGGATTCATTTTCGTGCCCCATTGCCACACGAAGATACTCTGCTTCCTCCTTTATCAACTGCTCAGCCTATCAAAAATGACATATAAACAAATAGCATGCATAAAAAATACTATCATCCACTTATATGGTCATCTCCAACGATCCCATAGTGAAGATTAAAGAAGAAGAATGTTACAATTGATGGCTTGTTTTAGAAGTTCATATTATCATTTGTAAAATGAACAAGAATAAAGGATATATATTATGGTCTGTAATTGAATAATCACTTCTCAATCAGGAAGTAACTAAACTCATAGAGAAACAAGAACAAAAATTGAGAACAAAATCAGCATCAAGCTAATTAATTATATGGTTATAACTGAAAATGTAAGCATAATACCATCCACACCAACATGATACTCAATCATTTCATAAAAAGGAGATGAACAAACCAGAAGCCAGTAAGGTATCAACAACCTTCTAAGTAACAAATGGCAAAGTACATACAATTTCCTATATTTCCAGATGAGGGTAATGTTAAAAATAGCATGGATCAAAACTTAAACTAAAAAGCTGTCCAAATTCTTTATACTTAATTATTACACAGGATGCATCTTAAAGTGGTTTTTAAGGGGTGGAAGGGGGGATATATATTATAAAAATGAGAATGCAGAGTAGTAAGTGGATATGGTAATAATTTTAAACATCAGCAGGAATAAAAAAGGATGTGTATCCTCTACATGAGAAATCAAGTTGTGCGTACCAAAGGGTTAAAAGGTGACCAAGCTACTTAATATCAAACGAAGAGAAGTGTTGCAAAAAGCATTAAAAAGAATTAAACGATGTGCATATACATTAGTAAACACGTACATCTTTTATCTCGTCTTCCTGAAAATCTTCTATCACAGGGATAGCAAGCCCATTTGCCGCACGCTTGGCTCCTTTCTTTTTCTCCTTATTTACTATCTCATCAAGTGGATACTTAGCATTGTCATGCTCCAGTAAGGTTAGAAGCTCCTTTCTTATCATCTCATCAGCTTGCTCAATTGAGGTCGGGGGTACAAATGAACTCTTGTCCCCATCAGCTTTGATCAAGGAGTTTCTAATGAGCTCCAAAGATGCGGCAGGAGGCCTAGGAAGTTCCCTTTGAAGAACTTTTGATCTTTTTCTAAGTAATGCTTGCTGTCGAGCCTCTTCTTCTGCCTTTTCTCTAGCTATTCTATCAGACATATCCTCTTCAATTTTCTCCTCAGGTTCTTCTGCATCTTCTGGAACTGGTTGCATAACTATCTGGTACTCATTTCTGGGCTGTGGAAGACTGCTTAAACCAGAGCGCAAACTTCTTCTCATATCAGCTTGTCTCCGTAGCTCAAGTTTAGCATTGTCATGCATATCCATGTCCTCGTTAATATGTAGCTCATCCCTGAGAGGAGTTCCCTTTGGAGTCGTGCCAAAAGAAAAACCATCCCTTGCTGGTGTCAAACCACTTCTGGGAGTAAGGCCTGCACCTCCGGGAGTTGCAGAGGGGGTCAGCATTGGGTTAGGAGTCTGAATTTCCTTTTTCTTGGGAGTGACCCCGGAAAAATCTGAAGGATGCAGCTCTGGGTTTTCTCCTCCTAACAATGGTGTCTGAGACTCCCTCAACCTAGCCAGATTTTCAGCTTCCATCATGATGGAATCTCCTTTACCCGCTGGTGTTCTCTGAGGAGTTCTTAAAGGAGTCATTCCTTGGCTGGGTGTCTGAGCATAATTAGCCAAAAGAGCACGTGTAGCACTCCTACCTTCTGCAAATTCCTCAGTGCCTGCAAGGTCACTGGCATAACCCAACTTTGCAATTTCATCCAATTCTTGGTCAGAAATCTGAGGTGGTGGAAGCATCAGTTTTGATCTCTTTCTAACCGTTTCTGGGTCATTCAGCTTGTTGGCATGCAAAATAGCAGATGGGGCATCTTGTCTTTGTGCAATTTTATTCTTTGCAATGTCTTGCTTTCTTAATTGTGCTTCAACATCAACCCTTCTTTTTCCCTCAAGTTCTTCAATTGTAGTAGGAAACTTGGGCTGTTCCACTGGTCTTTCCTCATCAGTAACATCAAAAAACCCTGGAGGAGGCCTCTTCTCAAACGGAATTTCTGCATTATAGTCTATTCCTTTCCTTTTCTTCCTTCGCTGCCTGATATCAATTCCAGCAGCCTTCAGTTCTCTCTTTTTTTGTAAAGAAGCAAGCCTCCTGGCTTCCTCAAGCTGTTTCTCCCTGGCTTTCCTTTTTGCCTTCTTGCCTTTAGTGTTGGCTAACCGAGCCCGTGCTTCAGAAAGCATCTCCTTCTCATCCTCATCCATATCAACAGGATCAGGGCGTGCAGGCTTTGACTCAGGATTTGGATCAATTTCACCAGGACGCAGTTTCCGTGGGTCATCACCAGGTTCATAGTTCTCATCCTTTACACATGCTGCATCAAGGAGCTTCTCATACCGCTCAAGGCATTGTGAAGGAGTACGGCCAACAATTGGCGCAATTGTTCTCCACTGTGTCGGCATAAGCTTGGCAAGATGAAGCAGTTTCTCATCCTCTTCTCTTGTCCACTCGGTCTACAAATGCATAAAATTAAGAAATTATTCATCACATTACAGAAATTATAGCAAACAGAAATAATGTAAAATAACTATTAAGCAAAAGAAAACATGGATAACACTAAAAGTCTCTCTCCAAGGAAATGATACTCATAGCCAAGCATGGAAAGAAAAATAACACACAACCCTGTGAATTCTTCTCCCAACTTCAACGAGTTCCGATAACTACATGAAATCCTCAAAAGCACCACTAACAATTTGGCTAGGGTTAAGCACTATCCATTCCTACCGTACCCAGTCACTTCAAAGCATAATGAATAAATGCACAAATAAATTAAAAAGAAAAAAAAAAGAATGCAGAATCCGTAAAGAAGAGAGAAGAGAGAGAACCTTCTTAATGGAAGGATCGAGCCATTCATACCAACGAGCCTTACACTGCTTAGCAGATTTGCGGACGAGAAGGGAAGAGATTCGAGCCCACTGGTTTTTCCCATATTTCATAACAGCCGCTTTCAGAATTTCATCCTCGGTGTTCTTCCAAACACCACCTTTTATCATAATCCTCATCTTTACCCCTCTGTTATTGCTTTCGCTCCCCTTCGATTCGAGTTCTAGGGTTTTCCACCCTCACAATCAGAACACTAATGATTTCACAAACTTCCACTTGTTTCTGTATCATGCAAATGCAACGCCAATTGCAACCCTACTCGCCGTTCCTCCGTCCTCACGTGAACGCCAAAACCTTCTCCCCTGCAACTTTGAAACTAATGTCCCAACATCGCACCCAAAGAAAACTCTATTCAGAATATCTGGACCCAATTGGCCCGTTGCTCTACACTTATGCTGTTGGGCCTCTACAAATACAACTTAGTCTTGTAATTATTTTCTATGTGAAGATTAAAAAGAAAACTAGAAAAATGCTAGCACCAACACCCTATTTCACTTTATTAATTTTTCACTTATATAAATTTTAATAATTTTCAGATAATAATTAACAGTGTGTTAATTAATTTATTACTAACATAACTAAAAATAAATAAATTAAATATTGTTCAATCAATGGATCTTGATTCAAATTGTACATACTTATGAAGGGTTACCTTCAGAAAATATATTTTTTATCTAAAAAATATTCGACAAAAAAGAAACATACACTGTTCAAATGATCAAAACTAAATGAAAAATACTCATAATATTTTTACCTCTCATGGTTAACCTTTCTCTCAATTCCTTTCTCCCCTTAATTCTTCAAAGACTGGCTGTCATTCTGGAAGTGAAGGTGCAATACACTAATGGAAATGGTTTGTTATATATTGACTATAACATCATCCACATCTTGTCTAGCTTAGCGGTTTCATACAGACATATTACTTATTATACTGCCTTTTTCTATTCTTTTAAATTTTAATTTTTGAAAGTAATTTTATTTCCTTTAAAAATCAAATTCTGAAAATTATTTTTCAAATTTTATTTTAAAATACCAAAGCCCAAACGCTAACATAAATGCATGAGGCCATTAATGTTTTATTTTTTATTAATTTATTTGTCAGAAATTAATAAATTTATTATTTAATTGTTAACGTTTTTATTTTCATTAATGACATTTTATATATTTACTGTTGATCCACTCTAAATCATATCAACACCAATAAATTTAAAGGCATGCTTTTATCTAATGTTCTTAAGGTTTTTGACTAAGCGGAACCACTAACACCATCTTCTGATCAGATACATATACTATCAAACTTTTAACTTCATTGCACAATTTAAAAAAAATGAGTTGCGCAAAAAGTAATCTTTTCTCATTTTTCCAATCTTATTACATTATTTCCATTAAAAAAACAAATCTTTTTCTCATTATATAAATCCTATATTTCCATTTTCCATTCTTATTACATTATTATCGTACGAAAGTGTAAAATTATGTCACTTATCCACAGGGTCAAATAAGATACCTTATAAAATAGTAGTCTAACTCCCAAACGACTTTTTTTTATTTAATTCTGAATTAGAACGGAATATATGAACGAGAAAGAAAAAAAAGGCAAGAATGCAGTACTGTACCACTATGATGTCAATAGTCAAAATTGTGAGTGAAACAGTTTTGAGTTCACAATAGAAACAAAAACGAGGAAAAACTAGAAAGAAAGAAAAGGAAAGAAAAAGAACGCAGTATTCCGATGAGGACTAGTCACTAGATGCTTGGTTTCTTCGTCTTCAAGACACGCTCCACTATCTATAATAAGATGCCATAATATAAAGCATGACTGCCGATAAAGTGGTGATTATCAACTCCTGCAGATACCCCAAAGGTAATCATATTGTCAACTTAGCAGCACCACACACTGACCAATGGGATAACAGATAATTTTGTCAAGATCACACTGCTTTAGCCAGACAAAGTAATTAGCAGTGCTGGCTTGGTCAACCAAAAAAATGAAATATGTAATAAGAGAGGTGTATGATTTTATTTCTGAGAGTTAATAAAAACCCATTGCATGTCATCAAATATGTCATTGAAGAAACAGCTTCTGAAACTGTCCCTTTGTTTTTTGAGGCGGACAAGAAACCAAGCTAGTTTCCATTTGTATTTTTAGTTTTTAAAAAGAGAAAACTCTTCTAAAAATTACAATCAAACATACCCTAAGTCGGTTGCATCAAACATGTAAAATTAATTTAAATGACAAATTTGGACTTCCTAAGATAATAGTAAACAACATGGCAATGGTCCTCCATTTATAAATACATTAAATTGAATTTTAAATTTCACATTTTTGCATTCAAATTGGTCTTTGAAGGAAAGTCAATGCCACTAATTATCATCGAAGCACCAATCTTTATAGAGCACCGACATAAATCTTTAGAGGATCAAAATGATTGTTTACTCTATAGTTAATAAAAAATACAGGAATTCAGGAATCGTCCCTCAAACTTGGTTTCAGATACAATGCAAACAGGTACAAACATATTGGAAATTTTGCAAGGGACGAACCCAACAGGTGAATTGAAATCTTGTAAAAAAGATTTCTGAAAACATTAGTTGGTACTTGGTACCTTGAGTTGCTCAAGGGAAGAAGTTCCAAAGATTGCACCTGAGCTTTGTAAATCAATGTTATTATACATCCCAAAGTCATATGCCCTTTAAGAAACATAACCACTTAGCCAATGAACTAGTTATCCCAGTACAAAGTATTCCATACTTCAATAGCAACCAACTTCTTCACTTGTATTAAAAAATATTACTCACATAACCAAGATATAATTTCAACTCATGAATCATGATCATAGTCATTCATCGCTTAACTACATAGGCAAATCAGGAATAAAACGCATTTGACATGAAAACCCACATAAAGAATGTTCCTAAGTTTCAAAGACACTATAAAGTGCAGGGCACGCATCATATTATTCATAAGGATTGTGGACAGTTCTATCTTATATTTTGAGCCATAAAGGACTGCTTATTTATCCATACCTGACTGTTGTACAAAAGAGCAGGGATAAAGCCACCTGCAAACTCAATTATGTTCAAAATGAAAGTGTATGCCTGCAAGAAAAGCACCAGAAAGTATTAATCTTCATTTTTGAAAACTAGATAATTTTGAGAGAAGAAAATAGAAAACTTCAGGTGTATTTGACTAAGATGAATATTAGTGACAAGGAAATAAAATTTCCATAAAAAGCCACTACATTATATAAATTATTTTGCGAAGCAATAACTTTCCTAGTTTGATACTAGCAGAAGTCAAATGCTAAAAAAACCAAAAGTCTGTAAATCAGCTACCACAAAATGTTTTTCTTTAAAAAATAGTCTTCAAATAAGAGGTTGAGAAAGATTTGGTTTCATACCATGATGATAAACAATTTGGTTTCACTTAAAGTAAAAATGGAAAAGAAGATAAGGTAACGTGATCCCTATTCCCCTTCTTTCTTACTTCTTTTCTTTCTTTTTTTCAGGAAAAAAAAATCAGATATATATTATATATATCAGCTTCCTAGTTAATTGTTGCAGAAACCATAAAATTGGGATACGAAAGTACTGATCCATGAATCACACCATAAGATCTGAGGAAACATCATACCAAAGATGAAAAAGCAACACATCCAAAAACCAAGGCCAGTGATCGAATCAGTCGTTTTCCCATGCGCAGTCCTTCTCCTGTATCTTCACCCTCTTCCTGCAGCCAACAGTAGCATGAACTATCCAATTCTACAAACAACATGGTTCAAAAACAGAAGACTTAAAATTTTCACTTTGTATGCTGTCATAGAACATGAAACTCACATTATACATGGGGGTTGCAGGAGATTCAAATGATTTTAACTTCTCAAAAAGCCTATAAACAAAGGCGAAGGCTAAAAACTGCAAAGGTTTATATTCAGCACTGCGCTTGACAATGATCCATGCTGTCTGCAGACAGATGGTAAACAATTCTGATTAAATACCACAACCTAAGACATAAGACACAAAATTGACATGGTTTCTGAACATTGATATTTTCCCAAAAAACAATGAAATAATGCTTCAAATTCTGCTCACAAAAACAGCTGATATTGCCAAGTTGATGCGTATATCATTTTTACTTGATTTAGTAAACCTGAAAATTGAAGGACAAAGTATTGTCACAAGATAATAAGTTGTTAAAAAATAGAGTGATAGTGATAAGGGGAAAAACAACTATAAAATCTAGAGCACCACAAACAATCACTATAAATAAATGTCATTCATCCATGTAAGCAGGAAAAATGAGATTTTCCTTCCAAGCTGTTGTATTAGGATTTTAAAAGAACTAATCCAAATACAAATGATTCCCAGCATCTCTACTTCAAAAGGGAAGAAAACATCTTCTCTACAAGGTAATGTAAGAGTAATTGGATCACATATAAAATATAAAGGATATCCTAATAAATGCTATTTATTTGACAGTTTGATTAAGTACATATTGGATTCATCTTATTTTGGATAAATAATTGCGTAATATTACCAGCTTCCTAAGTGAACTTATAATAATTACCAAGCTTGCTGTAAATGTTGATTTAGATTAGATTTACACAAATAGAATGGAACTTTTTTTTCTGGGTGATGGGTGTAATATGAAGACAACTCTCCAGCAGCAAAGCCACCCTATAATGGTCCCAACTATGACCTACCACATCATCCAGTCAGATTACTAGATAGGAGACATCTCAACTTAAAGAAGTTAAAAATTGAATAGCACATTAAAATAAGGAGCATACTTTTGAGAATTATTCTAGTAAACTAATGATAGAAACAAAAATATTCAGCAACAAAACAACCATATCATGAATTATAACAAGCAATATTAAACCTTGGCCCCCAAGGTATAATTGGCTGCTTGTCAGCATACTTGATTTCCTTTGAAACCTGCATTTAGTTTTAAAGTTACATAAGATTTTGAGAGAAAAAAAAAAACAACAAATTAGGGTCAAATACTTGGTTAAAAAGAAGAAGGCACACTATAAGTTTAGATGAACTAATTTGTTTCATAATATCTCCTACAGAGATAGTTGTATACTTTTCAATATGTACAATCCATGCTAAAAACATAAAAGAATTGCAAGCTGAAGCAAAAATCATGATTGTGAGGGTACACTGTGCATAGAATTGTTATTGATTCTTAGAGGAAAACAATAAATCTTAATGTTGGCAGTTACTCCATCCTGTCTTACTGTCCAACCTCCCGCACCGAGGCACCCCAAGCAACCTAAAGAAAATAATAAGAGTTCAAGATAATATGGCTTTACTTCCCCCCAAATTCTTCATTGCTGTAATTTATAAGCGGCATTATTCATTTTGTGAAGGAAAAAATAGCCAAAAGAGGTGATCTATAAAATTATAGCTACCTCATAACCATTTTTTGACAACTACATTGATGAAGTAGCATCAACCACAAACACAAGCTAAACAAGAATATCTCAATGTTGTCATGCACTCATGCCTTCAAGTTGTTGGCAATTTTGAATGGCCAGGAAAAGAAAGATTCTCCTACATTACCTTAAATGATCCAAAAGTCACACCCTTTTTCCGATTAGTCAATTGAGCCATCATGACTTCGTCATATGCCTTCTCCAGCTGGATTATACATTTACAATGCATAACATCACACACATTAGTGCACCAAACTTTGTGGAAAATCATATAACAATGCATCATTAAGAACCTCATAATTCCTAAAAAAAGGAATAACCAAGCCCCACGTGTAAGTTCCACTTTAAAGGACACGGATAAGAAGTAAACTTAACTACACTTACGGGAGAAAAGTTGATGTATATAAGTGGATTTAAACTTACAAGAGAAGTTTGATGTATTTGCTTATTTTCTTTTCTTAAAGGTACTTATCAAAAGGTTTATCCAAACAGAACCATAAATCAAATCAAGATAGCTATCAAAACCTTTTCCCCAAAAAAAAAAAAGGGGAAAAAAGTTAACCTACTCTGGAAGCAGTTGCTTCATCACCATTCATCTCAGCCTCCTTCCTCTTTTTAGTATATGTTGCCTTGATCGAATCAAATTTCTCAATAGGGCTTACACCTAGGACCTATACAATGTGAGATCGCGGCATCTCAGATTCAACTCAAACGACTTCGAACTTCAATTAACGAACCAAATAGAGAGCATTTTTTAGTACCTCGTAAGGATTTAAGTCACCGTCAGAATTAGAGCTTCCGGCAGCAGATGCAGCAGCACAGATAATTTTTCTATCACTCCATGCAGCTGTACGGGGAAACCTGAAAATCCAAACCAAATTGCACTTTATTAATCACAAAGATAAGCTCCGTGAAGATAAACGGAAAAACAAGTGATTTTGCAACGAAAATTGATTTTGGTGTTTGGATTATTTCTAGGGAGCGAGTGAATAGAAAGAGAGAGAGAAATGAGTGACCTGAGAGAGGTTGAAACTGTGGGACGGAAATTCCTTTGTGAGAAAGTGAGTTTAGGGCAGTTCAGTGTGTTTGAGATTGCCAGAGCCATTGGGCGCGCCACTGCAACGACGCTATCACGGTGTCTAAATTTTGAGTTATCGAGTTTTATAGGGTTTTGCTTTTTATCTTTATTTCAATATGTTCTTTCACTAGTTTCATTTCTTTTCTCTAAACAATAGAGCCATTCACTTTAAAATACAAGTAAAAATTTTCAACAACGTCTAAAAATTTTAATATTTAATATTTTTTAATTTTTAATTTTAATATGACATTTAACAATTTTGTTAAGCTCAGTTTAAACATTTAAATTTTATTAATTTATTAGTAAAAAGGTATTTAATATATTTTTTCTATAATGTAAAAACAAAATAATTATAAAGTGTTCTAAATTTATATATCATTCACATCCTATCATATATTATTTTTTCCTATAAAATGTATACACATAACATAATATTTTTATTGGTACCACGAAATATGAAATCATACAAAAATTCTTCTTCTTCTAAACTCATATCAATTTATTTTAGTATATATTATTATTAACTTATTGCAGTTTAAAAAAAATATTTCCAATAAATAGGCACCCATTTAATTAGAGGTATAATATTTTTGTTAAAAATTATATGAAGATCCGTTAATAGTATATACTTGTAAAAAAAAACTATATAATTAAATATGACTAAATTATTTAATCTTTAAATAGTGATGTACTAAAAGCATTAAACAAAGTATAATGGGGTAATATTAGTAGGTAAACTTCAATACTCTGTTATGTTGGCTTGCAAGAGAATGTGAATTCGAATCCGACCGTGGACGTACGTATCTCCTCTCATCTAACCCTGATTTTTATTTTTATCATGATTACAAGAATAATTGTAAATGGGCAATGATTCACAATAATTACATTATAGAAGTTTAAACTTGAAGGGAAAAGTTGCCTTTGCTTCAAATGACAGAAAGTAATTTGTTCCTATATGCATCATCCTAACACTAGGCTTCTCGAGCTAGATTTATTACAAATTTCTCCATTCATCTTTAATTTTCCCCTGCCAATTTGCAGCACCAGGATATAGTTTTGTACACAAACACCAAGCTGAAACTAAAGATTGAAATCTAAAAGTCAAAAAGTAGGATTAAGCTAAGGCATATATATCTAACATGCAATCTAAATATCCTAGAGTTCCATTCCCTCATGATGGTTGCCCTGATTTGATGAATACATTGTACCAAAATTCCATTTCTTCACTAATGTGACTAGAACCATGATTATTATCCATGGTTTCTCCTGAAGAGACTGCAGTGTAGAATCCCGTACCTACAATAGGTGGATTTTTCCTTGAAGATAAATCATAGTTTGCAATCACTACGTTTTCGGTGACACTAGAACTAGAAGCAGCACTTGATGAATCCGCTGTTACACGGGGCATTGTCATTAGAGCCCCAGAACCATTTGCTTGTGCCTTTTGCAAAATATTTGAGGAATTATTGGCATTGTACACTCCACTTTTCTCAATCCTCTTCTTCAAATGGGTATGCCAAAAATTCTTTATTTCGTTGTCTGTTCGTCCGGGTAATCTTGCAGCTATAGCAGACCATCTGAACACCAAAGGGTTCACTAAGAAATTAATTTTCATCTTTCATCACTTGACCAAATTCAATCACATTCTATATTTAATATACTACACATGCTAGGAAATGATATAGCATCTTTATATATATATAAGTCAACACACACGATATGTTATATACGTATATATGTAGGCACCTATTTCCAAGAATTTCATGTAGCTTTAGGATGGTATGTTCTTCTTCCTTGCTGAATTTCCCTCGTTTAATATCTGGCCTCAAGTAATTAATCCAACGAAGCCTACAACTCTTGCCACACCTTAGCAAACCTAAACAATCATATAATATACTCATATATTAGATAATTCATCTATCTTATTTGTATGAAAAAAAAAAGAACTTGACATATGTTCAATCTTATAAAGAAAATGTCACTGAATTAGGACTCACCAGCTTGTTTAGGAAGCGCACGCCAATTTCCATGGCCATATCGTTGAATATGAGAAATTAATATCTGATCTTCTTCAGTGGTCCAAGGTCCCTTCTTCAACCCCATCCTCTCACAGCAAGGAGTTCTCGTCATGTTCACTGCACAACACAATAATGTGTCTCTTTTTCTCGGTACTATAATTAACTTGGTGGAGGCTCAAGCTCTTTCAAGGTAGCTTCGGCTCCTTTGTTGCTACACTGGTGAAAATATAGATGTGGTCCAAATAAACAGCATAGTTTTTAAAACAAAAGTACTTGATAGTGATCCCATCCCTTTCGTGGGTTCTCCAATTCCCGTTTTACTTCTCCAAAGCATAAACAGTTGAAATTAAACATATATGGCCACCTTATCACAGATTCATAATCTATAGAGATGGGTCACATCATCAAAATGCTCCCATCTATTTTATAGAAATAACTTTATACTATTTCTCTTTTCATATTTACGTTTTTAGTAAAAACTCAAAAATTTAAATAAAAAATATATAATTTATATTTCAAGTTTTAAACTAGAAAAACTCTCTGGTAGTTGAACTACGTGTTGAACAGTGTAAAGTATAAAATTTACTAATTAAAAGACATGCAATAAAAAAAAAACATAATATTTAATCTTATTAATGCATATATGTAACTTTTAATAAATATTACTGTACATAATTTTTTATTATATATCATTGACGTTAAAAAAAATTATAAATTTTGAATGCTTGCAATGTTGACTTTTAAGTGTTTTCTGGGAAAAAGTAAGATTGCTTCGTCGACTTCAACTGAGCTTCTAGGTTGCTTCTCTTCAAAACTTGGGAATCCTTTAAAGCCTTAAGTAATCATTTTTTGGGTACAGAGGTCAAAAGTAGTATGCGATACGGACAAAATGGACTAAATATTCATCCCTTACTATACTGTTCCTGCCGCCTTTTTCCATTATCCTCGTCAAGTGCTACTTAGCATGTTTCAATCTTTGTTAATGGTTTTCGGCTAACCCATATACTATAATAATCTTTATGGTGTCACCTTTCAATTAGCTAAATTTAGAACATTGTCACGCTTCTATTTAAAGGTGCTTAGTTGTTTTTGGTTTGATTTATAATTCTGATTCCATGTGACTCGTGATAAACTTGTATACTTTTGTGTCCATATATATTTGATTTGGAATGAACATGAAAAGCTATAAAGTACAGTTTAGCATGTCTTTGATATTTTTGTATTATATATCTGAAAAACCAGGGCATAAAAAACAGACAAATTAGCATGTTCATAAGGAATTAAGAAGATGTAAAAGACATATATCTCACACACTAAAGTTGAAAAGCCCTTGGAAATTTTCATATACGTATAAGACGTGCAAGAAGAGTACAGGCTTTAAAATTAATTCCATGTAATGCACTTTATCTTCTTCTTCTTTTTTTTCTTTCCTTTCTTCTTTTCTCTCTTTTTAGGCATCCTATGAGCATCTGTGAATATTTATCTTGTCGGTGGTCCCTGTTAAAAAACAACTACACATATTTTCCAAGAAAAAAATAGAATGATTTATAAACACAGACTCTGAAATAAATAATCATAAATTGTTTAAAATTTGAATAATTTATTCATTTGAGTTATTTGGGTATTTTTATAATTTGATTTAAACTTAAATTAAATTAAAAACATTCCATTAATGTCAAATTCTAGTCGCAGTTAAGAGTCTGTCGGCATGTCAAACAAATGAAAGGGAAAGGAAGTGGCTTTACATGACGCGCGCAATGCTACTCGGAATAATAAATACGACACTGCAAGATTTCTTATAGTAATCTCTCTCCATATCTCCTGGGTTAATTGCAGCTTAGATCAAATCATCATAACAAAGGTTGACTTTCTTGTGCAGAAAAAGCCTAATCTTTACTTCGTGATTATGCCTTTAAACTTTAATTAACAGTAATTAAAAAATAAACTAAAATTTAAGGAAAATATTTTATATTATAAAATGGTATATTTTTATTACAAAATATACATTTTTTATAATAAAAAATTACTAATTTTAAATGCTTAAAATTAACTTTAAATATTAATATCAGCAAAAATTGAAAATTTCCGTACACCCCACTTTCCAAAACATTTAATTTAGACCACAATTGCAAAACTCAAGCAGTCACGTCAATTAAGAAAAAGAGTTTTGCACTTGGCTAAAGTAGATTATGCATGATCTAAACATGATGTTTCTATATAAATATAATACTTTATTTTAAAAACAGTATATCATATTGCGTTATAAGTTTATGATAAACATTTTATTAATCAATCTAATGAAGCATGACACTTCTAACTACCAAAAACCCAATTGCACTATTCACAAACTTATACCCATTTTTTTCTTTTCTTTCCATTTCAAAATGTGTAACATAAATTAAGGGAAGGGAAACATAGTATTGGTGAAATGGGTATGATCATGTTACAGTGTAGTTCCAGTAAGGTAAAAGCAGAAAATAATAATAATAAAAGAAATAAAGAAAACTTACAGTTACTTATAGCCCACATGAACGAAGGGGACCAAGAAGAGCCTAAGAAGCAATGGCTGCCATGAAGCAAAAAATGGGCACCCAATGTTGTCGGATCGTAGTTGGAAGCTAAAAAGGACAACATATATTGATCCCATGTTCACTGGGTCAGTGAAAAACAGACAACATATGGGCCTCTTACAATGGTCCATAAAACCTTCATTAAATTCACGGGTTTACTCTTACTATCAGAAACAACTTCGACCTTTACCTTTCTCCTCCACTCCTAATATTTCAGTGCTTCAGTTTTTTATTTATTTTTTCATAAGCACGAACTTCATGGTCTTCTATATATTGTTAGTGATTTTTTTAATATCAATTTTAATTTTTAAAAATAAAAAATTTCCATTTTAAAATTATTTTTATATTTTTATGTAATAAAAAAATACCTACTAGAAGTTTGACATTTTTACTGGTACAAACAATTACTGAGTTTTGTACGATTATTATGATGGAAAAAATTAATTCTTTTTTTTAATAGATACGAATTTGGAGCTTCAATTGGAAACTCTCGATTAAAATAAAATGATATTTGCTAACCAAGTGTGAATCATTTTTTGAATAGATAACATCCTTCAGTGAGATTCATTTAGAATGGTTATTATCTTTAACAAAACCCACTTCAACTGAAAGCCATAATGAAAGTTCAAAATAACAAAATAAGATTTCTTTTAGAGCACGAGATGCACTTTTAAAAATATAGTTTCAAGTCTATTTATTAATAAAAATCTAACACAAATTAGTTTTTAACTTCACATTTCATTAAATACATGTAAGCACACACATATATAAAGTTTTATTGATTAGTACCCTAATATATCCATTAAAAATTTAATGTTTTTAATTAAAGACGGTGTTAAAAATACATTAAAAAAAAGATAGTTGTTATGTATGTGTATAATTTTTAAAAAAACTGCATCACTTGCTCTCAAATTCAACATAATAATACCATGTTCATGCTTTTCATTGTATAAACTTTGATCGTATGGTGAACAGAAGATAAAATTTTTTTTAATCAAATACACAGCAACATAAAAGAAAACACATGATTTTTCTTTGGTTCCCTTTGAAAAATACTGAAATTGATTTTAATCACAGTTGTTTAACGTACTTCGTAAATCATGCAAATTCTTATATAATAGATTATTAAATTATTTTAAAATACTCTGTTATGCTAGTTTAACTGTAAAATAAACAAATACTTACACTAACGTAAAATGACGCTCAATAATTTTTAGGGCCTAAAATAAATTTTAAAATAATTTTTTTTATTAATAAAATAATTTATTATTATTAGTTTAGAATTACAGTAATATCAATATAAATTTAATAATTAAGGTAAATATTTGAATTATAGATTATTTTTAAATTTAATTTTTTATTTTTAAAAGTATATTAAAACTAAAAAAATAATATTTAGAGACCTAAAGTCCTTGCGTTACCTGTTTGGTCTTTAGGCGGCCCTTACTAACATAATTGAAAGAGTTAAGACGCATGCATGTAAAAAAACAAAAAGTAAATGAATTAATTCAATTTTGTCGTTTAATCATAGAAAAGAAGTATCAATTAGAAAACATTAATTTATTTAATTAGTGTTAAAAATCTAAGGTTAGATTCTCGATTGTACAGGATATATATAAAATTATTTTTTCAAAACATTTGAAAAAAAATAATTTAATTCTCAAATTTCATAATATTTTCACACGATAATTTAAATATAACTTTCCACAGTTTTAAGAATTTATATTATTGTAGAGTTCGTTTGTATGGTCAAATGCATTTTTAGAGGAATTAATAAAATATTAAGTTTACTCTAAAGTCCTCTACTGAAATGGTAGCACTCCTAACCAAATTTATTGCTAACAAGTATTTCAACGTACGCATACATTAACAATGATGAACGTTCATGATGTCCTCTTGTGATGTCAGTAACTAGGAGAGAATAATGTTGCCTTTAAGCTTTTATAATTGACAGGATTATTTTTTCTAAAATAAAATAAAAATGTGAAAAATGGAAAAGTGAATTTATTTATTTCTTATCTAAATTCAAGTATCTTGTAAACATGATTAATTTTAAATTGAAAGTAAATAAGTATCTTCCTTTTTACTTTGAAAAAAAAAATCAAATCCGTAATAGTAAATATAAGGATAAATTATTTTTAACGTGGTATTGACTCTTAAATTGCAACTTGAGTAAAAAGTAAATTTCATTGGATCAAATCATGGTTTATTAATTATACTCCATACTCACCCTAAATCATAGCCACATAGCTTGAGTTATAATTTTTACTCTATTCTTTGTTAAAGTCTAAATCCACCAAACAAATCCCAAGGCACTTTAGTTTAAATTTACTGTTTTGTTTAAATTTTGTTGAGGTTTTAAAGAGTGTTGATGTATTTTGGATAAAATTGACATAAGAACTAAGTTTAATAAAATGTAAAAGATTTTATAAGATTAGAAAATAAGATTTGAAAGAAGTTAATTGTTTTACAAATTTTAAATAAAATACTTTAGTTAATAAACCTAAATGGTAATCGAGTTTAATTAAATCTTGAGTAAAAATAATAACTAAAAATATAATATAAATAAAATTAAGACTAAATTTTGTATCTCTTTTCACAATTTTATATTCTCTTTCTCTCATGTCTATATTTAACTTCTTTCTTCTTCTTCTAATTTTCTCTTTTTTTTTTTACTTTTCATTTTTATCTATCAAATTCGTTTAAAAAGTTTTTATATAAATTTTTTTATGAAATTTTCGTTGACTTAATAAGATAATTTTTATTTAAACAAAAATAGAATTTAACATAAAATTCTCTTGAACAAAAATGAAAATCAACGTTGAATTCTTGCCCTCTCAATGATAAGTGCAAGTACAGTAAAAAGTAAAAAATAGTTAAAAAGAAAAGAGAGGGGCGTAACAAGCGCAGGAAACAGTAGAGCGCGGGACGTTGGGACCTCCGAGTGAGAGTGAAGGACTGAGTCGAAGCCGATTTCCTTTTGAGTCGTGTTGTCATTTGTCAGCATTAATGGTCCCTCCCACAGACCCACTCCACACCGTTAGATATCATCTTTCCCATTTCATTTCCACCGTCCGATCATGACCTCTCTCTCTCTCTCTCTTTCTCTCTCGCGTGTTCAGTTGTTCCTCCCTATTCCTAATTCCTAAATCCCATTTTCAGTTTTGGAGTTTGAATGAACCCTAAGTCCTAAGCACCACAACCAACTAACCGTACTCTCACTCTCTCAACTCCGATCGCAACCTTAACTCAATTTCGCGTTCCTTTCTCGGTACTCTCTTCTCTTCGCTAACGCATCTTCTATTCTTTTTCCTTCCATGCGTTAGCAGATTCACTTTACCTTACGCTAATTCATTTTATTTTTCATTCTCTATGTCCTTCTACTCCCTCCATCCACTCTCTGCTTTTAATTTCTGTTTTGATATATTTTTCTATTATGCTTTCTGCTGAAGGGGTTACAATTCCAGACATTTTAATTAAGGAGCACTGAGTGCGTCTGATTATGAATCGTCACGTTCTATGTGGGAATTTTTGTTTGCAGATTTGACTTGAGTTGATTGGGCCTCAAGATCGGTTTACGTGCTTGGACTTGGGATTTTATGCTCCAAATAGGGGGAACAACCCGGAATGGTGATGGAATTTTGAGCAAAAACAGTTCTCAAATTCTTGCTTTTTCGTTGTTGTTTCTAATTCGTTGTTTCTGGATGAAGTAATATCTGGGAATTTAACAGTGGAAGTTCATTGTGGCAGGGGAGAGGAGAGCTAAAAATTGGACTACAAATGAACGCTGATTATCCATATTTGGTTGTCTTCACTCGTCATTGGAACTATGAAAGTTGATTAAAGTGTCAAAAGCGAGGCCAAGGTATGATGAGTGAAGCCTATGCTATTTCTGCTTTATAAACTCAAGATTTAGTTTACCAAGTACCATGGAAGCAAATGGGATCGTTCATGATACTAGCCTAGGAGCGGTGAGAAGGGATAAGAGAGAGGTAGGAGAGAAATCGATGGAGGATTTAACTAAATATGCACACAGTCCTGCACACTTGGCAGTTGCCAGGCGCGACCATGCTGCCCTACGGCGCATTGTTTCTGCCCTGCCTCGCCTTGCTAAGGTTGGTGAGGTCACCACAGAAGCTGAATCTCTTGGTGCTGAACTTCAAGCCGATGAGGTCTCTGCTGTTATTGATCGCCGTGATGTCCCTGGTAGGGAGACCCCTCTTCACCTTGCAGTGCGTCTCAGGGATCCGGTATCTGCGGAGATTTTGATGGCTGCTGGTGCGGATTGGAGTCTGCAGAATGAGCATGGTTGGAGTGCTCTCCAAGAAGCAGTGTGCACTAGAGAGGAAGCGATTGCTATGATTATTGCACGGCACTATCAGCCTCTAGCTTGGGCTAAGTGGTGTCGTAGACTTCCCCGGATTGTTGCTTCGGCATCTCGTATTCGTGATTTTTATATGGAGATAAGTTTTCATTTTGAGAGCTCTGTCATTCCTTTTATTGGGCGTATAGCCCCTTCAGATACTTATCGAATTTGGAAGCGTGGTTCTAATCTCCGTGCTGATATGACCCTTGCTGGTTTTGATGGCTTACGCATCCAACGGTCGGACCAAACATTTTTGTTCCTTGGAGAGGGCTATGCTTCCGAGGACAGTAATTTAACCCTGCCACCTGGTTCTTTGATTGCTCTTTCTCATAAGGAGAAGGAAATCACAAATGCTTTGGAAGGAGCTGGTACACAGCCAACAGAGGCTGAAGTTGCTCATGAAGTTTCCTTGATGTCTCAGACTAATATGTATAGACCAGGTATTGATGTTACTCAGGCTGAGCTTGTTCCCCATTTAAATTGGAGGCGTCAAGAGAAGACTGAGATGGTTGGGAATTGGAAGGCAAAAGTTTATGACATGCTTCATGTGATGGTGAGTGTGAAGTCAAGGCGGGTTCCAGGTGCCATGACAGATGAAGAGCTTTTTGCTGTGGAGGATGGAGAAAGCATGATAAATGGGGAAAACAATGATGAGTATGATGATGTATTGACAGCTGAGGAAAGAATGCAATTAGATTCTGCTCTACATATGGGGAACTCTGATGGTACTTATGAGGATGAGGAACATGGAGCATTTGATGGTCAAGAAAATGGTTCTGTAGCTTCCTGTGAGAATTCTGAAGCTAACGGTGTGGTTAAAGAAAAGAAGAGTTGGTTTGGTTGGAACAAGAAAAGTTTGAAGAGTAGCAGTGACGACCCTGAGGATTCCAAAACTGTGAAAAAAAATTCCAAGTTTGGCTCAGAAGGTAGCAATCAGAGATCAGGTGATCAGCAAAAGCTAGCATCTGAATTTCAGAAGGAGGATAGTGGAGACACTAAGAAGGGGAAAGATAAAAACATTAAAAAGAAGAAGAAGAAAGGAGTAAACAGTGAGTCAAAGAATGAGAGTGAGTACAAAAAGGGTTTAAGACCTGTCTTGTGGTTGACACCAGACTTCCCTTTGAAAACTGAGGAGCTTCTACCTCTACTTGACATCTTAGCAAATAAGGTTAAGGCTATTAGAAGACTCAGGGAGCTTTTGACAACTAAGCTTCCTCATGGAACTTTTCCTGTCAAGGTAATCCAAATACCATAGCCTAAGTTCTTTATTTTTTATGCTCTGGTGCTCTGCACTCCTGCAGTACAGCATGCTCATATTATCTGTAGCTGTTTTTTGATGGACCAAGACTGAGCTAAGTGCATGTTTGGGAAGTGATTATTTTGGAAAAACAAACATTTTTTTATACTAAATCTCTATCAAGAAATTGACACAAATATGCAGTTATTTCTTTAAAATAAGTTGTGAACCAAACACATTAAGTTTTTATTTTGGAGTATATTTATAATACCTGACAACAAACATTTGAATTTTCCCTGAAACTGGCAAATTACTTAGGTTTCACAACTTTGATGAGATTCTGACTAGCATGGGTTTGTTTCTGTTGTGTTACCATTCTTGTACTGACATTTGTGCATGAGTAGACTGTAGGTGTCTTGTTGATTGAATGTAGCTGATAATCATCACATGACACTTATGTAATCTTAATGCTACTTTAGATTACGTCAAGCTACTGCAAAATGAATGAGCAAAGCCCAGATTCACTGCTATTTTTTTGGATAATACTATAAACTTGGGGTGTTTTTCCCATGGTTATTAAAAACTGCCCAGTTCAATCGGGAATTGTCCAAGTATACCAGTTCTAGCAATGTAGAAAACTAGTGAAAATTGGTTTGAACCCGTGACTTAATAATTTTTTTTTATCTTTTTGAATTTTTTATTCTAAAATAATTTTTAAATTAATTAAGATTCATACGTGGTATATACATATTAATTATTTATATATGTATGTATATATTGAAAACATATATTTTGTTATTATTGGTTTAACTCCGGTTAAACCAATGAACTGTAGCCTTCTTTGGTTCAACAACACGTTCAGTTTTATAAACATTGGTTTTTCCAGATTCCGTGTCTTTTCCCTCTCTGTTTTGCTTAACGTGGCATTCTGGCTGGTTTGGACAGTTATCACACCTAGTTTTGTCTTATCATGGTTTAGTTATACTTTAGTTTGGTTGACTGAGTTATAGATTGTCAGTCAGTTTAGCTTATCTTAATATAAACTATAAATTTACAAAATTTGATGATAATATCCTTTGATCTTAATAATAAGAAATCAGCGGGTGTAATTTATACCTGATTTCTGCCAGTAGCTTCTGGTTTTGATGATAATAACATCTGATGCACTCAGGTTGCCATCCCGATAGTCCCTACTATCCGGGTGCTTGTAACTTTTACGAAATTTGAGGAGCTTCAGCCAGCAGAGGAATTTTCAACTCCACTCTCCAGTCCAGCACATTTTCAGGATGCTAAATCGAAGGAATCAGAAGGGTCTAGTTCATGGATTTCATGGATGAAAGGAAGTCGCGGGGGGCAGTCCAGTGATTCCGATAGTCACAGATATAAGGACGAAGTTGATCCTTTCAACATACCTGCAGACTACAAATGGGTTGATGCCAGTGAGAAGAAACGCCGAATGAAGGCAAAGAAAGCCAAAAGTAAGAAACATAAGAAGCAGACGGTGGCAAAAAGTGGAGATGCGGTGCATCAGGGGACTGAGGACATAGAAGAATAATAGTAGTATCGTGGTTTGTTATCTCTGGCTAAAATTGCGGCTTTGATAATTGTTGCCAGAGAGGGAGTCTTTGTGCACAGTCACTGCTGACGTTACAGTTCAACATTGGAGGTTTCTCCAAGAATTTACTAGAAATTTCTTGGGCTACCAATTGTTATTAGTTAAGAAAAAGGTGCCTTTATTTTTTTTTTCTTTTTTCCGTTTCGCGAAGAAAGCTTTATCTTCTTGAAATTGCTGTATTGCCTTGTCAAGAGAAATTGAAGAGCGAGAGTCGATTGCTCCTTCAATTGCTTGGCTTCATTCTAATTGTCGTTAGATACTAATATTTGTATCTACCCTTATGTCGATGATTATCGATTTTACATTTTCGTGAGTGGTAATTTGTAGTCTTCGCTGTTATTTCAAGATTTTGGATGACGCGTTAAAAGGACGGACTTAACCCGCAGTAAAGTTTGTTCATACGTTTTATGTATTGATTGAATTAATATATTCGGAATTCAAATTTTGGTGTCAAAATCTTGGTCCGAGCTTTTTGTTGAAGATGTCTAAATAGACTCTTCATTTATACAAAATCCTAGCCTGAAAATTTGCTTTGATTAGTAAATTAAGACCTAAAGCCCATTGTGAATTGCCCGCAAATCTTCCAGGAACTAGGAAGTATACTTAGCAATCGAAACATCATAATCGTAATAACGGACAAGAAGTGTTTCCAAATTTGATTCCTCCATTACTTTCCTTAGATTCCTTATCATCATCGTGTACAATGATTATACATATAAAGAATTTATGTAATTTTACCAAAAACACAAAATTAGTATCCATGTATCGTTAATTATATAGACAACCTAATACACAAACATAGATACCCTACCAAAATCTGTCCTTGTTAACACTCAAGTAGCCAGCCATTACCTTTCCCCCAGTATTTCTCATTCCATCTATAAGAAAGCACCAAGTAGATCCCAATGCACCAACGAAAAAATCAGAGTCAGCAGCCATCAGGAAATTGACCAGTGGGTAATTAGTGCTGCTCTCCCTACCCAGGCTGGCTTCATACTCTGCCATTGACACATTAGTTCTAGTTTGCCGTCTTACCTTTGTATAGTGAAAGTTCCAACCATAATATTCTTGGCTTTTGTCGATGACTCGCTGAAATCAAATCGAATTCATGATTAACAAGAAGGATGAATAAATACAAGCAAGCTGAAAATCCACAACTGCAGTACCTGCATCTCTGTGGAGAGCCAAATCGTGTTGAGGTTTGGGAAATGCCTCCTGATCCGATCGGCAAGTTTCATGTATTCTTCAAATTCAACCACTTTCATTTCACACGCTTTGTCTCCCATTCTTACATGCATGCTTAGAAGAGGCCTAGGGACCCATGGCTTGTGATTGGACCACACATATTCTTCAATCTCAGACCCTGCCTTGTTACTATTTTCCTGAGACATCACCACCAGTGAACTTTGTGAATACAATGAAATTCAAGTTGAGATAAACAAGAATTTACACAAAATCTTATAATATCATCAACTTATCATACAATCATCACAGCTAACTAGAAGGGAAAATTAGGTAGATTTCCTAAACAACATCGTTTTCATTCTTCCTCATAGGTATATATGTATATATGTAGAGCATAGTCCCATGCGGGCTCCATTTTCTATATCCAACGAGAAAAATAGTGCAAAGTTAACCTTTGGCCATTCTTCAGCAACGCCATCAAGAACCATTTTTGCAGCTAGTTTTCCAAAGGCAGCGTGCCGGGCCTCATTCAATAAATTGCACATGTACTCTGTTGGGAATCTCATTAAGTAGCGTACAGCCTGAAACCCATAATTTGTAGCATCAGTGATATCATGGAGTGATAAACGAAAAAAAAAAGAGTGAAGCCGTGAAGGTTTATTGAGGTAAATTGCTACAAATGACAACATCATGAGTACCTGTGCTCTCCACCACCGTCTATCCATTTTTCTGTGAGAACCCATCAGACTGCCATTTATATCAGTTGTTGGTTGCAAATAATTCCATGGCTCACCCCATATCCTGCATCATATGTTGACATTGGAAGAAAGAATAAAAACTCTGTTTAGGATCTCAGTTAGCAACAAAATATTTATGACAGGTTGCAGTTGTTATGAAAGCTTGCCTAGGAGTTGGTCCTGCCCATATATGCCTTGTTGTATAATTTTCTTTTGTAGTCAAAGTTCCTTTACTCCAAGCATCTTCACTTTTTATGAGTTCCAATGCACGTTGACGGCATTCTGGGGAAGTTTCTGGAAAGAAGTAACAATTCCAACTTGACCGGGAAGATCCTGTATGAACACAATTGTCCACTTACAGTAACTATTCCATGCAGATAATCACATTGTAGATTGTACATCAGTTGTTAAAATCGACTAAGCGCCATAATATTCTTATACCTTTGCAACCATCATGGTCAGCTCTGTTATAGAAGTTAGTGACAAGGACTCTTCCTTCATTGATTGCAATAGCAAGAAGTCCACACATGCCAGCAATCTGAGCACCAATGCCAAAGCCAGGTAATCTCTCCCAATCAGCTAGAAGGAACTTGACATTTGGGTTGTTACAGTTTAATGGATGCTGATGGATCCATATGTCATGTTGAACTTTTCTAGTCAAGGGATAGTTTTCTTCATCAGATCCCGCAATCTGCAAAATGTTTCTATATAAGTGGCAAGTAATAACGACATTCTATCTTACTTTTACGCACATATTTTTAGTGTCATTTTTATCATCTGATGCAGCAGTCCATGAATCTTCTTCAAGTGTCTACATACTGTTGTTCTCATGATGATTATTATTATATCCTGAATGTTGGAATTCTGTGTTGAAAATGTGACTTAGCAAGATAACCAACGACCCCCGTGGTCGAAGAAAATTCAGTATTGCTATTTAATTTATATCAAAATTCCGTTACATAATCATGCACTTAATTCGGTATTTATAAACTGATAATAATCAAATCCTAATATGGTAATAGTTTCATAAATAAATAACACATTAAAATAATAAATTTGATAATGGGTTAGAATGATGCAATGGTTGTGAAAGGTGTTTGTTAACGAAATCAATGTGACTTATTAGCGCATAGTAATTCTTGCACGAGTGTCAATAGATACAAGCAATCAAATTTTTAAGATAACATTAAAATAATTTCACCATAGATTCAACAAACTTTAGTATAGCACATCTTGAGTTTTTTATTGGTTATGTATATAGGCTCTTAAAGAATTACTGGTTAGGATGCTTTGAGGTAATGATAAAAAAAATTATGGTAATAATTTAATTAGAAACATACCCATGGTGGATAAGAACCCTCAAATACAGCCTGATGCCTTAAGTTCTTAAAATGTTCATTGGCTGCAGCAACAGGGTGAGTGCCCAACAATCCTTTCCAACTTGTCCATTGGGGAAAGCTATGATTTCCCATAGGCTTATCAAGACGGTCATATAGCAGTGTTTTCACCTTGCAGTTTTCAAAGTGTGGGGCTTTAGGCAAACTGGACCCACTAATTCCAAGTTTCTTTAAGCACACATTCCCCCTACTTTCAGATTTAGTCAACACACAACTCCAAGCTGAATAAAGCAACAAAACTCTTTCACCCTTATCTCTCTCTTTTCTGCTCTTCAAATCCGTTAATTTCTGTGTTTCCTTAGGTTTAAAATTGCAGCCTGTTCTTGTCACCATAAGAAGGCAAAAGAAATAAATAAAAAACTACACTCTATTAATTTAATTTAATATATCAGTATTGATAATAATATAATGGCAAATGCTAAGAGGACACCGATTAAGGAATCAAAAGAGAAAATTCTTTAAGCAAATGTTAACTAATAATTTAAAGGCACTAGTTAAGGAATTGATAGTATAAATTTTTGTTGGTAAATGTTAATAATATACTTTTTCTCGTGATATTTGATGCAGTACATTGTGATTTTCAATGAAAACATTCCATTCTTGATTTCTTATTAGGACATTGGTTAGAAGAACCTATTTTTTTTAATTAAAAACTAGTATTAAATGCACACTTACTGTGATTTTCAATGCAATTTTTATAATTTTTTTCTCTTTTGAATTCCTTAATCAATGCCTTAAAACATGGGTTAGCAAAACCCTAATAAAATTATTTATAGGGTTACTACATTAAAGTGTTTCATCCTATTATAAACAGTTGGTAACTGCATGCTTGTTCTTATGGTACCAGGTGCGGTCAAAGTAAAAAAAATGGCTATTAGAGTATGCTTAATTTAAAGCAAACATCAGCATAAGTTGCTTCGGTTAGAAGCCATAAAATCCATACTCATCAAGCTTGCTTCAACGTCCCTAAAGTTTCAACAGAATTAAACAATGCTTTGCATTAAACTTGGGGAAAGCAGCAGGAATTTATGACAACAAAAGAAATACATACATGAAGGAAATTAGTTCCATCCTTGTTCTTTAGTTACAGTGTATCTTGAATTGACTTACTGATGAGAAGGAAGCTGAAGATGGGAATTGACTTACTGATGTTATTATTGAGATCTGAATTCCATGATAAATTAAGCATTGACATGGTTGAAAATGAGAAGCCACCAAACTGGAAGGTGCCAAAGGAAGTTAGAGCCGCCAAAATCAGAGAGGCAAGACAGACACCACAAAGAAACCCCACAACACAAATATGACATGGGAATGAGCTTCCCATTTGCAGGGCTTTCTGTGAAACCACTCGCTCAAGAGACCTTTGATTTAATGGCTCCATTTCACTCTTCTCATGAATTTTCTCAAAAATGCTTATACATTCTTTTTCTTGAAAATTTCATGCACTCACTTACTAGGACTGCATACAATACATGCTAGCTTTTCATGATCCACAAAACTTCAAACCTTAAAAAGAAAAGAAAAAGAGGACACAATTATCGGATCATGCCACCTCAAAACATTTTGTGGGCCATCCCTGTTATCCTTGCAACTGCAACATAAATGCGTGAACTGTGAAAGTTTCCTTCAGAATTTATTAAAGCTAAATTCTTATAGAAAGTCAGAAAGGGACAAAGGGTTTAGGACACATGTTCATCACACAAGAAAAGTGTGATCAAGTTGGATGAAGGTAGGAATGAAAACCCAACTAAATGGGAATTCACTTGTTTTCTTGAAAACTTATTTGAAAGTCTTCAAAATGATGAAGCAAAAAAGAAAAGAAGATAGAGTTAAGGAGAGTAGTTAAACAAATTGAGTTGAAGTGGAACAAGGTCTAAACTTTTATTAGAAGCTAACACCCCATAAAGATTTAGAATTGGAAAAACTTGAAAAGAATAGAGTCATTGCAAAGAAAGGAATGGGAAGGCATGATTGAAGAGCATGAACTTGATAACTGGCTTTGAAAGTGGAAGGCTAAAGACACATTCCGTGAAGGAAGCACAGAAGCAATCCGTGAACAAGATAAGCCTTAACCCAAAACAGTGAGGCTGATGTTTACCTGCTCCTTTTATTGTTCTTTTATTTTTATATATTGAAATAGTAAAAAGAAATAAAAGATGTTAAAGAAAGAAAATTAGGTAGTTTAATGAATAAAGATGTTATTTAGTTACCTTTGAGTTGAGGTTGGGGTAACATGAGAGAAGAGAATGGAATTTGAAATGCAATAATATTTGATACAAGTGTCCAAGGAAGGGAAGGCAAGTGAGTGGCACCAATGATATGAAGAGTGGCAAGTGGCGGTGTGCTACTTTTACTTGTTGCCATATGTAATCTCATATCCATCATGGTCCCCTCTTTCTTTCTCATTTCTAGCTGTACCTTAACTTCAACTATAACCTGTCCTCCTTCCTATTTATTTAGAATAATTCTAAATCTCTTGTCTTTTTTTAATTATTAAATGATAAAAATATTATTTTTTATGTTTTAAAGATTATATATATATAAAACTTGGACACAATAATAGAAGCAAAATAAGTAAACCATTATTACTCCAAGCTTGAATTAGGCTTGTTTAATAATTATTTTACAAAGCTGTGTTATTATTAAGTGAAATCAACGATTCAACAATTATTTATTGTTTAGCTTGTTTGTGACAAGTAAGTTATGATAAGAGTAATAATTTTAAAAATTAATAAAAATTATCATGAATAAATTTAAAAAATTAAAATTTTAATTTTTAGTTATTTTTTAGAACATTATTATTGCTAATCTTATAGTGATTGTAAAGTCATATACTTTGTTAATATAATTAATATCTTTTTGTTTATATTAAAACTACATTTGTTTTTTTTTTAAGATGACGTTCACTTTTGGACTTTGCTAGATTGGTTTCTCATGCGACTGATATAATGGTACGCGCATTTGTTGTGAGTGAGAGGCAGTTATTAGTGAATTAAACAATAACTTAATAAATCATAAACCAATGACAGAGCGAGTGTTAGTTACGTGTTTGTATTGGAAAATGAGATAGGAATGACTCAGTGAATGAGAGAAAAGTGGTAACCTTGATATCAATAAACGGCGGCTAATTCAAGCATAATAATTAAAAAAGTTAATTATTTTAGAATTAACTAGTGTTTCAAGCATGATAATTAAAAAATTAATCAATAATTTTTATTAAAAATATTTTAAAATATATTTAAAATATAATAAAATATGATAATTAAATTTTTTGTTATTGTTTTACATTATTTTTTAATCAATATTCTAAAAGCGTCCATTAATATTTCCCTTTTTGTAAGAACCAGCAAAAGGGCCCTGCCTACTGTGTTGATTTGATCCAATTCTCGACACATGCCCACAGATCAAATCATTTATCTGATAGATTATCACGGGTTACATTTGATTAGGATAAATAATTTTTAGTTGAACATTCAAAAATTAATGTGATATTGATATTATAGATATGATTATATATATATATATATATTATTTTTTAATTTATAAAAATAATTATTTATACTTTCATTTTAATATAGACAAAATATGTGTTGTGTAAAAGTAAAATATTACTCTAATTTGATTATCTCTCCAAGCTAGATTTGGTCTTTCTAAACAAAGGGGTTAAGTGTCTCATGTCAATTAATTTTTTATAAGACCTCAATAATTTTCTTAAACTATTTTTAAAAAATAATCAGACCTGATTTTTTAATATGTTATTTGAATTTAAGTTTGGACAAATTTTCTTTACTTTTTAGAATGAATTAAACTTATTTTTTTAATACTAAATATTGGCCAATTGGATAGGTTGATATGTTGCCTTTGATTTTTTTTTTTCCCTCTCCATCAATGAGCATTAAATAAAAGAATTACAATACAACTGTTATGATATTTAGTATTACTAACCTATCGAATAATTTATATAACATGTTAAGAATTTTAGTTTAACAAAAAAAGTTCAGATGTAAAGAACGTTAATGAAGTGTCTGATGCCCTTTTTTTCATTATTATTACTAAAATACTAGCAAACAATGTGTATAATATTTTGAGATTTTTAAATCCTTTAACATATTTTTTTAAAAAAATAATAATATTGCTCCTAAGAATTGAGTTTAAAAAAATAACACTAAAAGAACGAAAGTTGGTCTAAGTGACAAACAATTTATATTAAACTGGATTAAAAAATAATATTAAAAGAATTATTAAAATTATTTATTACATATTTTAAAAATTTAATATAATAAATATATTTTTAAATATTTAAACAAAATCTTTAACAAAAGTCTTTTCTCTCTGTATAAAATTAAAGAACTTTGCTATATCTTTCTAATATTTTTTAATAATGTTCTTATTACTTTATAACGTAAATATTAAATGAAAATATTCATTTCTTACTATTATATTAAAAACATAAAAAATATTAAATACTTTTTCATTTAATAATTAAGAAGATGTGTAGAAACACAGGATAAGAGGATTTAAAATTATTCAAAATCAAAACTTCAAAACAAAAAGAAGGAATATATTAATTGAAGTCGATTGATTTTTGTTTTGTTTTTTGGGTACAATTAAAGTCAATTGGTATTCCAAAGACTTAAATGAAGGCAACGAATGGGCCCAAGTATGAGCACAACCCACGTAGGAATCTTAACGGTCAAATTTCGAAAGCTCGGGGATTCCGAAGCTTTTTCATGACCGTTTGCTTCTCTTTTCCTCAAATCCCTTCTGAGTTCTCTTTAGAAGTAAAGTCACTTCAACTTTATGCAAATTAGAAGTGGCTAATGATGAGGTGCTTTCTACATTGTTTTCGCACTTCTAAACGTCCAAAGCAATTGCGTTCAGCCAATGCTACTCCCGTTGTAAGTTCCCTCACTCGCTGCACATTTCACTGCATATCCCTCTCACTCTTTTCATTCTTTTTCACAGACCCATGTCTCAGAAGGAGCTGTTGAATCTGCTTTCCCACTCACACCGCAAGAAAAGAGTGTTGTCAAAGAACCCATTGATTGCACAGCAGAATCAAAGTAAGCTATCCATATTCCATTCCATTATGATCTCAACTCAACATTGTTCAGCTCAAATGCTTATTTTGATTGTAACGTTATTTACGTTTTCAGAATAAAAGCATCAAGGGAAGAGGAAGCACCTCAGATTAGTGAGAAGAAAAATTATTATGAAGAATCTTCGGAGTCCCTGTTCTCTCTCTCTATTGGTTCCAGAATACAAGTTTCAGCCGCAGAAACAACCGAGAATGAAGTTAACAGTCCAATCCAATTCGTCTGCAGAAGAGAGGAATCTGAAGCATTTGGGTCAACCCCAAGTCAAAGTCAAAATCTTTCGCAAGAAGCAAAGGAAGAGAACACCGTGCTACTTGAAGAGAAACCGAGTTGCATTGCCATAGAGAAGGAAATATCTTCTGCCAAGGAACCAATTGAGAACAAAAAAGAAGGGAAAGGAAGATCGTGGAATGACCCAGTTCCTGAGTATAGATATAGAGATTGCTCTGATGAGGGATACGGCGATATTAATCTAGATGGAAGTGATTTAGATGCTACGTTTGAAGGTGTTAACCGAAAATGGGGTATTCAAGAAGAGTCCTCCGAATCGTTGTTTTCTCTATCCACTGATTCCAGAAAACGAATTTCATCAGCAGAAGCAGAGAATGAAGTTAACAGTCTAATGCCTATCCATCGCATCACACAAGAAGAAACTCAAAGGAGTTCAGGTGTTTCCTCAGTGCTAAATCCAATTGAGAATCTTACTCAAGAGAGGGTGGTCAAAGCAACAGTGTTGAAGGCACTGAACAATGATAAGGAAAACATCAACTTGGCAGTGAAGGATGTTGACATACCCATCAGTCCTGAGCCCAGTTTGAAGCTGTCAAACCGCAAGGCAAGGCAGAGCTTCAATGACAAAAAGCAAGAAATTGGTGTAGACACCAGCCTCTCTAGCTGGTTGGTTGAATCGGAAACCACACCGATTTCCATGAAGAGTAACGATTCAGTGGGAGAACAAACACCAAAAGGAGGAAGACGCTCACCGTGGAGTCATGAGGATAGGCCAATTTTAGGAGCGTTGACCGTTGAAGAGATAAGGATGTATTCTATATCTACATCTTCAAGAAAATCAAGAAGCCGGAGTCCGGATGAGACCCCCATAATAGGTACTGTTGGGAGCTATTGGAGTCACACAGGGCAGAACTTAGATTCGGAATTCAGCAAAAGTGGAAAGGTAAGTAACATATATATTTATTTCTAGTTAGTTAGTGTATGGACAAGACTGAACAAACAGATAATTGCTTGTATTGCAGGATGCGAAAGTAAACTTGAGTTCAACGACAGTAAAGATCAGGCTAGAACGAGCGTTTGAGGCTAGTGTTGCTCAAGTTTGAACTCTCGGGTCCTTCAGCTGGTCAAGAAGCGAGGTTTTCCCTGGTTTGTAGCCCCTGAAGAATACTCGTGACAAACAAAGGCATAAACCATTTGTTTTTTACTTCACTAGTTATCATTCAGTTCTTTCTTTGATTTTAAGTTCTTTCGCAGTTATTTTGTCCAAATATTGAGAAGAGTAAATCAAGGTCGAGACGGATGTTTAAGATAAAAATGATGTTTCAATTTGTATGTTTTTGTGCTAGCGATAGTACCGAAGCAGGGTGTGCAAACCACCAGTGCCACTTTGCGGTGATGACGTATATATAAAATTACAAATAAATGAACAAGATTATAACAAAAATGATGCCTCTTACCTAACCTTTTAACACTAATATTGAGATATACATTACACAACAGTGATTGAGAATCTTTTCCTCACCTACTAATGACAACAATAGTCCACAACCCACCCCCACTCTTAACAGGGACCTAGACATCATGAAAGAGTCTCCTTATCTGGTCAACTGTTGCAGGCATCAACGTAATTGGGCAGCGCTTAGACTGTAAGTAGGAGGACGAAACAAACGTTAGAAAAAAAGAATAGAAAGCGACTGGTGAGTTGTAACATTAAAAGGTTTTTAGCAAGCCCATGTTATGTTAATCTATGTAAATTCTGGCTAATTTCATTAAAATGTTTCTCACTAAGAAAAGGTTTCATGCATTCACAAATATCAATTGTAACAGTATTTCACAGAGATTTCCTACTTCCTCTGAACATGACAGTTAGGATGGCTAGAGATCTCACCTGAGTAACATACTTAAATATGCAAGCATAGCAAAAGACGAACCCTGACACTGTAACTACAGATGGATTTACACGCTTCTGTGAGCATAAGGGGCAAATTGTTCTGTCTGGTGGTAGTGGTATCCCCTCTTTTGCTACCTGTTTATATCAATACATAAATATTGAAAGTTAAACTTTTACAATAAAAGTTGAAAATAGTTTAAATTTATATGACCAGAGTTCATTCATGTGATATAAAGAACTAGTCAAAGCAAGTATGGAAGGAGAAAGAGGTGGTGCGAAAAGCTTAAAATTTGTTTTCTCACCTTTGGTGGAGGAGGAGGAGGGGGAGGAGGATATACTGTTGGAGCTGACATTCTCTCCTCGGCAGACTGGTACCACCATTCCATCATCTACATGATTCAAATAGGCAATGTGTTAATAATTATGCTACCGATTAATTTGCACATAAAGCTAATGTATTAAACAGCATATCGCCAGAAGGCATATTGTTGGTTAGTACTCAATTAAAGAAGGAAAAAAATATTTAAAGGGTATGCCATCTCACTTTAAAGAAGAACACAGCTGCAATCAAACCGGTTTGTGCATAGTCAAGTACCGTGTATGTACAGCTGAGCAATGCTCCTTGCAATGTCTGAGATATGAAATACATCATATAATCATAATCTGCTACATGTGAATAAATGGCCCATAAGCAGAACATTTATTCATACAGTCAGCATTATCATGCATAGTAACAGATAGCCTATGCTAATGTACAGAAGGAAAGTTTAATTATTTTATCCTGCATAAAACATAAAAGAATTAATAATCATAAACAAGTTTCTCACTTTGCAGGTGCAACAAGACTTGTGCAGCTATGTGTAGACGCCAGTTATAAGTTTTACTTTTCAATGGTTTGATCATTTTGGAATTCAAACAAATTAAGATTTTATTTGTAGGAATATCATTCATATTATAGATTTAATGACGATACAGGTGCAATAATAATAAAAAATTAACACAAGATAATATAATAAATTTGAACTTTTTATTGTTAAATAAATCTGACTTAAAATTAATTGATATAAAAATAATTTTATAAAATTAGTTCTTTAAATGTAAGAAATAAATGAGAAGCAATAAATTCCCTTGGTTGTAAGCAGGATTAATTTTAATTTTTACTAGATAAAGTTTTTTTTTGTAAATTTTTTATAGAATGAGAGACCATAAGGAGTGTTCTCTTTATAACTGTACAAATAATTACTAAACTCCAAAATTGTTTTTGTTGGTTGCTCGAATCTATTCTATCATACATATTATTTTTAATTTTGTCTAAATACATATCCAAAATGACATGAAACTACTCATGCACCAAAGAAACCAGAGCAAAAAACTCACTGAAATTAATCATTGCAAAATAATTAGTAGACACAAGCTTGAAAGTAATGGGAAGATAATATTATCGTGATGACAAAAAAAATCACATACCTTCAACCATTGAGGGCCACGAAGTCTCTCACGTTCACGGCTACGCATCTTTGAAATTCTAGAAGAGGTATCCATCTATCTTGACATGAAATGGGTGAAATGCAAAGTCAAACATATAAACAGAAAACACAAATTTCTTTTCTGGTATTAGCTGAGAGTAACTGCAATTCAAATTGAAGAAGGCAAATAACAGTATAGTATATATTTTGTCAAGCATAATTTCCATACCATAGAGTATAGGTACATGAAAGATTGATGCAGAGTAGCTGAAAATCATGGACTAGCATACCCATTGCATTTGAAACAAAATTTAGTACTCCCGGTAGTACCATGCATTAAATTAGCAACTGCAAACCTAGTTTAGCATGCCAACAGATTTTTTTTCCATATTTCCACTCATTAGCCACATTTAATACCACCCACAAACAAACAAAGTCAGCACTCAACAAACACCAGTGGTAATAACATTTTAAAATGTTGACAAACAGGTTGCTGCCAATATAGGCTAAGCTTGGGAATTGTGATAGTGCTCATGTCAAACCAAAAAAAAGGAAAAAACTCATTTTAAAAAAGCAGAGCAAATAAAAATTATGCATCTGTGACATATGAAAAATGCAAGGCTGGTTATAGTTGTCCAAATAAAACACAAAATAAATGCCATATCCTAAATTATCTACCAGCTCTTGCCCTGTAGCTCGGCAAACATGAATCCCAAGCACGTGCAGTGGCAGTGAGTAGTATCCAGTAGCATCCAACAGGTACAACAGCTGGTAAGCAAATTGCAAGCCTGCATTGTAGAACAACCATCGAATTCTTAAAATCATTGAATTCACAAAATCAATAATAATAAAAAAACGATAGTGTTAATAAAATCCAAAGTCGCTGGCAACTTGCAATTCACATACCCTCAGTAGTAGCATGTAACCAGGGGTAGCAAAACCCTACAATTCTCTGAAGTCTCTTAGTAATCGTTGCATTAACGGAGGGAGCGGAATCGGAGGTTGAATAATCATGCTCAAAAGCTCCTTCGTCTTCATGTCCCCAGAGAGTGGCTTGAAGATTGGCTTGCCTTTCTCTGTTGTAGATAGAATGCAATTTAGATTTGAAATAGGGGAACACAACCTGTTCCAAAAAGAGGAATGAATAATTAAATCGGAGGAGTAATCAGGGTTGCACAAGTAGAGTAACGGAGTACCAAAAACAGAACGGAAAGAAGTCTCTGGCGCCGGCGTAAGCCTGCGGCTGAGGAGGAAGTGGAATGGTTTTGGAGGGTGAAATTGGCGGGTCTTCGACGGAGACCGTAAAGAGATTCGGAGAAGGAAGCATCGGTGGTTCGTAAGGTGTGAGATTCGAGAAGTAGCATTAGTAAGGCGAATGATTCGTCTTCGAAATCTAAGAGTTTGTGAAGGAAGGGTCTCCGTAAGGCCAATACGCCAATGGAATATGTAAGAGCGCCGCGGAGACTCGCCGGAAGTTGTTCCGCCGCCGCCATCTCGAAAAACGTCGGTCGACTCCCTTGCCCTCCCACCTGAAACAACATCTCTCTCTCTCTCTCTCTGCCTCCCGATAACACATCCAAGTAATCATAACATAAAAATTTGTAAACAACAATAGAAAATAAAATAGAGAGTGAACTTCCAATTTTTTCCCAAAAAATTTTGTTAGAAGTAATTTAGTCGCTAAGGAAAAAGAAAAGATAAATTAGTTAAATAATTTTTAAATTTTTTTCATAAGGTAAATTAGTTCTTCCATTAAAAGATATTTGTTTAACTTAATAAAATTACTTACTTAATTTATGAACTAGTTGAGATGGGTGGCACATATAATTTTTATTTAAAAAAATAAATTTTTTAACTAAATTGATCTTTGAAAAAATTCATTAGAATCAATTTATATATTCTTTAATACTAAAATTAATTTTTAGAGACAATTTGACTAAAACAAGTATGTTTTTAATAGAATATGTAAACAGCTTGGTTAATTTAAATAAAGGTATTCAACATAAAAACTAACGTGCCTCACCACAAAAATTTCAAGAATTATTTGATGACTTTTATTTTTTTAAGAATCAAATTAGATCTAATAATTTTTTTTCAGGAATCATTTCAGTACTATATCTAAATAAATGTCTTGTATGATATTAAATAAAGTGAATCTTATCTAGCCCCTTTCTTCTTTTAAATAGCAACTTAAATTATCTCTTTTTTACTTTTTTTTTCTTTCCTTTTAATTTTTCATTAATCTAAATGTGCCCAGGATTGGTCTTCACGTAACTTGAAGATTTCCACAAGTTGGGTCAAATAGTTCATCCAAATTAAAAAAAGAAAAAAAGTGGACGTGAATTAGAAGTAACACAAGTTTGCACGAGTTATATTCAAATGAAAACTTGAGATTACTCAACCGAATCCATGTACACAAGTAACATATATTTTGTATTACAAATTGTCACGCTCAAAGAGGCAAACATTAGCTGGCTATTATTCAGTGTTTATGCTGAGACCCACACACTAAGTTAATTTCCTGCATTGTGTGATCCTTGGCAACCTATGTTTCTGTTAACATTGCTTCTGATGATAATGCTGGAACCTTCATCGTGTCCAATTCAGCTACTCAATTTACAAAGGAAAATAAGACCTCACTAGAACTAGGATAACTGTGCATGCTTCTCTCTCTGTCATGTCACATTTTCAACTCTGTTGTTTGCATCAAATAAACTCAACTACCCAAGCAATAGCTTAAAAAAACAACGAAAAGAAAAAAGAGGATATTATCACCTTATAAAATGTCATAACCATCAAGTTGAAACGTTTCTACAAATTCCATATGTCCAAACTAGTCCAAGAATATAAAACAAATCAGTGAAATTAATTTTATCCCAAATAATGAAGCCATAGTCATGATTACTGTGCAATTTGAGTGTATCATTATGACAAGCACAAGGGTACTTCCACCATATTATCTCTACAAGCAGAGAATAGCGCTACTGTCATGAACTCTTCACCCGTTTTGTGGGGGGTGGAGCAAACTGATTGTCGGCCGCCTCTGCCTCCACCACATCGGCTTCATTAACAACTTCAGCTTCACTTGCCAATGCCATTTGTTTTGGACTTGCATCCTGGGAACTTTCTTCTGACATGGTTTTCGGGATGCTATGGTTGCTTCCAAGTTCGTCATGCTCTTCATTTGAGGTTTCCACTGGCGGAGAAGGAAGTGCGGTGTCTAATGGCGCAGCAGAAGGCTCATCAATAAGGGAAGAGGTGCCCTTAACCTTGCTGTCACCCATCTCTCTCTGTTTCTCAAACATCATCTGAAGACGTTTCCCTTGGTCTTCAATTTGAATCTGCAACTTTCTTTGGATCTGCATAACAGTTACAATATCTGAACGTGCCAAAAGCTAGAAATTCCTCTCTCCCCAATGAGAAAGAAACAGAGAACAAACCCCTCTGGATTCCAGACATAGTGAATCTCAAGTACTAATAATTAATGAATTACCTCAAGTTGTTCGTGAAGTCGCTTCTGGAGTTCCATCTGTAACCGTAATGCTTCAGTGATCCCTTTACTCCTGCAAAATCCAAAGTGTTTCTGAGCATTCTGTTCACTTGAAGACAAGAGAATCTTATGGAACAGTTTATATAGCACGAGTAGTAAGTATCTTAGCAACGTAATAATTAAAGTTACGAGAAGCAAACAGTACACTCCACTTGATGCATTGATGCAATAACTAAAATGTATGAGTGCGTGCACATAGAGAGAGAGAGAGAGAGAGAATGCTCACGTTTTCAAGTCTAGAGATTTCATTTCTTCTATTGGAGTCTGTTTGTCGGAAGTTCCTGCAAGAAGAGTAGAGCAACCCATTCACACCCTTGATTTTTGGAAAAAAAGAAAGGAATTTCTGTGCTTATAATGCACAGTAACCCTTAAGACATTATATTATTCCAATTTATGGAGAATGGGGGAAAACGGCATTTATCACTTTCCATTAGTTTGGATGAGAGAACAGGAAAAAATAATTAGAACTTTGAAATGAAGAGACTTTTCTTTCTTTCAAACTTCTGTTTGCATTTTCTCTTCAACAATTAAGAGAAGTTCCCAATTTTTAAAATGTTCTTTGCTCTTTATTTTCTTTCTTTCAATCCAAAATAGGGTTAAGGAAGTATGAACAAGAACAATTCATCCAAAAAGTGCATTTGATATTGCAAGCAAAACATCTTTCTTGAAGCCAGGGTATATGAAAATGAAACTCAGAAATACACTAGCATACCTTCTGAAGTCTCTGGCTTGTATCTGGCAGTTCTATACTTCTGAAATTAAAAATACAAATAATTTGTGAGAAACATTAGGCTAAATAAATAGACAGACACATACCCACAAGCTATTTATGAGGATGAAAAATCGTAGTTGTACCTGGAGGTGGCTTTTTACATGATAGATAGTAAGGCCCTCGACTTTCATTATATTCAAGACACCCTTTGGAGTAGCCTCTGCATGTTGGTCAACATCATGAGAAACAAGAAACATTCCCGAGATAAGGCAAAAATGTTTGAGATTATGGAGAAGTGAACATACTTTCACCACCACCAAGCTGATTGACTGCTTCCACGAAGGCTTCGTGAAGTTCCGGAGTCCAACGCATTCTAGGCTTAGTCTGCGGTGCAGTTGATGCCGTATTACATAGAACATTAACTTCTCCAGATGGTATAAAGAACTGCTGGGAAACCTGAGTTGCCTGCATCAATAGAGTATAGGATATGTTTCTCCAACTTGTACAGTAACAATAAATATACACAAGAGAAACTATTGACAAAAAGGTAAGGCACACATGGCTATGAAATATATTGAAAATATAACTAAGCACCAAAATGCACAAAAATAAATTACAACACTCTCCATGCAGAATGGTGAATGAAACGGGAAACTTAGAAGATGGAGGTTTATAGACATCATTAAGTCACTTGTCCAAAATAAAAAGATCAAGATTGACTTGATTTTAATCTGCATCAGTGAGCATCATGACCTTTGGACCACAAAGAGGCATCCAACAACGAGATGCCACCTACAAATGCTAGTAACTTCACAGGTGAAAATAACCATTGCACTAATCATCTTGAGAAACAAACCTTTGGTTTTGGTTCTGCTACATTGTCATCACCAAGAAGCTGACTCCAATTTGGCTGAAGAGAATCATCAATTGACATTAACTGATCAACCCACTCCCCAAAATCAGATTTTCTAACACTGACATCATTCACGTAACAAGCACTGTTTTCCTCCTGATCATGCTGGACAGAAACATTTTCAGGAAAACTAATAATATCCTGAAATGGATCTGGTCCCCAGGAAATATCTTCACTCCCTTGTGGGTGAGAAATGAATGTTGTTGGATGCATTTTAGAAGATTCATTGTCACATAACGTCTGAGTAACAAAGTGGGAATCTTGATATTGCCTATCATGCTGTGAAACTGAAGAAAATGGCATGTCATCAGAACATTCAGTAGGTGACGAAAACATCTTCCCAGCACTTTTGATCAGATTTGTTGATGTCGCTGAAAGTGAGGAAGGATTAGTAGTCAGATCATCCAAAGGTGAAAGCTGAAAAGAATCTGGGGGTTTCATATACTTGTTTTCCAGGGGAGTTGGAAGAAGACGAGAAGATGATGTCATAGCTCTTGAGGCTTCCAAGCGAATCAGCTTTGTCTGTCCTGATTTCAACTAAAAAACAGGTTTATGTCAGCTAATCAATCAGTAATAACAAATTATCATTACCGCCTATTGTACAAAATATACAGCAATTCAGTAAGCTAAATTGTTCTCTTTTTTCAAATCTCACCGATCAAGAACATAAGCTTGTTATTCCTCTGATGAGTAAATAGTTAATGTCATAAAATAAAAGCACTATAAAATGGATTTCTGTAATCTGACACGGTTAATAGCCAAACACATCACAATTTGCACAGATATTATTCAAAGAATGGCAAAAGATTTTGAGGGGAAAAAAGTTTCAAAAATAAACTAGCCCATACATGCTTAGAAGTAATGTAATTGGAATCACAAAGTCTACAACTTACGGGAGGCACGAAAGCAAAATCCGTTCATATACAATATGCACCTCCGTTAAGCCTTAAGGCTTACAAGTTAAAATCGCAAAGGTAAATAAGATGAAACGAGAAACTTAACATTCAGATTCTACAACTCCGATAAAATAGAAACTAGACTTACTACTACTTGTAATTAGACATTATGACTGAAGAAATCCCACCCCAAAATATTTTTGAAAAAATGATTAAAATCTAAGCCACTCATGGACAAAAACATATGGGTAGCAATTTGTGAGTTGCTGTTGCTATTAAAAACTAAGCCACTCAAAGACCAATGTATAAAATACTATCATGAATGATAATTTTGAAAAGAGTCCTACTTCTGAATCAGTTTTGACAGAAGGAAGGCTTGAGGAAGAACAGTGTTAAAGGGGTGCTTTCAAATTGGAATTCAGCCTTAAAAACATGACAAGGTCACCGTCCGTGTCAAGAAACATCAGAACCTCCACACCTCGCTCTTCACAACCACAAATTAAAGATAATGAACCCACCACGCAAGATGCATTTTTTGCTAAGTAAAACCCACAATTGTTTGCTGAGACCACCAATTCAGACCATAACGGATCAAAATCACACTTTTCAGACTTATAAGATTTTATTTTATTTTTTCAGAAGGTGAAATTTACCAAATTTAACGTGAAATATAGAAGTTTAAGGTCAAATTAATAATCTTATCTGAAAATACAGCCAACCCAATAATGATAATATTGATAATAAACAGTATAGTCTGAATAGGGGGAAAATCGAAATTGGATTATGGGGGAAAGAGAACGCACCTATAAAATGATGATGATGATTATTATGGAGTTGGGAAAAACCGGTAACGGAATCTAAACAGCTGGGAATCCAACAAAAATGGAGGGTATGAGAGAGAATAGAAGGATGAGAATGAGGGAGGAGGAGTTGTAATGCACACGTACTTGAGTTTGTCGTGTCTAACTCAAACAAACAACCTCGGAACCTAAGCTCCGTCCCAGGCTCTTGCTTTTGGTTCTAGTTCTCATGATTAAGTGAAGCTAAAAATGCTATCATGCGCCTCACACGTGTGAGCGTTGTTCATTTTGGGCCGTCCGATTTATTTGCAAATTGCAAGTTGTTGACTTTGATAAGGAAAGAAAATAATGAGACATAAAAGAAAAGTGAAGTGCATGTTGTTGATGGCTGCTGATGAGTACCAAAGGCTGCCAATGAACGGTTGTGTGAGTGTTAAAGGTAAAATATGAACAGAGCAATGCATGAAATTGGATACACACACGTCCAAAATGGTCAATCTCTGTCACTTTCTAATTCCTTTTGGGAACTTGGTGTGCCTTCTGCCACTTTCTTCGTTCCTACTTGTTCTGCTTTGTCAAATCACTTCTGTGGAAAATTAATGGAAACTATGGTGTAATTAATCAGTGTAGCATCACCCCCTTTTCCACCTTATTATATAATTAACTATTTTTGTTTATCGCCTTAGGAATTTTCCATGTAATATTCATCCTTGTTTCTAAATATCCAATTGTGCTTACTCAGTCCTGCTGGCCCAATACAGTGAATCTTCTGCATATATGAGTCAAATTCACAAGAATAGATTGTGGAATGTTATATTTCTGTCGTTAATTATTTCGCAATTTAATAAATTGATTAGGGTCTTAATTTTGATAAAAATTTATTATTTTATGAAGTTTATTAACTTTTAATATTTTAAAAATATGTATTTTATGAAATAAGATGCACGTAAGTTATGAAGAAATTTGGGATTTAGTCTTGTTAAATTTTGAATTTTGCAATAATTAATTATCTATTTTATGATAAATGTGTAAACCAATTAAAAATTTTGTAAAGAATATGAGTATAATAGAAAAAAGTAATTATTCTTTTTTAAGAAATTTATAAAGTAATACATAAAAATCTAAAACGGTGAGTGACAGATAAAAAGAATGAGAAAAAGTAAGTAACTAACATAAATAACACTATTAAACATTATATTAAATATAATACGTTTATTAGATTTATTAATTGAGACAGACACATATATAATATGTGACCTTTTATGTCAATAAATATTTATTAAATAAATCAAGCTTAAACAAAGATTTTGATCATAAAAAATTGAAATATATCTATTTGATTGTTCTCTTATATATATTTTCAATTTACTCAATCAATTTTTTTTTATTGGTGGTTTTGCTAAATTATTTTGTTGTTTGATAACATAACATTTAAGTTATCTTATACAATTTGGCTATGATTGTTGAATCAGACTCTTGTTCAATCAGAGTCCCCCCTCAGCAAATGGCATGTTGAATTCTCCATGCTTTTAGGGAAGGCAAGTGCAGATTGACTCCCAAACCACAATTGTCAATTGGCCTTAATCTGCTTTTTTTGTTGTCATGTTTCTACTATGCTCTTGTATCCCCTTATGATTGTTTGCTGGGCCTCGGCCCATGCAAGTATAATAATAATTAATAATAGAATGAGAATTAGTTTTAACTTATAACAATGGCTATTCATTTCAATGTTTTTTGAATTATATGAGAATATGCACAATATATATGTAATAATATTTTTATTTAACCTTTTACCTCATGTCAGCGCACATTGTGTTAAATTATTAGTTTAAATAAAATTGAACCTTTTTATTAACAAAATATATAAAAATAAATTTTAAAATATTATTCAAGCAATAAGAAACTTTCAATGTGATATCTTACTATTAAGAGTGTATTTGGTAACACAAATTTATACCTTAATTTAAGAACTTGTAGTTTTTAACAATTAACTCATAAAAAACTACTCTAAATAATATTCAGCTTATTGGAAATCATACCAATATTTTTCTTCACATTTTCACCTTTAACTTTTTAAACATTCATACATGTACAAAGTAACTCCAACTCATTTTATGACTCGCATAGAATTATGGTCACTGTTCTCCATTTTTTTATTCAATTAACAGTGATATTAAATAAAATAAAAACTATTTAAGTATTTGATTAATAATAAATAATTTATTTGATTAAATAATTATTAATGAATAAAATAAAATATATTTTATTTAAATATCACATTAATATAATATTATATATTTTTAATCATTGAATATTTTTTAGCTGATTATATAATTAAATTAAGTTTAGACAGGTATTAACTTATCATATAAACATTGCCCTTCTCGTTTTTTCATGAGAACTGAATTGATCTCCTTTCTCATGCTCTGCTGTTCCGTGTTCTACATGGAGACGTGTTGCCGACATTGGTATATCTCAAAATTTGTGTTTAAGAATGTGGATTTTAATTGAAATAATCATTGCACAACTAACAAAATTGCTAAAGAGGACAAGAACAACGTATGGGGTCGAAACGCTACTGTTTACGTACAAGGAAAGAGTTGCTACTGTTTAAATATCACGTGCTCAATTCTTCTATATACATGTGTCAACACATTGTGAATAGACCAATAAAGCGAGTCACTAGGAATCTGTTACTGTTAGCGTCTTGTGTTTGTGTTCGTTCTTCCCTATTATTCAGCATCTACCACCTTCCACATAGCACAAACTAGCTTCTCCATAACGCACAAAAAACCTTCGTTGAACGAGATTTTGGTGATGGCAACAGTGGAAGCAACCAATGAAGCCATGGCAACGGTAGCTGATAAGGCACCAATAACTGCTGAGAGAAAGGTTCCTTTGCACTTGGACACCAAGATCCCCAAACCCTGTAATCTACCATTTCTCTTCTTGTTTTTCTTTCAAGTTCGCTTTTTTAAATTACTTTAAGGACCCCAAAGGAGGGAATTTTAATGTGTTTTGATCAAATTTGACGCTTGAATTTGTGGGTTGTGGGTTGGTCTTTTTCTTTTTTTTAGATTTGCCTCGAGCTTTGAGTGCCCCTGATACAGAGAATGTCAATGGCACTTGGGGTCACAAACACAATAACATGTCCGTGCTTCAGCAGCATGTTTCCTTCTTTGACATTGACAATGATGGTATCGTGTACCCGTGGGAGACATATAAAGGTACTTTGAATCTTGTTTGTTTTTGTTTGTATGTTTATCTTTCTGATCTGAAAACTCTTCAGTCTTTGTTTTTTTTTATAATTGAAATGTATTATTATAGAATATAGATTCTTATTATTATTATTACTTCTGGGTAAACTACTATTTATTTTTAGAAACTACAAACTGTTTTTAAAAAGTAAATAAATATGTTCTAAATTTTTCATTTTGTATGGTTTTTTTAATATGAAGGAAACACCTTTCACTGTTGTTTTCATAATTTTGCAGGATTCCAAGCTCTTGGTTTCAACATGATTCTTTCCTTCATATTCTCGATCTTCATTAATGCAGCTCTGAGTTATCCTACTCTTCCTGTGAGACACTTTTAACATGAAACTGACTTAGATATAGGTCAAACTTGGAATAATTTTTTCAACGAGTACTGTAGGAGAAGAAAATAATTACTTTTCAAAATTTAATTCATTTATACTTTATTATTTTCTTCTCTTATAAATGTTTTTGACAAATTTATCCAAACTTTGTCTTATTCGATTTACCTTACCAAAAGTACTCCCACTTACTAGTTCCATGTTCTGACTTTTAACACAGACATGGCTACCTTCACCTTTCTTGCCAATTTACATACAAAACATACACAAGGCAAAGCATGGGAGTGACAGTGGTACCTATGACACAGAGGGAAGGTAAGTAAAATTAAGAAGAATGAGCTATTGATACTTGCTTTGGTGAATAGTAACATCAAGTGCTATGGCTATAAAACAACATTGCAGGTTCATCCCAGCAAATTTGGAAATCATGTTCAGTAAGTACGCTCGTGAGGTTCCTGATAAATTGTCATTAAGGGAGCTTTGGCACATGACTCAAGGAAACAGTGTTACATATGACTTCTTTGGATGGTACTATCTTTTCCTCCTACATTTTGTACACAATTATCCTACATGTTGAGAATGCCAACTAAAAGTGAGTAAATGTCTTTAACCCAATTGCAGGATTGCTAGTAAATTTGAGTGGGGAGTTCTGTATGTTCTAGCAAGAGATGAAGAAGGTTATCTGTCAAAAGAAGCTGTGAGGCGTTGCTTTGATGGAAGCTTATTTGAGTATTGTGCTAAAGTACGCAAGGGCACTACTGGAAAGATGGCTTGAGAGCTTTAGTTAATTCCCTATCAATATTCAGTGTTTCGATAAGAATTTTTATTACTGTTTCTAGTTAAGTGCTTTACTAAACTTTAGTTCACCTAAATGATTGTGCTTCCATTGCTTGAGCAGTTGAAAGAGCAAATAAAATTAGCAAATTACATTCCTTTTTTTTTTTCACTAATTTGTAATACCATTATTATTATATTATTACTTTTGCTGTATATTATTATTATGACTAACCTATTGAACAATTCTGAAATTTAAGCATGACTTATTATAAATTTTAAATGTCTGATTTGACTTATTAGTCTTTTTAATGACTTATTCTGTGATAAAAAAAGTTACATATGATATAATATAAACAAGTACAGAAAATGATGATAAATGAGATGAACTAACAATAAATATAATTGAAACAATCAGTGTTATAAATGTAATATATATACAAAAGATGTTAACAAATAAAATTTTTTTCTCTTGAAGAGTATATAATATAGATACTCTTTAATTTTAATAAAACAATCATGATATTTATTTTAAAATTTAATTTATTTAATATATTACTATAATTTATGAGTTTTAAATAAATTATTTTAATATATTTAATAGAATTTATTTAAGTTTAAGTATGATTTATTTAATTAATTAAATTTTAAAAAAATAAATTAAATTTATTAATTAAATAGGTTAAATCAAGCTAAGGTTTTAAAAAGTTAAATTGTAAGCTTCTATCGAATATTTTGGCTTATTTTTATTCCTACTCATAACTATATAATATATGATGGTTTAAATATTTTTTGAATCTTCAAATTCTGACGTGGGTGAATTTTGTAGTTGATAATTTTTATCTCAACGCCATTTTCAAGTTTTCAGTCTCCCGATCCTCCTTCCTTCCCCTGTACCCCGAATTTAAACAATGGCAATGCTTTGTATATCTTTGCATTCCATTCAAATGCAAATCCAAAGAAAATGAATTGTTTCTAGTCCCGCTAAGAAAGGCCTGCTTCCATAATTAGTAAAACTACTATCTTGTTTGAAGAAAAGGGGATTGCTTAAAGTAAACCTTAAAAAGGGAGTATGACATTATCTTCTTTTTATATAACTTTGCAACTCCGGACCTTCTATTTTTTTTTAGTTTATAACTTTTGAACAAACTTTTGAGTCTTATTTATTGTGATTTTCAGCATAAATCTTCTACTTCTTTTATTTATATAAGATGCATTGAATAGTGGATATGAAAGAAAAGAATGTATATGACACAAAGAAAAATCGTGACAGAAAGAAAGAGCCTAAAAACAATAATATATATAGAGAGAAACTTGACAGAAGAAAAAAAAAAAGGTCATCTACTAAGGGAAGCTATTATAACAAATAACGAAAATAATAAAAAATATGTTCTCACTATTTCTTGTAAAAATATTTGAAAATAAAGAATAAAGCGAAAAATATATATTTGCAGTTATATTTAAAAAAAAAAACACACTTTTATATTATAGATTTAACTTTTCACTCTTGAGGATGAGTATTTTAAAGATTTTTAATTTCAATAAATTTTTATTTAATTTGAGCATGAAACCTTTCTACATTAAATTTAAGAAAGTATTTAATATACAAAATTTTTTAAATTATGTTTCTTAAATATTCTGTTTATTGAGAATGTTATATAATATTTCTTGAAAATGTTTCAATATCGTATTTGATTAATTTTTAAAAAATATTGATCTTTTTTAAACAATTAAATTAAATTTGATAAAAAATAATATAAAACATTGTAACATGAGAAGTATCTTGATTCCTATAATTTATTTTTATAATCTTTTCTTCAAATTTAAAACTTCCATCTCTATATTAATTTTTTTTATCAATAATACAATATCTAAAATTCATTTTGCTTTATAAATTTTACTTAAAATTAAAGGTAGATGTTAACAAAACTGAATTTGAAATTGCTCGCATAATATAAGGAAAATGTTAGTATATTTTTTCAAATCAAATAAACTTTTTGGATACAACAGAATCTCATATTTCAAAACTTCCTGAAAAAGTTTATTCCAGGAATTCGGATTATACAACAATAAAGAAAACCAATCTTTGTATCATAAATTTGTTCCTCCCTACTTTGCCCTAACAAAAAAGAAAAATAATGAACCACTTGAAAATTATTTATCAACTTTCTGCAAATAAATGCAGACAATCAACAATTAAAGTAAAACTATTGCAGGCAATTAACAATAGAAGTTTAAACTACTCCTCCCGTACAACTAAGACACCTGAGGTTTTTAGTTCCCATTTTCAGTAATATAGTTGCTTCCCCAAAAGATGAATAGTTTGTAAGCAATGGAATCCTGAGCGCAGGCACCGCGACGATCAAAGATTGCTTCACAAAAGACATCATTGAGAGAGAAAATGTCAGGTCTATCATCTAATTAAAATAGATAATTTGGGATAACAAGATGTACAGGATGATGCTTCATTAGGAAACAATAAAAAATTAAAGTAGTGTAGAGACTAATAAAAATAGAACAGGGAATACCTTACGAAATTTATTGTTTCCCGTCTCCTGTACTGATCGCAGAATTGCTTCAATTGGCTGAGTTAAGACATTCCTCTTCTTACATGAACCTGATTTTCTATTCTTCCTTTCCCTAAAAGTTGAACCATCATAAATGCAGGCAGAAACTTCAGTCTTCTTATATTCGTTGAAACAACAACTCAGAGCTTTATATTTAAATGTAATCAGGGTAGCACATAGCAGAATATAGAATTGGGGCATCAGGAATTTAACGGCAAATAGAGAAATTTAAAAACAAAGAAAAAAGAGGAAAAAATAGGATCAACAGAGCTTTCAAAAAATTTTGACAAGAAGTCCCCTATCCAAAATCAAGCAGACGCCAGGAAACTTCTGTATTCAAAGGAAAGTGTCAGCACCAAACCATAACTGTGCAATGCATTATCCTCTTTCCCACAACAACTATGCCTTTTCCCACCAAATAAAGTTGGCTACATGGATCAAATGATGTTAAAATGTTCTATCATAAATCATATCTACAGACAACTATTGACCTCTAATTCTTTCTTAATGGTTTCACCAATAATTTTTCTCTGTCCTTAGTCTTAAGCAATTTATATACCCTCCATTTGATCTACTCTACTTTTGAGGGATTTTAGAGGTGTCCTCCACACATGCTCAAACCATTTAAAGCAAGCTTCATTTTTTCTACAATACGAACTACCCCAATTTTTTTTTTCAAACGCTGTCAATCCTAATCTTGTTTAGTATGTCTACTCATCTAACACAACACTCTCATCCTTGTTACATTCAGCTTCAAACATCATAGATCATATGGCTATGTTGTAAAATTTTCTTATAAGCTTGATTGTTAATTATTTGTCACAGATAACATTCTTCCATTTCATCCACCTTGCTTGAATTTTATGTTTTACATCTCCTTTTTCTGTAGTTTTGTCCAATGGGCCCAAGATGTGATTGGTGGTATGGTATGGTCTCCAATTTTCATCAAAAATGCTAAAAATGCCTAGCACTCTCACAATGAAGACAGAAATAATTTATGTTTCGATTTATCATACAAAAGCTTTCATTCATAATGCAAAATTTTATTAGGAACAGAGTAACATCAATTTACATCGATTGCTGACATGGTTAAGAAATCTCATTATCCAAGGGGCTAAAGTCTTAAAACAATAAAAATAGATAGTGTGAATATTTGATCTGTTCCTAATTTTAATTTAAAACTATATCACTAAATAAGGAAGAATAACAAGAAAAAGCATTAGTTACAGAATGTCAAGGAAGAGATTTAAATTACATTATAGCATGACTAAGATCTACTTGAGTAAACCTTTTCGTTTCTTATCACAGCAGAAGGCGCTTCCGCAACGACACTGAAATGCTTTAATAGGATGGTCGTGATCGTCAAAATCAATACCATAATCCTGCAGATAATTTGTCATATATGAGGAAAATCAGGTGTCTAGTACATCATCCCATATAGGCATCTAGGATGTAGCTTAGGTACTTGTATTAGGTAACTAAGCATAGGGTTACGACACTACCATCTAAGATGTTTACAGCCCTATGATCCCACCCTCAACCAAAAACAAGGGGATATGGAAGGTTCAGAATAGGTCCCTTTTTTTTTCATAACATGTAATTTGTATATCAAACATGGGAGTAGCCCATGTATTCTTTTTTCAAGTCATTTATAATCCATGCGTCAAAGATACAGAATGAAAGACCACGGAGCTTCTGTAGCTAAAGTATTAAGGACTCAACACTAGAAAACCGTGTTTGTTATCAAGATGCAAAAGCAAGCTCTACTTGTCCCCAATAACAAGGAAAATATATTTATTTCCCAAAAACTCTGAACAATATTTTGATGAAGCTATTATGGACCAAAATAAACTAAAGCAAACGCACAAAAGCACATCTTCTATTAGTCCAACTGACTTACCCATGTCAACTCCTCGTATGCACTCACTTTCCTGTTGGTAAAGAAGGCAAGCTGCACAGAAGGAACAAAACACAGTTCCAAACAAATGGACGTAAGTTCATTTTTATTGTCTTACACAAAATCAAGTTAATATGGTCAAAAGGAATAATGTGAATATATAAAAGCAACTAATCAATACATGATAATAGTGATGATCGGGAGTCTCCACTTCAACAGGAATATCTATGAGATTTGCATCATAGCATCTGGAATGATGAACAAAGAATGATTTATATTGGTTTTATCCTCTAGCTTGATCATTTAAAAGAAAAGAAATAAATCAAATAGTAGAGAATGAAACATAAAATTATACATGCTTCAACATTAAAGATGCAAATCTTATCTTTTTGAACAAGCAAATAATCTATCTTTTATTTGTCCACTTTTGAAATAAAATTTTGTTTTTACCTATTTATTAGAAGTTCAAAACAATATTCTTAACTATTTTCTTAGTTAAGTGCCCTTATCTCACCTAATTCTACCCAGTTTGAATAAAGTTATCAATAAATTCTTATGTTTATTTAATTTTTTAAAAGTTCTCTTATTTAATTTCTCTTAAATTTAAAGAGTATAAGTTGTTTTTAATATATGAGAAAAATTTTATTCATTTTTTATATTATTTTTTTTTTACTTATGACTACTTATGTACAAGCTTACCCAAACTAGACTTTATAAAAAATAAAAGAGAAATAATAATAAAAGTCACAGTAAGAAATAAAAAATAGTTTTGATATGGAATATAAATTATATTCCTTAAGTGGAAAAACAAAAAAAAGAAGATAGTAGCAATTTTAATTGGAAAATGTTGCTGTTGAATTTCAAAAGTTATTACTTTGGCACATGGAAGCATTTACTGACTCATGAACTTTACCTATGATTGATGAATCTTCCAACATTTCCATTATATGTTGCATCTAAACATAGCGCCTCCTCATCCTTTAACACCCCTTCTGAGCCCCAGTCTGCATCAAGAGTTACAGGATATGTATGTCTGTCATTGCCAGTGCCACTATTGTTTACAATCCTATCGTACAACTCCATATTGGTTAATATTTCACCAACATATTCACATACAAAAGTTCCCTTTGGTAAATCTTCTAGCGGTCTAAGGCCCCACCCTTTACCTTCACGAGTTGAGAACACCTGAGAAGAAAGGATGAAAATGTTCTCGTCAAATATTAGATACAACGAACGTGCCACTGATAAGCATCAAGGATAAAGTACTCACACGGATACAGATGTAACAAAAAAAAGGGGAAGTCAATTAAGTCTCAAATAACAAGATATTAAGACATAAGTCTCAAAAAAAGAATGAAAATGTTTATAGATCACATGACGCTATTAAACTTGAAAAAAAAAAAAAATTTTTAAAAATTTAATTAATTAAAAAATCTTTTTTAATAACTTTGCCTAAAATTCTCTTAGGTCTTCTGCAACTCCTTCAAACTAAGAGTTATATAATTCATTTTTTCTACCAGCGCCTTTAAAAGTCTCCTCTTTACATGAAAAAACTAGCAAAGACAATTTTCAATCATCATTTTCATTATTAGTACTATTCCAATATTATGTCATATATTATCATTTTGTACTTTAATTTTTCTCGTGTGTCCACTCATTCACCTTAATAATTTCATTTTTACTAATCTCATTTTTTCTCCATGTTTCTTTTAAGTCCAACATTCACTACTATATAGGATAACTAATCGTATTACAATATAGTAAAATTTTTCTTTTAGCTTAATAAGTACTTTAAGGTTATAAATAACTCTTAATGTTTTTCTTCATTTTAACCATCTAGATTATATTATGTGAGTAACATCTTCATTAATTCTTCCATCATTTTATATAATTAAGCTCAAGTACTTAAAACTGGAAACTTGTGATATAATATAATTTCTACTTTTAACTTTTAACACATGACCCTCATTTTAATTTTTTGTTAAACAATGTCTTACTTTTATTCAAATAAAAACTCTTAAATTCTAATATCGTTTTTCATCATTCAAGTTTAACAATAACTTCTTCTTACAAATCCTCAACTAATACTAAATTATCTTCAAAAAGCATATATTAAAGGAATAATTTTTTGTATGTCATTTGTAAGCATATTTAAGAATAAATTAAATAAGACTCAAGCCAGAATCTTGATATAAATCTAATAAAAAAATTTAAAAAGTATTTTTAATATTAATAAAGAATTATATTCTAAGAAAGAAATAAAAAACTCAAATTAAGATTAATACAAATTAAAATAATTTTAAAATTCAGTTTTTTTTAAGAAAAAAAAATATCTTTAACTTAATATTAATATAGTATATTAAGATTTAAAATTTTAATCAAATTAAATATAAAATAAAAATAAAGAAAAAATATTTTTAAAAAATAACAAAAAAAAAGTTTAATGTAAGAGACCTCGCAAGGCATGAAGAGACTAACTCCTAAAAATATTCTGATTCGAAATAACTCTTAAAAATGTTCTCAATTAAAAAAGTAAGTTTTAATACATAAAAGTACAACTTACTTGTAATTTGCACCTTATTCCTCGTTGCACTATCCGATTTCCGCAATGCATGCCACATCCACATTTCATCCAACATTCCTTTATAAACTTCCTAACCAGATGTCCTTTGCATCGTTCGGGCATGTACTCATTCTTGGACTTCTCCAATGGGCACTCTTGACAGTACACCAAATGATGATCTTGAGGTTCATTCTTCATAGACATACAAGCTGTTAGAAATTCTTCTTTCAACAAACCTTGTGGTGTGTAAGCAAACTCTCCACCAGTTTCCTGAGCACATGCACAAGGCAATGACGAGGAAAGACAGTCGTTTGAACAATCAGAACAGCAACCCTCATCCGAAATCCGGGCCAAAGAAATATTTACACTAGCACTTTGATATATTATACTACATGGTATGTAATTAAACTTTGGCAAGTCATCATTTCCAAATTCATCTATTAATGATATTTTCACCTCTTCTGACCCTTTTGTTATGTCAATGATAAAATGAAAGGAATTCCCTTCACCTTGATTAACAGATTGCTGTGACGTGGCATGCTTGGAATTTGATATCTTTCGATATCCCAACTTGAGATAACTCCTGCAAAGGTCATCTAATAGCTTCGCCATAGAAAGTTGGGGCCCAACAGTGTTGCAAGAGCTAAGATACTTCTTGTCCATGAACCTCATAACAACATCCAAATTAGGAATACAGAAGTTGGGTTGTCCCAAGGCAGAGTTGCAATTTAAAGATATTTTAACTTCTCCCTTATCTGAAGAACCAATCATAATATTTCCATTATATGCTGCGGTATTATTGTTGCATGATGATCCAACATCTTTACTTTGCACATCCTGATCCTGAGTTGACAGAGATTTGACACACAGATCTCCATTTGAAGCACCAGATAAACCTGAAGAAAATCAGCAAGAATTTAACTACACAACAGTTTGTATTAAGAGAGACAGAAAGATTGACCAAGTTCAAAACATGCACAACAAAAGCAAACAAGCATTGTTACATTGCATGCAATTGGCTATAGGAATCAATTAATGTTGCTGAACTCTGTCAATAATTAAGAACTAGTTTAATTTCAGAAAATATTTTTATTTTTTATTCACCAATAATTCTAAAATATTAAAAATTTGTCTTCATTTTTTACTTTAAGTATTTCTTAAAAAATGACCAAAAACAAGAAGGTTTGCTTTGAGGATGAAAGTCACTCAACTTTTGATTGAAGCTATCATAATTAAGCATTTATAAAATAAAAACTTAATACATGAAAGTGTTTATTATGATGTCTGGAAGAGAAGTTCTATCAAGCTTACTTAATCTTATGACTTCAATAAATTCTTTTTTAGAACTTAATAACACATATTCTTTTACTTATTTTAACATGTTTCATTGTTAACTTTATGACATCGATTATATCATACAATACATGTGTATTGAATAAGTGCTTAAAAAATTGTTTACTCATGAACTTGACAAAAAAATTACTAAAATAAGTTTAAAAGAATTTATAAATTACTTTTCATGAGTTCAAATAAGTTTTAACTGGGGTTCTGAGCAAATCACATTCACGCCTCTTAAAATTTAACAAAATATCACCTCATACCCTGCTCTTTTTCATATTATTTTAGCCTCTCTTGACTCAAGCATAAAAAAATAGGAAAGGTTTGTTTTATCAAGTATCTTATTATATAAATTAAGAAAAGTTAGTATAAGTTTTTTTTAAAAAAAAAAGGAATTGAGTAATATTTTGTTAAACTTTGTAGAGTGTGAATGTAATTTATCCTAAAGTTTTCCAAACATGAAACATCATCTCATTTAATGAAAACCTTATTTCAAGATTTCTCTATACAAATTCAAAAATGTTTTACAAAAAATTTAAATATGATTTTGATATCTACATTTTTGCAAGATTTTAATTTTAGTCTCTTCAATTTTTTTAATTCTTAAACTTTTCTATATTCAACATTTTCTGTCTTTAATAATAATATGGCTAACTATGACGTTACTATATATCAAATTTTGTGTCATATATCAATTTTTTGGAGTATTATGTTAATGAAAGGGGCAAAAAATGCGGAATTTAGAAAATCATAGATTTAAACCAACTTTTTATAAAGGACTAGAATCATTTTTTTGCAAAAGTGCGACTATAAAAATATATTTTTGTCTTTTGGAAAATTTATGCAAATATATAAAAAGGTACATAAATAATTAAAATTAGGCAGTGCTCCAAAGTTGGAATGATTACCATTACGATTTGTTGAAGTAAATTGGGACCTAGGTTTCTTAGTTTTTGGCTTCACAAACTCTTTCTCAAAATGACCACAAGGCTCTGCTGATGAGGCTTTCTCAGGATATGATATTTTATCTTTAGCTGCCACGCAAGGTAAATTTGAGATCTTTTCTACCTCACTCAACTTTGTGTGTGATGCTTGTGAACTGGTTTTGCGCTTAATATCTTCCATGACTGTTTGAGATGGTTCAGTGGTTTTCATTTGAGAAGTCTTCCGTGATATTTTGTTGTCTTCTGCATATGACATTTGGCTTGAGTTGTCATTGGGTGATAAAGCCTGGTCTTCTTCATCTGCCAAGAGCAGTTTCCTTCTTGGTTTATCTCCAACCCCACAACTGGAATGAGTTTTTCTCTTACCTTCAACTCCCTATTTGAATAAGAATATAACAAAGCATTAACTTTCAAAATGTACTGAAATAAAAAAACAAGAAAAAACAAAAGGGAAAGAATCTCATCGAAGGAGATTCCAATGATACTACCACAAATATTGACAATTTAATAACGGTCTATGTACTTGTCAATTCTCATCTTCCCAGCAGGCCAATAGGTACACAGAAATTAACAAAAGATCACTTACAAAGGCAATTTATAAAATGTTTTTCTGCATCAAAATATATGTTTTAACATATTTAAAAAAGGGAAAAAATAGGTACTTAGAAGAACCTTATCTTCCTTAAAATCAATGTATGCATCTACAAGTGTCCGATAATTGTCATCTTCAATAAGTTCCCAGTTTCCGTCATAAATTCTTAACAGCTTTATCAACACGGGCTTCACCTCCTCATTAGAAATTCCCAAGGCCCTCGTAAAGCTAAAAGCCTTATTAACTCTTGGATTGGGGGCCATGAAAATGTGTCACCTGAATCTAACACTATCACATGAGTCACTTGTACAAAATACTTCGTGCTCCTCCAAATGACCTTTTACCACAATACTCACTTATCGAACTTTGTTTGACCAAAAATCAATCCTCTTCCTGTGCAGGTTCAACGAATTAAAAAGAAAGTTAGAGGCGGGGCATGAAATTAGGAAAGCTGAAACCTCTGGCAATAGATGCCGGATCAAGCGACGAGAAGACTTCTGGACTGTGTTCTTCATCTTTGTCTTGAGTAGCTTTACAACGTAGCACAAACAAAACCCAACAATTTTTATGATGATCTTTCAATTCATTATACTTTATATGAGTGTATTCAGTAACAAAAACTTATAAATTACTTAAGAGTTTGTAAGTTATTAAGATAGTTGATAATCCCGTAAAATTGTTTGATAAATAAATAAAAAAAAGAGTTATAAATTTCAAAAGTTAATCTTTAGTAAGCTACCTGAAGTTAGTTGTAGCTTTCCAAAACTAGATAATAATTTATCTCACATATTTATTCTTTTAAAAATTAATTTACACTTGCACAATAATTGCAACTCTAGCAAAAATGTCTTCCATAATCTCTCTTCACGCTATAAACTACCACCACTTGCTCTTCTTTTTTTCTCTGCCATGTTTTGTTCTTTCTCTCCTTCCTTCACAGCAGAGACCACTGCCACTTTCAGAAAATTTTATGCAACGTAAAATTACAGAAGCTAATTTTACATCTAAGGCTTGGTTGCTTTAAAGTTGCAAAATTAACTTTTGCAATTTTCAATAAAAAAAAAACAATCCAATAAACATTATGTAATTCAGATTAATTTATGGCACAAAATCAACTCTACTTAACCTTAAACTATGGGTACTTAGTTATATATTAAAATTGAAAATTAATTTTATCAAAATTCAAATTCTACTTAACTTTAATCCACACTAATCAGTATGGTTGAAGAAAAGGGGAGAGGCAAAATTTGTATAATCTTTTCATGTTTAGTTAAAACTTCTAGGAAAGAAAGGATGGAAGAAGAGTCAAAATCCCTCCTCATTCAACTTTAACAACTTTTCAAAAGTGAGAAGATTTGAAGAGGAGAAAATTTTTTAAACTAATCGGACAAAATTATCTTCAATTAAATATTCACATTCAGTCATTCAACTTGTATAATAATCAAGTCATTCAATTATCCTCCCCTTTCCTTGTGCAACAAATAAGATATCTCTTCTCTCCATTAAAATTTCTCCTCTTTCCTCCCTTCCCTTCAATTTTTTTTTTTTTTCGCAAGAAAGTTTAGGTGAGTTGGGTCTTATTAACTCCCAAGGTTAGAAAATGCCTTAGACTCAAAGAGTGCTTACAGGTTATTTACATATCACTCACTAATAAGGTTCTCATATCGGCATTAGAATTTACACTCGCATCCTTGTGGCATATAAATCCAGTCCTTACCGACTGGATTAACCTTCGTTGATTTCCTTCCCTTCATTTCAACCATACAATGCTTAATGGTTTGTTTGAATAATAAAAAAAAAGGAACCAAAATATAAATAAAAATAATTAGTAAATTTTGTGTACATCATATAAGTATTATTAATTAAAATAAAATTTATGTTGAGTTTTTTTATTGATAATAATTATTTTAACATATTAAATAAAGTAAAATTAAAAAATACGAAAAATAATTTTATTTTTGTTAAAAATGTGTTAAAAATCAAAATTTTAAAAAAATTCAAATTAAGATTATAAGAATTGTGAAATTCAATTAGTTCAAAAAAGAAAACTTTAATTTTATACAACATATCAAAATTTATAATTTAAATCAAATTAAACTTAAAACAAAAAATTAATATTAAAAAAGACAAATGTTAGACAGTACTTTCAATAATCAAAAGTGAAAATATTTTGTCAAAACATGTAATAAATTCACCTGCTTTCCTAATTTTCAATGCAGTCCAACTTAAACTTCAATTAAAAAAAAAATATTAATTCCTTAACCAGTATCTTATCGATTAACAAGATTTTTAAAAATAACTAAAAAATAAATATTTTAATATAAGAAAACCAACCTAATGTGGTGAAGAAAAAATAATGTAATCTAAAATTAAAAATTAAGGATAAAAAATTACTTACAAATAAAAATCTAAAAATTTATCTCTTAGTATATTTTCTTCAATTCAAAATTTAAAATTTTCTTTCCCTCCTCGTATTCTTGTTTCCTTTCTTAAAGGAAGAAACAGGGGATAAAAACAATTCTGCTTCATCAATCAAACAAAATTTACTTTTCTTAACTCAATCTGAAAATAACATTCCAAACACAAACTAATTCTTTCACAATCAATTCTTTTAAAATCGTCACTGATAAAACCTAAACGAACGCAAGTGTAAAACATACCACAATCTACAACTATACTTTCAACTAGACAGATGAATTACACTGAAAGTTTCAAACAGGGGCCATGGTAGGCTTAAAGATGATAATTATATCAATTAGATGTACTTTTCAATTTAGGTCGAAGTTAAATCAAACCCTAAGAAAAATTAAGCAGCTATTTACCCGGAGAAAGAGCGCAGAATCCCAGCCTCACAGCCCAGACCTGAGCGTTAACCACTGAGATCAGCTTCGAATAGGAATGTGAGTTCAGATGATCGGAAATTTTATTGGAAACGAAGAGGTGGTTCCAGTAACGAAATTAAAAGGTATACACTATGTATGCAGTGAGAGAGAACAGCGAAAGCAGAATCGTCGTCGATTTGAATTGGGGCAGTTTGTTGCAAAAGTTCATCTACTAGATAATCCACGGGTATATATAGAAGAAGAATCCAAGTAGAATATATTATTTTATTCACTTCTCAATTAAAAATACATTACAAGATACGATTTTTTAAGTTAATTTCTATTATTTAAAAATTAAATATAAAAACATAAAAAATTAAAATTTTACACTTTTAATTCACGTACTTTCACTTATTAATGATTTTGATTTCAATTCTTTATTCTTTTTAATCATTTTTTTATCTCAAAATTATATTTAAAAATTAGTTTAGTAGTTTGTAAAACGCATAAATATTTTAAAATAAATATACATATAATTTAATAATTAAATATTTTAAAAATTATTTTGATTAAATTTTATAAATAAAAATTATATACTAAAATAAAAAAATTAATAAAGTCATATAATTTTAAAATATAATTTATTTTAACAAATATTTTTATCGTCTGATACTAAATAATTTAAATTAAATTTAAATAATTAAATATATTAATAATTATAAATTTAAGATATTAAACATTTAAAAATAAATTTTTAATTTAAAAATTAAAAGTTAAAATATTTTTTATAAATAAAAATAAAAAAATTCTATACAAAATAAAAAAATTAAGTAACAATTTTAATTGTAAATTTTAGAATAAAATTAATAAATATATGAGTAAAAATATAACAATTACAACAAAAGATAATATATTTTTTTATATTTTCAATCAATTTTAATCTTAATAAATATATATATATATATATATATATATGTTGAAATGTAAAAGAGAATGATTTCATTAATGTTTTACTTTATTCTTATTCATAATATAAAAAATTATTAATAAAAATTCAACAAATATATATTATGAGTTTTTTAAGTTTTCTAAATTTATAAAAATATATCTTTTATAAAATTACAAAACTATGATATTTAAAAAAAAATCGCTAATAACAATTTTTATTACTTTTCAAACATTTTGTTATATTATTTTAAAAATTATCATTGATAAGTTTTATTTTCTTAATTTTTAATTTTCTTTAAAAAATTATTATTAAAAATTTGAAAGATTTTACTTTTTTTTTTATACTTTTGAATTTCTATATTTATACTAAAAATAGTAATGATGATTTTTAAACTATATTTTCGTAGGTTTTTTTTAAAAAATATTTTAATATATATTATTTCTAAATACTATATATGTATATATAATAATTATATATAATATATCATTTTTATTTTCTTTTTTTCAATATATTTACTAGCTAAATTAATGTTAATGATTTTTTAATAAATTAACTCAATTTTAAATAATAATGACAATTGTTTGTATCATTTGATTGTATTATATTATCAATTTAGTTACATATAATCTTTATGATTGATTTTAACAGTCTTATTATTTAAAAAATATTATATATATTGAAAAAGTTAAATAAATTATAACTCATTAAATGTAAGTTAAATAAAATATTTAAATTTAGTATAATAATTTTTAAATTTACATATGTATAAAAAGATTCTATTTATATATATATATATATATATATATATAAAGTATCTACACATTTACAACGACCAGTTGAATTCTTAAACAAATAAAAGAGTAAAAAATGAGAAATGAGATTAGCATGGCATATTAAAATTTCTACGTAGTTTTGTATTAAAGAGAATGTTAATATATTAACTCAATTTTAAGTTTTAATTATAATAATTTTATATTATAAAAATATTTATTTTATTTATATCTTTAATGCAATAAGTATTTTTTTAGTAAATATTAAAATATAAGATTAACAAAATTAAATTATTAATTCTTATTTATTTATCGTATTAATTATTGAAAGATGTTGTTAATGTGTTTACAAACTTTCAAAATTTAAATATATTCAATACATAACTTAATATAGATTAAATATATGCATTAAATTATTGATAAAATTTATTGTACCATTTTTAATTGTAATGATTTTTTATCCTTACTTACATATAGAACAATTGTCAACAAATAATCAGTGAAATTAGTTGTTAATTTAAAAAAATATTAATTAATATTCTTTAATTTGAAGATACTAAAGGAATCATAAATTTAAAAAAGTGTAAAATATTTTCTCAAATTTATAGATATCATATAAGTACTTAAATTATTTTCATATTTTTGCTGATTATAGTCAAATTGTTTCATTTAAGATTAAGACTTTAAATTGATTTTTTCTTTTATTTTTTTCAATCAACGATTGCATAAACTTTTGCTTTCACATGTATCTTTTTAGAATATTTAATAATTTTAAATTCAATCATCATCTTTATACAAGAGAATAACATTTGCCTCTTCTTAAATATTTCACTAAAGAATAAATAAATAATTTCAACTAACAATAAGAAAACATGAGAACAAATCTTAATTTTATAGTTTGTTATACATGTATATGTGACTGAATTAATATTTAAATGTAATATAATAGTGGTATATATTGCATATGAAAGTTTCTTGTGTCATGAATTTCAAGGAAATAGAAAACATTACGCAAATAATCACGACCAAATAATGAAATTATGGACGTATAATAATAAATAATATATCATTTAACCTAGAAGTAACCCTCTCTCATCATCTTCTAGGGTTTTACTATTATTACAGGTTGAAATTTGCACAAACTAAATAAATTTGAATACAGTATTGGACACACAATTTGAATTACCATTTGGGTGACGAACTGAAGTAAAAATTTGTTGCTATCAACAAAATTGAGTTTGAAGTAGAATGCAAAATGGATGCACCAGGTGGCTGCTAACGGAATCGATCGTGTCATAAGGAATGAACATCAGAATGTGTCAATTTGTCAAACACATTGGCGTCGTTATGAACGCAACGCAGCCCCTACTGCATTCTTTAGATGAATGCAGTTGAGACACATCGCAACATATAACTCATCACCATGATTGTAACAACATCATAACGTAATAACCTCTTTCTGCTTAATCTAGAATCGTGACTCAAAATAAAAGGTTTACGTTTCCGACACAAAGAAAGTGCATAGAGAGAGACCTCTGCTTTGGCGCTTCCGGAGGGTGAGTTGTTGTGACCACCGTATCACGAACCATAACCACCGTAACCTCTCCTCGTTTGCATCGCAATGGCGGCGGTTTCATCGCCATGTCAGCTCCTAGAAATGAACGTAATATCGGCCCAAGATCTGGCCCAAGTTTCGAAATCAATTCAGGCGTATGCGGTGGCGTGGGTACACCCAGAACGCAAATTAACGACGCAAATAGACGAAGTGGGCCACACCAATCCCACGTGGAACGAGAAGTTCGTGTTCCGCGTCGACGACGAATTCCTCAACAACGAAAACTCCGTCGTAATGGTCGAAATCTACACCGCCACGTGGCTCCGTGACGTCCTCATCGGCACCGTCGGCGTCCTCGTCAGCAACCTCCTTCCACCCTCCAACTGCAACCACCGGAACACTAAACTCCGTTTCGTTGCTCTTCAGATTCGAAGACCCTCGGGTCGCCCTCAAGGGATTCTCAACGTCGGCGTTACTCTCCTCGACAGCACCATGCGGAGCATGCCAATTTATTCTGAACTTAGTGCCTCTTGGGATATGATGGAATCCAATAATAAGAAGAAGAAATCGAATCCCAAGCTCGAGGAGTTTGATGATTCCGAGGTTGATTCCAAGCTTATGACGTTACAACGTTGTCAGAGCGAGAAAAATGATTCGACAATTAATGATTATGCATATCATGGCGCTGGAAAGCAAGCGTACGGTTACGGTTATGATGGCGGTGATTCGGAATTGGGGTTTCGAAAACGGGGTGATGTTTTGAATGATGAGTCGCTGTGTAATTCCGACGTGGGGCCGTCGCCGTCGGTGGTGGCGGCGGCGATAGCGAATGGATTGTATCCCATGCCGCATGCTCCGCCGTCCGCGGCGGAGAGTTCGACAATTGATGGGTGGTCGGAGAGCAACGGCACGGAGATGAAGATGAAGATGGAGCGGTGGAGGGCGGAGCTTACGCCGGCGTTTGAAGACTACGATGAGGAAAGGAAGAAGTTGATGCAAACGCCGAAGCGCGTGGGCCAAACTCCGACACGGCCTGGGCGGCGTAAGTTTTCGTGTTTTGGGACGGCCTTTGGGTGTGAGTTTTCGATAACTTGCGGCGCGGGTAACCGTAAGAAGAGGGTTGCGATAGGGAAGGGTCGTCTCACAAGCTTGTCTGAGCTCACTTTCGATGACTCCTATATTTGAGGAATTAATTAATTAATTAATTAATTGCGGAGAATCGTTAAGATAAAATTATAATTAACGAATGAATGGCTTGGCTTGAACCTTGGGAGCTAATGTATAATTAAATTAAAATTAAGCTGTTTTTCTTTTCAACTCAAGACATTGTATATTGACATTCCATCGATTGTGTTCGCGCCCAACCGGATTTTGCATACCTACATTATGCAATTTTTTTATTCTTTTATTTCCTATTTATTTCTTATTTCTTTTATTTTCATACTTGAATATTACCACAATTAAATTTATATATTATCCATTTCAATCTAAATAGAAATTTTGATGTCAATTCATATAACATCCATTAGAGATACAATCCAATAATTCACGAAAAATTACAATAATGATTTTCTTCCAGAGGTATACACAATTTATACATAGCACATAGCAAAACTAACACTACAATTATCGCAAAAGAGTGTATTTTAGCTCTCCTAATAAAATAATCAGAGGCCTAATGTTGGGACATGTACCCAAATTGACAGTGACATCCACAATCTGTTCACAACTGTAACCCACAAATCTTCTTTTCTGTTTTTTTTTTCATTTTATCCCCCTTTTTTTGGACCACTTCATTTTGGTCCAACTTGGTAGGAAACTCCATTTATTATATCAATAAATAGCTGGGGAAAAAATCAGTAATTAATAATTTAAGAAACTTCATTTCTTAAAATTATTTTTCATTTTCTAGGTTTATTTATGTAAATAATTTATTTTAATTTACACACTCGGTTCAATTATTTTTAAAATAAAATGAAATGGAATAATGTGATGTGAATTTACTAATTTAAGGCATAATTTACAGTTTTATACACATAATTTTATTAGAAAACTGTAAATTATTATATATTTTGTTTACGGCTTAAAACAAATTTGTACAATTCACACTCGTAATGTTTGTACAATGACATGCTAGCTAATTTGACGTGACATTAATGTTTGTCTATGCTTTGTTTTGTCGCTAAAAGAAATTGACTTTGCAATCTCATTTAGATTACATTATTTAGATTATACTGATATATTTTAAAAATCTTATAAAACATTTTAATGCCGGATCAAAGTTAAGTAGCAGTGGATTTGCCTTCACAAAATAAAAGAAGTGTGGTCTATATTTTGTATTCTTATCATATAATAAAATACACGTGTAAAAGGTAAGATATGTGTGAATTATCTGCAACAAAGCCAGTAATTGAAGGATTTAAGGGTGCGTAGAAAGATTGTGTTAAAACAGAAGTGAAGCCTGTTTTTGTTCTGTCCACTCTCCAGTATCGGTTATTCCAATTTTCTTATTCTTTCTTTTGTTGTTTCACTGGTCAACGCAGTTATGAAGGTGAGAGTGAGAGGGAGAGAGAGAGTAGAGTTCAAGACTTTTCTTTAACTACTACAAACTAGAAATCATTTGTGAAGCCAAGGAAAAGGAAAATCAAGCTCTCTTTCTCTCTCATCCACCGCTTTATTGAGAGTTTTGGAGAGAGTAGGAGAAGAATAAATCATCTTTGCCTCTTTCTCTGCTGGTAGAGATGTTGGGGTGTGAGTGTTTTTGGTGGAACAGTGAATCCTCTTACCCTTCTGAGCCTGAGCCCTTCTCTCTGCCTGCACCTCTTCCACAGTGGCCACAAGGTGCGTGCTTTTTCTCTATTCTTTCACGGGTCTCCTTTGCTTTTTCCTTAGAAGTAGCTTATGAGATTGCTTGGAAGAAGCTTACAAAAAAAGTTTCTGATATTTATAAGTTTTTTTTAGTAATTTTAATGTAGATTTATGATATAAGCTTTTATATATAAAAAAATTATTAAACAAGTACTTAGATAAGCTATATACTAAACGCCCCTTATATCTGAATAAGTTATTTATCGTATTATAACAGCCACTCCATTCCTTCTAGGATTAGTACATGTTTCGATTCGAATTCTTACTTGCTTTTCTTTTGGGACCCTTTTTTGAACAACAACAACAAAGCTTTATCCCATTAGGTGAACCTTTTTGAAGACCATTTTTTTTTTTTTTTTCTTCTGATGCATTCAGATATCAATCTCTCTCTCTCTCTCTCTCTCTTCATGTGTGCATGACTGTTTGTTGATGCAGACAAATGACAGAACCAACTTACTTTTATCTCTTGATTGATAATACTTGAAATCCATTTTGGTGTAATAATCGTTTGGAGGTATTCATGAGCTGTGGTTTATTGAATGTGCAAGATTTGTGTAAATTACATAATAACTATTTGGGCCATTCCATTGTTTTGTCATCTTGCATGATGTCTTGAGAAACAATTCCTATTACGTTGCAAATAAAATAATAAATGGTACTGAATTTCTAAAGTTTTGGGTTAAACATGATTAGTTGCGCCATAATTAGTTCTTTCCCTGAGCCTGAAGGCATTGGGGGATAGGGTGTCTTTAACGTGATGCTAACTTATAGTGATACACTGTTCTTGATTGGACTGGTACAACTAATGGCAATCGATAATTGAGTATGTTTTTAATGGGGTTATCGATTTAATTTCTAAAAAAAAAAACCAATGTTCAAATGAACTACAAGGCTTTTGAGAAAAGTTAGCACCACTACTTTGTGGCTACAAAAAATGTTTTTGTGTTGTCATTTACTTCACATGTACTCTCACAAATCAACGCAGATAAGCACATGGTGATGGTTTTTTCTTTTTCTTGGATGTAAAATTATGGCAATAGCATTAGTCAATGCTCTTGCATGAATTATCATATATAGCATCATATAGCCCACTCCTTTACCATCCCATCTTTACGTACTGCTTTGCTTCAAGGAATGGTTGTCTAATGTTTTTGTTGCAGAAATCAAAACTCTTAATGACGTGCTTCTTCTTATACTCCAGCAGGAATTTCTGTTGTTGTGCTATCAAATGTTAATTTATAGGGTAATTATATTTCTCATGCAAACTTGTGAATGATATGGTGTCAGGTGGTGGTTTTGCTAGTGGAAGAATAAGCCTCGGAAGAATAGAAGTTTTAAAAATAACCAAGTTTGAGAGAGTTTGGAGCTGCACAAGTTCGCATGGTAAATCACAAAGTTTCATATTTTACAGACCTTTAGAGATTCCAGATGGTTTTTTCTGCCTAGGTCACTACTGCCAGACCAATGAGCAGCCATTGAGAGGACATGTTCTTGTGGCCCGAGAAACCTTGCCTGAACCTGAATCTGATGATTTCCATGGTTCCATGTTAGAATCTCCAGCTCTTAGAAAACCAATTAACTACTCTTTAATATGGAGTGCTGATTCACCACATGATGGATGTGGTTATTTTTGGTTGCCAAATCCTCCAGTGGGTTACAAGGCCATGGGCATATTAGTTACTACTCAACCCCATGAACCTGATATCGATGAAGTTAGATGTGTGCGAGCAGAATTGACTGAAACTTGTGAAACTAGCAATTTATTACTATCCATGAGCACAAAATTTTCAAAAAATTCATTCAAAGTTTGGAACACACAGCCTTGCAGAAGAGGGATGTTGGGTAAAGCAGTGCCTGTTGGGACATTCTTCTGCAGTACCTATTCTAACTCTAAACAAGTGGCAGATATTGCTTGCTTGAAGAATCTTGACTCCACCTTACAAGCCATGCCTAACATAGACCAAATTCATGCACTTGTTAATCATTATGGTCCCACTGTATACTTCCACCCGGATGAGATATACTTGCCATCATCGGTGCAATGGTTTTTCAAAAATGGAGCACTTTTGTATTCAAAAGGCAGTGAGAAGGGTAAAGCAATAGATTGTCAGGGCTCAAACCTACCTAGTGGAGGAAGAAATGATGGTGCTTTTTGGATAGATTTGCCTACTGATGATGATGCTAGAAATGTTCTAAAGAAGGGAAACATAGAGAGTGCAGAACTCTATGTTCATGTTAAACCTGCTTTGGGAGGAACATTTACTGATATTGCCATGTGGGTTTTTTGTCCCTTCAATGGCCCTGCCATCCTTAAAGTGGGATTGGTGAACATTGAGATGAACAAGATAGGAGAACATGTAGGTGACTGGGAACACTTCACCCTTCGTGTCAGCAACTTCACCGGAGAGTTATGGTCTGTGTTCTTTTCTCAGCATAGTGGAGGAGAATGGGTAAATGCATTCAATCTGGACTTTATTGATGGAAACAAACCAATTGTTTATTCATCAAGGCATGGCCATGCAAGCTTCCCTCATCCTGGGACGTACCTTCAAGGATCATCCAAACTTGGAATAGGAGCAAGGAATGAAGCAGCTAGAAGTAACCTGACTGTGGATTCCAGCATCAGATATCAGATTGTTGCGGCAGAGTATCTTGGTGACGAAGCTATTACAGAACCATGTTGGTTGCAGTATATGAGAGAGTGGGGTCCTACCATTGTGTATGATTCAAGATCTGAAATAGACAAGTTAATAGACCTGCTTCCGATGTGTGTTAGATTTTCTTTGGAGAACTTGTTTGGATTGTTTCCAACAGAGCTTTATGGTGAGGAGGGACCAACAGGGCCAAAGGTGAAGGCCAGTTGGGTTGGAGATGAAAGATGCTAGCTACTACTACTTCACTTCACCATTTCTTCCTGTATTACTGCTACCAGCCATACCTTAGTTTCCACTCATTAAAGTGATCAGTGAACATGCAAAATCTATATAGAAATCAGTTCTAATGTGATATAAGTGGTTGGCTTCCTTGGACATAAATTGAGATACACCTCAGATCAGCTGTAGCATGTAAAGCAGCACACTGGCATGTTCTAAGGGTGCAATACTGGGGTTTAAATATTTTCTGTAGGAGGCATTACTTTGTTTAATCATGGTATAATTTATTTAAGACAGAAATTTATAAAATAATCAGAATTTTAATTACTATTGTCTACTAAATGGAGAATTAAGCATGCATTTAATTTAAATTTTACTTGAATTGATTTTAAAGGCATTAGTTGAGAAAATTGATACTAAATGAAGTAATTTAAGGGGTAGAGCTTCTTAATGTATTCTCACTTCTTTTTTTATACGAGTATGTTAGATTTGGTAAGTAATAATTTCGAATTTGTTAAAAATACTCTCAAAGAGGTAGCATACTAAGAAATTTCTTAAAAGTAAATAGGAATATTTTAGAAGTCATGGTTACTAGCATGCTTTCATTTGCTTTTACGGAGGTAATATGTAAACAAGTTACTATAATTTTGAATTTATTAGTATATTTATAAAATTGTAGTTTATTAGTAAGTTTTTTAATAAGTGAGAATATTAATTCTTATTAGCTGCTGTTTTTAAAAAAAATGTAAAAGTTTGTTTTAATAATTAATTTTGTTTGGTATAATAAAATAATTTTTTATAAATAAAATTATGAAATGAATATTTTTCCCCCTAAACATATGAAATGGAAAAACAAAATAAACAAAGACGATGTGGCTGTCTTATGAAATTAAAGTAAAATAGAATGGAATAATTAGAGGAATAAAATAAAATAGATTAGAGTGATTTTTGTTTGGATATTTTTACATTGAAGTTAAAAAAAATCAGAGAGAAGGAAAAAGAGAAATACTAAGGAAAAACTAAATAAAATACATTCCATCAAATTCCATTTTTTTTTATCATATCAAGCAGAGAGACTAATCATTTTATAAAAAATTAAAGAGAAATAAAAAAGAAGAGAATGATAAAATAGATGATGGTAAAAAGAAAAAGAAAAAAAGAAGAAAAATCTATTGTAAAATTATTTTGTTAGAATAGATAAGTACTTCTTTCCATTGTATTTGCCATTTGGTACTTTTTCAAGTGCATACCTGTTCTTCTTCATCTTCACTGGTTGAGGTGCTCTCTCTCTTCCTCTGTTCGGAGTTCAGACTCGAGACTTTCCATACTCTGCTGCTCCGGCGGTAGGTCATAACCTAAGGCAGTAACCGTTCCGCTACCTTCTCTGCTTTTCATAATATATCAATGTGGCGTTTTCTTGTTAACGAGCCTCAATTCTTAGAACCGTTTTCTGTTTTGTGACTCACTTTCTGATTGTTCCTACATCAACGTTTTCACTCGATGCCTTTATTTTAGATCATAATATGGTATCAATGATCTTAGGTTATTAAATTATTACTCACTTGCTAACTACATAGAAATGTACAGATCAATTCCTCTATTTAAAATTTAGGCACAATTAGGATTCAACACTTTAGATGCATCGTACTGTATTTTTAGATAATATAAGGCATCTTCAATTTGTATTAGGATTTTCTTCGAGATAAACTGCAAAGAAGTTAGTCTAAACTGTATGCGTTTTCAATTTCTTATCAGACGCAATGGATTGGGCTTTTGCGCATAAAACCTGGGACAAGTGGGCTTCTACCAACATTGGTTATTCTGGTGAGCAAGATTTGCTATGTTCATCTATAAATATTGCAAATTGTTTACATTTTTTCTCATCCCTGTTTCTTCTAGGGCATCCCTTAAAAGCTGCTTTGCTGATTAATTATGACCCAACTGGACCATCTCGCTTGTTATCCACCATGTAAGGAGGATTATCATTTATTCTTGATATGAATTTTATATCATTGTTTTCAGGTTAGGTGTTTTTTTTTTTTCCGAAAAAAATTGAGATGAATAAACAATGTGAGTGTTGCATGGTGTCTAGTATTTGTATAAGTAAAGCTTTTATCTTTCAATCTTAATGAACTTTTCTTCATATGGAACTTTTGCTAGTTCTATATCAATGATCATGTCATAGTTACTTATGATGAAAATGAATTTATACCAGTTTTAGAATTTAGCTCTTTTAGATGCAGTTTTAGAATTTCTATCTATGTTGTATGGTGTATGGGTATGTCTTGACTATTTGTAACAAAAAATTAGAAAAAAATGGGCAATTTTGTCATTTGAAACGTGCTTGACTGAATTCTCCGTCAAATTTCCAAAGCTACATAGTATCCTCTTGTTTCTCAGTCCTCTTCAGTAGCTTATATCACACACTTCATTCCTTAGGATCAATACAATATCCTGCGTGGTCAGTATCGCAGTATCTATTCAGCAAAGCTTTTTAGAAGAAGTTGTTCTGGCTATTTAATCAGCAGCCAAGTTGTTTTTACATTTTTTTTTACCTAAACAAAAAAAAAATGGTTTAAGTTGTTCTGAGTGTTTGAAAATATCTTTTTAATACTACCAAGTTTAAGTATTTTCTTATGAACAATTGTGCCAGTTGCTTCTATTGCATATTTAGACTTTTCTTTTTGTTATTTCTAGAAATATTGGATTTATTAATTGGCTATTGGATGCTGGCAGTGCTGAACAAGAAGGAATAAAAGCCAATCCCATTGAATTGAGTAACTTTGTGGACTTCATCAGACTCTATAAACTCCAGACAGAGAGCTTCATTATTGGGTCCAATCAGTGTAAGCTTAACTGCAGTTAGTTTGCCTAAATAATTACTTGTTACTTAATATTGGAAGGGGTGTTATAGTATTTCTGTTTTGCAACTTTTTTAATGTCCCCTTCTTCAAGGACGTATTGGAATTGCTGAAATTGAATAATATACTTTTTTAGAGGATTCTCCTACATATCTATAATGTAAGAGTTTAAGACTCTTGGTTGGGCTCGGATTCAATAACTAGAGGAGCATATGTGGCCTTGTTGCTTGTTTCTGATTGAGCACTGTTGGGGGGCAATGACCTAATTTCTACATATATAATCGAAAACTGTGTGCTGCTATCTTGTAGGGGTTTAAGAGGTTAGTTGAGGAGAGATAAAAAAGTATTACTCATGATGCCGTAGTATATCCGACAATCTCCAAGTAACATACATACTTGTCGGAAGTTTCCATTAGATAAACAGTTTACTAATTTTGGAGAATCATGGGATACAAGTGTGAGTGTGCATCTGCAGTTTGCTGATATATCTGTCAACTGTAGTTATGGGACACATGGAGGATGGTCAACTTTTAGATTGAAGTTACAAAAATATATAAGGTCTAGAAAATTTCATGCGTGAATACTAATTTTATGTATTCCTTGTAGCTTCATTGAATTCACGGTGCAGAACTATGTAAATATGAATTAATCTGAATTAACCTGAATTAACTTCTCTTTGAGCTTGTATTTTTCAGGGGGAACTTAATTATTTTGGTGGTGAATTTTGTTTTTGGACTAGTTTATTTTGTTTTTATAATGACTTGAAATCAAAATGTTACTAACAAAGCTTTTGAGGAAGGAAAAAAAAAATTATTTTATAAATTTTAAAAATGCACTTAGCATCATGTTTGGAAATTTATGATGTCGTTGATTGCAGATAGGTAGGGAGATGTGTTATTGTATGGGTGATGATAATGCATACCATTTGTCTCATTCCCCCTTTTATGAATTATATGTAACTTCATGTACTGGTTCTCTTCTCATACTTTACTATTGGAATTTTGGATGGCAGACTTGGTCACGTCAATTCACGAGAATTGGTTTAGTGCCAGGTGCATAAACACATCAAAGCCTGCTGGTGAAGGCGCAATTGTTATGCAAACAGCAGCCTACATCTTGGTTGCTCTGTAAGCATATAATTCTAATTTAGCATATTTAATTATCATGGATTACTAGTGCACTTTACTCTCCTTCTCTGTATACTTATCTTGTAGTTTTACAGGTATGAAGGTTCCATTGGTCCAGCATCTCGAGCTATGGCAGCTGCTGATCAGTTAACTTGGCAATTGGGGCGAAAAAATCTTTAGAATGGCCCTTCTCCAGATCTGTAGCATGCATTTACCCAAGGGCTGTTCCTTTTGTTTTTGTGCTCCTTTAGTTTTTGTTCAGATTGTTGCGACAAGTATCTTGGTGATGGAGCTATTGCAGAACCACAGTAGCGGTTTATGAGAGTGGGGTGGGGGAGCTTACCATTGCGTATGATTGGCAATGGCACTCTGAAATAGACAAGTTGATAGATCTGCTTCCGTTGTTTGTTGGATTTTCTGCACAGAACTTATTTGAAACCCAACGGAACTTAATGGTGAAAGGCCAACAGGTTCAAAAGGGAAGATCAACTGGGTAGAAGGTGGAATATGTTAGTCCTGTTTTGCTTAATCATCATATGGGTTAATTGTTGCTTTTCTACTCATTGAAGAGAAATGAATTCGAATTCGCGAGCATTAGTTTGATGGTTTTTATTTGCTGTAGGAGGCATAACTTTCTTTTGGATCAATTTACATGACAATTTTAAAAAATTTATATTAAAGCGTTTAAAATTTTAAAGTTTGATTGTAAACAGAACAAAGGTTGGAATGTGTACCTATCACTGCTGCATTCATAGAGGTTGGAATTTTGACGTATTCTGAGTTAAAAAAAAAAAAAGTAAAAATGTTAAGCGCAACCTTTGTATAAGATTTTTAAACTCGTATTCTTTTAAAAATTTGTTGAAAAATTTAATTAACAATAGTAATAAAAACTTAATGTTTTGTATATTAAAAATGACAACATTTAATATTTTAAATAATTTATTTGATACATAATATTATAGCTAACTAATGTTATTCTCTTAAAATGAGTTGCACCTTACAAAATAAATTGCAAAATTTTAAACTTGGTAAAAGAATCAATAATTAATATTATAATAAAATACATATACATACTTATAATAAATTACAAAATTATTAAAATTTGGTTCATCATTTCAATCAATACTTATAACGTTGTATATTATCCTTTAAAATATACTCCTTATTCTATAGATCCAAATTATTTCTTTTAAGGAATGCATATTATATATGTGTGTGTGTACCCGAGTACAACTGTTAATTAAAAAACAATGAAAGAATATATATATATATATATATATATATATATATATATATATATATATATACACAGAGGGAATAATAAAGAATCAGAAAAAGGCTTCCTAAAATTGTTGCCATTATTATTATTTTTTTGCTGGCGAAAATGAGAGTGGAGGAGGCAGCGTTTGCCCGTGGAACACACTGCAGGGGATCACAAATCGTAAGCACGCAGCCAGAGAAGACTACGAGAGTTCTGGTCAGAGACGACGGAAAAAAAAGGCTCGAAAATTTAATTCAAGTTTCAACCTTTAAATAACCCGCAACAACAAATCCATTTAAGAGTCCAACGGAAAAAGAAGGGTGGCACTTTGTTAGAGGATCGAAATCTAGGTATAATGGAACGAATTGGTGCAACATGGTGGTTCTGTTTGATAATATGCTTAGTTTGTGTTAAATTCGAAGGGTGTGTAGGATCAAAGACCAAGAGAACGGATGAAGCATACGTCACTCTTCTGTACGGAGATGAATTCTTGTTGGGCGCTCGAGTTCTTGGAAAATCAATACGGAACACTGGATCCAACAAGGATATGGTCGTTTTGGTCTCTGATGGGGTTTCTGATTATGCTAAAAACCTTCTCCGGGTAATTCTTAAAAATAAATAAATTTACTCTGTTTTATTCACTCACAAATAATGGGACTTCCTCAAAATTTTAAATTTTGAACTTTATCTTTCTGTTGATATGAATCTGTTGATACCTAGGTTTTGTGTAGTTAGTAATTTTAACCGGTTTTTTTTTAATGGTTTACGTTTGAATTTTTTGTAGGCTGACGGGTGGATAGTGGAGATGATTAGTTTGCTGGCTAATCCTAATCGAGTTCGTCCAAAGAGATTTTGGGGTGTCTACACAAAGCTGAAAATATTTAACATGACTGACTACAAGAAAGGTGATTATTTTCTGGGCCTTATGTATATGGTTGTATTGTTACTGTGCTATGCAGTTTAGCTATCTTCAAACTGTTCCTTTTATTCCCCAGTTAATTGTTAGTCGCTTTTCAATCATTTGAAACTGGAGGAGACAAACTTAGGCTTTGAATTTTAAGCTTCCTTTCTTACAAGTGATACATATGGTTTTATTGATTGTTTACGTGTTGAATGTGATTGTGCAGTTGTTTACCTCGATGCGGACACTATTGTGGTTAAAAATATTGATGATCTTTTCAAATGTGGGAAATTTTGTGCTAATTTAAAGCATTCTGAGAGGTTGAATTCGGGAGTCATGGTGGTGGAGCCATCTGAAACTGTTTTCAATGACATGATGGGAAAAATAAAAACTACTGCATCTTACACTGGAGGTAAAACACTTTTTGGGCACTTTTATATTGTCTTTGTTCTTTTGAATTTTTGTTGTTTTGGTTTGAGGTGCCATATGTTCCAGATGTTGATTTAAACCTGATGGCTTTTTAACAACTATCTTCATCTGTCTCTCCCTTTGACAGGCGACCAAGGATTTCTCAATTCATATTACGCTGGATTTCCCAATGCACATGTTTTTGAGCCAAATTTGAACCCAGAGGTGTTGAGTTCCAGACCAATTCCGGAAATGGAGCGACTGTCAACTCTGTATAATGCTGATGTTGGTCTTTACATGCTTGCTAACAAGGTACTAAAATATAGGTAATGAGAGGATGCTTTTAAGTAATTAGAGTCAGTAAGGCATGTGAAATATATTCTCTGTTTTAGCTTATTAATACTTATTTGGGTTCAGTTGAGATGGATGGAAAGGTATGCTAGGTTTGGTCGCTTTTACTTATTAATGTCTAACTTGTCCAAAAGAGGCTTACACTTTCATGTATCCGATATTTAATTGTGATACCATCTAATACATATAATGTGATTTGTTTTACATTTACTGTCTTTTTAGCTGATACTCTCTATGATTTTTGGAACAAATTATGGCATTCAAGTGATTTATATTAATGGTTACAAAGGATTTATTTAGTGCTGCTATAGAGTTTAAAAATTCACTGTTGTCAATGTGATAGTTTTAGTACTGAGAATCAGCACTTGTTAATCACTTAATCTGGGCTTATTAATGGGTCAAGGTGATGATGCAAGAAAGCTTCGTCATCATCTTAGCATCTTGCTTTACTTAGCTTTAGAAGGTTGGTTTATGGGCATGTGTGAATGTTACATCATTTAGAATTTGGTAGCTCTTATTCTTTAAGATTTTTGTTGTTTTATTATACCTGTTTTAGGGCACCTAACCTGAATAATGGGTATTGTTTATAAGATTTAATACACCTTCTGAGCATTCATTTGTTTGCATCTTTCAATTTTATTATCTAAAATTCTAACTATTCATGCTGATCTATCCAGTGGATGGTAGATGAGAATGAACTCCGTGTGATTCACTATACACTGGGCCCCCTTAAGCCTTGGGACTGGTGGACATCTTGGCTTTTGAAACCTGTGGATGTCTGGCAGGTATTTATGCAACCCATTATCCTCTTTTAGTCTGTTATTAACATTGTAAAAGTTGTTATCGTCCTCGTAAATATAAAGAGGCTGCATTTGTCTAAGTAATCATGTCTGTGCAGATGAAACTTGTTAAAAGAGTGGACTGACTTATTTGTTCTAACCTTGGTGGGGTGTTTCAGGAAGTAAGGGAACAGCTCGAGGAATCCCTTCCTGGATCAGGAGGGGGCCAAAATCCCAGAGACAGTTTTCTTGTGAAATTTCTCTTTCTGCTACCATTGTGTGCTTTACTCTTCTGCTGCTATCATTCATTTCTGAAGGTTAGTTATCATCTATTGATATTTGTGTCCAATCTACAAGTATTAAGCAAATAGGGCTTTACACAAGTCTCAGAACATTTTATTTTCTGCAGAATCAAGGGTCATTTTGTAGAAACTCACTGTGTGATCAAGTCAGACACCTTTATTATAAGATTAGATCAAGTGGACCACTTGCATATACTGGTATTTCAACATCAGCAACCAATTCAATCCATCAGGTTGGTTTTCTGTTATTTGTCTTCTACTTGGGATGCAGATTCCCTCAAATGTCAAAATCATTTGATGGGAGACAAACACTATGCCCTTTGTAAGGCTTCCAGAAATCCTGGCACAGCCACATGTTATGCCATGGCTTCAAATGAGAGGATGCATATTCTCTTGTTGGATGTACTTGATGGTTAGATTAATGTATTTTCAACATACTAAGAATTGTTTCTTTGGTGTCTAGCAGCTCTTGAACGGTGCTCAGTACAAGGTTCCTGCTTATTTGGGTGGCATTTCTGTCTGTGTCTGTTTTATGGTTGCAGTGGTGTCTCTGGGACTAGCTCTCTTGATTGTTCCTCGGCAAGTGATGCCATGGACTGGATTACTTTTGATGTATGAATGGACATTCACAATCTTTTTTATATTATTTGGAGGTTATCTCCAATTGATTTATCAGTGGGGGAAAATTGTGGCATCACGAGCAGTATCCTCCTTGTCAAATCCAGGGTCTCCTGATTATGATTCAGAAAAACGTAAGTTCTTAAGAAAAGAGCTCATTTTGTGGTTTTGTTTTTCACTTAATTGTGTAGCTTGAGATTTTATTTTTTTAATAAATTTTATATATTATCTGTATTTTTACAGGTCATCAGCGACAGATGTCATCTTGTGATGGTGCTACATGGTACTATGGTTTAGGCATGGCCTTGTTGGCCATTGCAGCTCCATCTTTGCCTTGCCTTTTTGGAATAACTGCCTTATTTGTAAGGTAATTTGTGTTAAATATACTATGACTAGTTAAAATATTTCTAACCTTTTTTTCTTTCTCGGGGAAACTTTTATCTTTGTGGTTCAAAAAGTAGCTTTATTCCCAGTGGTGTGTATTTATCATCATTGACTAATAATCACTTTTTAAATCAAAGTTCAACATTTAAAGACCTCCAGTATCCAAAATCTCTACTCAATTGACAATTAGTATTTTCATTGATAACTTGTTTGTACTCACGATGCAGCAGTAAAAAAATTATTAAAAGTGGGTTTATCTTTATAATTTCAAGTATCTTAATTAATATTTGTGGCTTCTATATCAAGTGTTTTAAGACTTTGTGTCATATTTGAAAGGCCCAAGGACTCTTAATGGACTTGGGTTAGTAGTTAGTGTCAAAGGTCACATTTATGGAGTTGTTTTCTTGTAACTTGCCTTTTAGTAAGTTGAGCCTAGGAAGTTGTAGTTTAGTACTTGTAATCTGAAAAACAAACCCAAAAATATCAAAGAGAATTTTATTTTTTGTGTTTTGTTAGATCACAAAAACTTGCAATTGCTAGAATCTTCTCTTGACTTTTTGCCCCTACATCATCATCACATACGTAGTGCCAGCACTTATTTGTGGAGGTTGAAATGTCAATGAGAAACCTCCTAAAGGACACCCCCTAATTCTGAAGTGGAGTTAAACCATTATCCTATCCTTAATTCAAAGTAGTTTTGGTATTAAAAGAACAGCATTGTTATCAAATATTTCTTTGAAACAATACTCACATTTCCATTTCTATTTTTAACAGGTTAGGTTTGATGGTTGTTGGTGGCATAATATTGGCTTCTTTCATGACATATGCTTCCGAACATCTTGCTATTCGATCATTTCTAAAAGGCCTTGATGAGCGAGATATTGCTCGAAATAGGAGTTTGTGCTTTTTATGTTGATTGTGATGTAATTAATTAAGCTATGCTTGATATTACTTTCTTTTTTGCAGCTCACAGATGTAATGTTGCTCTAGTGGAAAATGTATTTAAGGAAATTTTGCCAAGGTTCTGTTGTAATATTATTGTTATTCTTTCAAAAGACCACTTTGTTCTATTGAAATCACGCATAATAGTCTCAAAACTGCTCTACGTTGTTGAACTTAATTTAATGCGAGCTTGCTTGGTTCATAAAATATGATTTTTTTTAATATTGTTGAGTACATTTTAGAGGGTAAATGGGTACTTTTATTAATTTGGAGTTTTTTCTGCAATCTTTTGAAATTGATTTTTTTTTTTTAATTTTCAAAAGGTAATTTTTTAGGGAAGTAAGTGAACCATTTATTTTTAATTTAATAAAGTGCATGGCACGATGCATAAGCCTATAATCCATTCGGTGATGGGCAAGTTATTATAGCATATTATGAAATAAGCTACCTAAACGAAATGTCGAAGTTTGACCTTATCAACAATAATGTCAATTTGCATTTTTACTTTTTTTCTATCATCACATTGTATCATTTATTATTACTTTTTATTCTTTTCTTTTTCTTTTACATTTGAAAAATGAGGTGTAAAATAATGATTTTCCTTATCTTATGATAGCTTTGTATGTTGGCATTGCATGTGATGAGTGGGGCTACTCGGTGGCAACTCTGATTTTTTCTATTATAATTTGGTATAATATGTATAAAGACTCGTGTGACTCATTTATAGTTTTGTAAAGTCATAATACATTTCTATTAATAATGAAAAGTATATTTAAAAATTATGTGAGAGGAAAAGGGTAACATTTCCCTAATGAACAATAACGGAAGATATATAGTTTTGCATTGTCTATCACCTACAACAAAAGAAAAAGGTTGATCGTTTATATATTTTTTCCTTCTTTTTATTCATGTGATTATTTTGTTTCACTTTGTTAACAATATGTGCTAGACAAGAATAGTATAATAAGAGTTTTTATGGCACTATGCGAGTTTTTTTTAGGACCTGATGTATTTTAAAAATAAATCAAATTAGATATAAAATTTTAAAAAAAAACTATATTTTATTCTACTAAAAAATTAAAACTAAAGAAAGCAAAATGGACCACGTCATTTCATTTCATTGTCTTTACACTAATGTCATGGGTTCCCTCTCCCATATTAGTTGCAAAATCTATTTATGGAAGCATTATTTATTGGAACCAGGCTATGGTAGATGACTATGAATGAGAACGAGAAAAAAAAAAAAATTTTATACCACGTGGGTTAGTATCATTTTTTTTATATATCTCCTGAATGAAAGTAGTTTTTATTTTAAATTTTGTGAAAACCTTGTTAACATTTATCATACAAATAGGCTCATAATTAAATTACTTATCAACGTATTTTGTGATGATAAAAAATATTAATCTATTTTGTGATAATACAAATAGGCTCATAATTAAGAATGCAGTTTAATGGAATTCAGAAATTTTCTTTGTCATGTTTGAAAATTTGTGCTAGACAAATTTTAACTATTGATTTTTGCTTCGTAAAATGTGATTAAATGTGATGCATAATCAAGCTAGCTATGCCTTCTTTTGGAGCATGTTATTTAGAAAACATTAATAAGTATCTTTAGGATATTAAATTAATGAATTAATAATAAAACGCTTTTATATCAAAAATATTATTAATGCATTTTTTCATACTTTTCAATAACCCCTCGTTTTTTTAATAACGATACTTTTTTACTTAAGTATACTTAACATGTAAACACATATATACTAAATATTCTTACCTGGTTTAATTAAATATGGCAATCATATGATGATAATATCCATGCCTGCTAGCTCATCTTGGATTCTAATTATGCTTAGTTTAATCGAAATGTTAGTGAATCATCATCATATTTGGCTTGTCGTTTTTGGTATAGATGACTCATAAACCAATAGAAAATAGTTAATCACCTCACCTGTTTAAACCACTTTTTCTTATTGGTGGCATCACTATCCTCCAAGTGGGACACAACGTGATTAACTCATTTAATTATGAAAAATGTAGTTGACGAGATCATCCTTATCCCAAAGTATGATATAAAGTGTGTCAGATCATATCAATTAACTTTAGTCTTTATATATAAATAAATAGATAATAATATCATTAACGCTAACAAATGTTCTAAGAATACTAGTTAATAAATATTTTTTGAACATTAATTAAATAATAAGATTTTTATTAAAAATATTATTAATATATCATCTATCATGACCTTTAATAAAAATAAATAAATAAATTTACTTACAATTTACGATGGTCCTTAAAACTCTTATTAGTAAGATTATTCAAGAACTACAAATTACAATTGTGATTTTTACATTGGCATTCCACTAAGAGCACGACAGGCTAATTAACATAGTGTGAATTATAATTGATAATTCATTAACACTTTGCTGAAGAAAAAAAAAAAGAAAGTGAAAGTCTAAACACACTGTTTATTGTGAAATAAAATTTGGAAATTTCATACTGCCACTAAAAACCCAATAGGATTAACCATACTCGTTTGATTATTGTAGATTTCACGAATGAAACGTTCTTGTATTTACTTAGCTCAGTTTGGGGAACGTTAATTGGTTGCTTGAATTGCTGCAGCTGTGAATTGTAGGCGATATATTTAATGCATTTTATCCACAAGTATCCAACACTTACTTTTTCCAGCAATTTATTAATTGATGGCCCTCTGAACTTCGAAGCATAAAAAACATTATAATTGACATGTTGGTACGTGATCTACAACACCCTGCCACTGGAATTGCATGCTAGTATTCAACCATAGAACTACTTGAAACGTGGATCACAGAGTCAATTCACTTTAATTCATCTACTTAATGTATAGATGGACTTCATCTACAACAACTATACATCATCAGGGAAGTGGATGGTTATCATGGTTAATTATGCTATGAGCCTATAATATATGATGAATCCAGCGTGTTTGTGTTTTGAAAGTTAATAGTTAGCTTTTGTTGTGCTATTTCATACTGGACCAGTTTTGTTGGAGACTCCAATTGAACAAGAAGTAATTAAGAACATGAACAAAAAATGAAGCGCAAGAATTTCATTCAAGTAACTCAAATGCAGCTGCACAGATAGAGAAGGCAACATATATAACATATCCTACACATTACAATAATTAATCAATCAATTTCTGGTTGTTTTGGTAACTCGAATTGAAAGACATAATAACAATAACAATAACAATAACAACAATAATAAGTAATCGTCCTTAATTATTTTACATTACAACACATGAAAAGCCAAGCATTCAGACTTGCCTAGAGTGCATTTGCTCAGGTTTCTAGCTACCTTCTTTCTTGGGGTATTATATTTGGCCATGGCTCCAATAACAGCGTGAAACCCAGAAACAAATACTTGATCTTGCACCAAAGTGATGTTGTTTTCGACCTTAAGAGACTCATAATCTTCTTCTCCAGCACTACGAAGAAGAAGAAGAAAGTTGGGAGATGATGAAAAACAAGGGATTAGGTTTGTTGGGGATCCCGAAATTTAAGGTTACATTTATAAAGGAGCATAGATTTCTTAGTCCTAAGTGGGCCAAAAATCAACGGTTGAAACAATGGTATACAGTGATAAAATACACAAAGTTCCATTTACACTTCATACTTAATTTGAATATCATTATACGATATAAATATTAATAGAAAGGAATATCCTATTAGCTTATTGGTTAAGATTCTACTAGAAGTATAGTTGGAATCTGTATATTGGGCTGATCTAGAAAAAAAAAAAATACTAAGAAAATGATGAAAATAGAAAGTGATACAGAAGGATAATTTTGTAGTAATTGTTTATTGTGGAAAGACAAATGGAAAGGAATATCCTATTAGCCAACTAGGTTAATATTTTACTTATTTGGAGCAGAAAACGAGGGAATCCTACGTATTGTGCCCCATTAAAAGAAAGCAAATACTAAATACAAAAATAGTGATACATAAGAATAATTTTGTTGCTGAAAAATACTTTTAACACATTTCTAGCATATTTTTTAATATTAATTAAAATTTAGAAAATCATTTGGGAGTTTATAGATAAAGAGTAAAACTTGCATAATTGTGAAGTCTCTATAAACAGATATGTTGGATGGACAGGTTGTAGAACTTTTTTTTTCGTCAACATGGGGTAGACCTGACCAACTCTTTTGTCATTAACTACTAACCAGGTGGCTTACTAAAGCAAGGCATGGATGTAGCAATATTTTCATTTAATTATTACAATTTTTTTAGCTTGGGTATAAAGATATTCAATAAGATCTTATATATATATATTTAAATTTTTATGCAGATTTTATAATCATTTTAAGTAACAACATTTACTGTGCTATAATTTTTCTTCTTCTTAGTATTACTACTTATATATATATATATATATATATATATCTATAAACATATATATACATACACAGTTCAACTAATTTATCTAGTAATTTTATTAGTTTGAGTTTAATAACATTGATTTAGACACCCTTGCATTTATACCTTCACAAAAAAAAGGGGTCAAGTGAAGTGTTTTTCTCTCTAATAAACAATGCTGTCAAAGTTGTATGAACGTATTGTATAATTTATAGACAAAATTAATTGCTCTAAGATGGTATTATGCCTTTGGTGGAACCTTTATAGTTTAATTTCTTGTGTCATACTCGAGTATTCAAGTATATATACCAAGGTGGCTGGAAACAAAGTCTTCCCATTGCTTGAGAGAAAGTAGGAGCACTCCATGCCACCCTCTTCTTTACCAAAAGAAACCAAAATGGGATTTCAACCTTTATTTTGTCGCATTTGTAGCTAATGATTATTGAATTGATCATACAAGCTACCAAAATTATTTGTTAAACAATCCTGTGATCGCATATAAAAAACATTCATGTGAAATATACACCTGAAATATGTTAAAAAAATTTGTAAATGTCATCTAAAACAAAAGTTATAATCAATAACAATAAAATAAACAATTTTTTACATATTCAACATAAATTAAAAAAATGATATTTTGAGGTTCTTTTCATTATTTATTTTTTATTTAATAAAATTAAAAATATACATCTTAATTGATAGTTTTTCTCCTAAAAAAATGCTATAAACGTTGTTAAAAATGGTTTGCAAATATAATTTTTCTTTAATACAATATAAAAGTAAAGCACTTGAAAAGATATTAAGCAAAGAGGGCCTTTTCATCATGACTGACGATTATTTTAATTAAAGTGGTGATCCAACTGATTTTTGGAGGCACGCCACCATTATTTAAAACTTATATATATATCATATTTTATTTAAAAACAATACAATCAACATTTAATTAATCGAATTTGGATTACATACACTGTTTGAAGCAGTGAATCATTCATGGGTCACGTGGAACTACATATCATGCATCCACTTTTTTATAGCATTATTGCACAAATTATTGTAAACTTAAAATAATTTTTTAAAAACCGTGTTATCGATTCTAACTTTTTATCGTGATTTTTAATACAACTTTGATAAAAAAAAATTTAATAAAATTTCTTAATTTACTATTTTTAAAACTAATATCCTAGCCTATTGTTTACTTAAAGAAAAGTAAAAAAGAGGAGAGATTTTTTTATAACCTTCTTGTATTTGATTCAATATTTAAATTAAAAAAAAAAAAGAAACAGAGAGGAGATGGTGTTAAAATCCCTCGCCATTCAATTTTATTCCTCTTTAAAATTGGATAATTTTGGAGGAGAGAGATATTTACATTAATTAAATAAAGTTATCTTTATTTTAGAATTTATATTTATTTTATCTCTTTTTTCCTCTTGTGAATTAAATATACTTTTTACATTAAAATTCTTCTCCTCCTCTTTCCTCTACTAGAATCCCTGTTCTTCTCTCCTTTCATTTGAATGAAACATAGAGTTGTAACATATTTACATTATCAAATTCTACTGGTTCTTACAACAAAATCTAAAATCTAATGAATCACATTACCAAAAATGCAAACAAACATATTTTTTATATTATTTATTTTTAAAAAGGTAAAATATTTATTTCATAAATTAATTTAGCTTTCAAAAAATATTTTGAATTTTAAAAAAATTATGTAATAAAAAAAAATAAAAATTATGATACTAAAGTTTCTCGTCACAATGCTAAACACTTCAAAGCCAAAAACTCATTAGCTAGTGTTTGGTCGTTTCAGCTTCGTAAATTTTGAGACTTATACCGACAACACGTGTTCCAACTTGCAAGGAACCTGCGCCGAGAATAATTCATGTTCTATCAAAATGCATTTTTCTTTTATTTTATTTTGGTAAAAAAAATGCAATTTTAATAAAAAAATTGTAAATATGAAATAAACTTATTCAATTTTTGAAAGCCGAAAGTCGGCAAGAATTGGGCTTTGGGAATTGTCTTGTGGAGGGAGACTTGCGACACAGATCCACTATTTAACCCAAACATAGCCCAAGAACAGGGGAGTTTTCTCACAATTTAAGCCCACATCTAAAATGATTCGGAAAACGTGATTCTCTAATATCAAAACTCGTTCTTTCTATCTTCGGTTTGATCAATTGATGGAAAAGGGCAAGCATGTCCAAGCAGAGCACCGCATGCACTCATATTTGAAATCGAAGCCCCAAATTTGAACAGTGAGTGAATTCATCACCGTTTGTTCGAAATTTGAGACAATGTTTGACCAGTTTGCATGCCATTATCCTCTACTGTGCACTTCAGTTTCGATTTTAGAATTTTTTTCTTTGCTGAAGGGATTAAATTTTGGTTCAACCCTTTTAACCAAATGCTTTATGACTAGTTGCTTGTTTGGTGATTAGGAACTGGGTTTCTTGCAAATCGTCTTTGTGCTCATTAATAAAATTTCTTGTTCATTCCTGATGAAACGCAAAACGCAGTTTAGACCGGTGGTGAGCATGGGGTTACTTTTTTTTTTTTTTATCATTATCATTATTATTTATCAGTGAATGAGCTTATGTCTGTAAGTCTTTTTCGGCAATTCTGAAGATGTGGTTAGCTTATGCTTGGCAGGATGTAAATAGCCTGACAAAAATTGAGAGGATGAGTCCTAATAGACATAGTGTTTATGCCGTACTTAACTGTGATGACATCCTCCATGAGATCCTACTTCGGCTACCACCATCAACTATCTTCAAATTAATTATTGTATCAAAAAGATGGCTGCGTGTGATATGCAGTTCTTCATTTCGTTGTTGCTACTTGAGTCGATGGGGACAAAATTTTCGACTTTTGGGTTTCTTTGTGTGCAACTTTTTATATCTTGGAAGACCTCGAGATGGCTATCGTCGCCCTCGTTGGGAGCCTGCTCTCCCATTCTTGTCCACTTGTAAAGAGGGTGATGATTTGAAGCTTTCTGGAATCCTCAAACAACTTGGATACTTCATTGATTGTTCCAATGGCATTATTCTTTCTGGTCACCATCCGAAGACATATTATGTGTACAATGCTGTGACCAAGCAACGGTATCAACTCCCACAACCTCAGCAATTCTATAAGACTTTGTGCATGGCGTTGACTGTTGAGGAATATCTTGATGGTGACCCATGTTACAAGGTGATCCGTGCAAGATGTGAATGCAAGCTTAAGGAACGCAACACTGTCTCAATTGAGACTTTCTCATCAAAAACTGGAACATGGAAGCAATCCACTCTGATGTGCTCTACGTCTTTTGCATTGCGCCCAAGGACAGCAGCTACGGTGGTTGATGGGGTTGTACACTGGTTTGCAATGTGGGGAAAACTTGCAATTTATGATCCTCGTCTCGGAGACAGGTGCATAGCTTTAATTAAACTACCAGCAGGTGTTTTATCACATGAGCACGAGGAATCTGTTCTTGGGGAGTCGTCTGATGGGCTTTTGCAGTATGGTCAGAGCAATAACTTGGGTCTGGAGATATGGATACTTGAGAAGGAAGCTGGAGCCAACCCCTCCATTTACTGCAACTGTACTCATCTGAAGTACAAATGGATTCTAAGGTGGAGATTAAATTTTAGAATGTTATGGAAGCAGATACCATCTTTAAGCACTCATTCTAAAGAAACCCAAATATTGTCATTTCTTCCTCAGAATTCTAAATCTGTCTTCATTAGGTCAGGGTGGAACATTTTTCTGTGTGATCTGGGGACCGAAATGGTGGAAATTGTTAATTATCAGGGTCGAGGAGCCTCCATTTCATGGGAATCTAGCAAAGTAGTTCCTTACTTTCTACCTGCATGGCCACACTCTTCCTCTGTGTCATGACAACATGACATGATTTCTGATAAAAGGAAAAACCTGTCGTTTTTTAGGCTAGATGCAACTGAAAATTTCGATTTTGTTAGTGATGTGGATATAATGAAATTCAAGGTTTTACCTTCTTTGTTCTGTTTGGAAGTCTAGTTTTAGTGTAGGACCTTCATTTCTCTTGTAGATTCAATGGTGTATATGCTGAGAGGTTGCCGTTTAATCCGAAGACTTAAAAAAGTATTAGAGCATGTTTGATTTATATTTTAAAAATAGTTTTCTGTTTTTAAAAATAAAAATATTAGATTTTAGAAACAGTTCCTTACTCTTCTGATCGCTGTTCTCCCTAGTCTTCTTTGCATGGAAGAATTGCCGCTTGAAACAGTCACGACAACCTGCATGCAAGGGTTTTAACGATGAAGACGAAAGTTTTTTTTTTTTTCCTTCTTTTTGGTTTGGTTATGTTTTTAAAGTAGAATTGGTTATTTGAATATAGTTTTATTTGGTAATTGCAGCTGTCTATATGAATTTCATACGTTGAAAACCGATATCCTTCACTAACAGTAAAACACGTTCGATCTGTTCCAGGTTGTACTTTCGTTTCTACTACGAGTAGCAGTAGAACGCTTTCAACTTGGCAATGTCAATAAAGCAAGACCAGTTGAGTGCGGACAGTGCTTTTTCAGAATTTAAAAATTATATTAAAAAAATTGACATAATATAATATTATATATCTTACTTATTAATATCATATAATATCATTATGTTCATTTCTGAACAAAAAAAATTATATATATATATATATAAACTTTATCTTATCTCAATGATAATTGTTTTTTGTTTATAAGAGAAAGATGAATTTTATAAATAAATGAATATTTGTGGAGTGGGTATTATGAATATCACACTTTTTAAACCCAGATAATAATACAATATTATCTGGATGGATTGGATAGTCAGTGAATGGATCGATTGACTTTGTCATTTTTAAATATTTGTGCTCACTTCACTTGAATGTCCAATGTCCAATTTATTTAAAAATTATATTAGCAAATATCATTTTTTAATTAAATAGATTTGTCATTAAAATTACGTTTTTGTATAGTTTCTTTAATTAGATTCATTTGACAATAGCACTTTTTCTGTTAATTTAAAAATAGTATCCTTTACACATTTTATATCTTTTTTAATTTGAATTTTGCCCTGGTAACGCACACGAGTTACGCTAGGTAACAAATACATCACCAAGGCATCTATGACACCATCACAATCTGAATGTAATCAATGGACAGGTGGAAGCTTCCAACCGAGAAATAGCACACTTATAGCATTATTTGAAGGGCCTAATTCCATATAGGGATGAACAAGATATCGGGGGAAGTAACTATATAATATTGTATTATTAGAATATATCAAAATCCATTTCATAGGTTAACTAGAACTGGAAAGCAATGAAACAAAATAAAAAATGCAAATGAAAAAATCTAGAAAGTCCAGATAAATAATGTATTTTATTGACACGTTGTGGACCATGAGCAATCATCATACGTTCCTGTATTTTGGTGAAATTCCTATGCTTCTAGGTACAAAATCTTAACCTAAATAAAACAAAGGAGCTAACGAATGACAAACCCAGATTGAAAGCTGATGGGGAAATTTTCATTAAAAAAAAAAAAGGATTTACATGTTTTTACACCCACCCAAAAGCCAGTTGCGCACCTGCACTATGTCATCCCTTTTTTAAATTACTAAGGAATGAATTTCGTATGTCAAATACAATCTTCTATCCGATGTATGTGACCAAAACAGACAAAATCTAACTGAATATGACTTGAATCTCGACAAAGGTAAGAGCACCAGTCAGTCAATTCTGTAACGAAAGTTGTCAGTCTGGGCACGGCAACAAGAAACTAAAGCCAGAGTTATCACGAATTAGTAGTGGAGGCTCTATATCAGAGATATCTATTTGTTCCTTTGATTTCGATATGTCATCAGCAGAAAAAGGAATGCTGAAAAGTAGATGCTTCCAAATGGTTAATGACAAATACAGAAAAGGACATGTCCACAACTATAAATCTGTAGAATATAGAATATTGGTCTAATTCTACCATATCCCCCAAGTCTTTGGCTCGAAATACCGCTATGGCTTCATTCGAATCAATGGGTAACCATTAAGTACACAGAAACATAGTAATTTAGTGTCTACCAGGTGAATTTTATGTACTGGGAGGGAAATGGACATGACGATAAAACTGAAGGCACCAACTTCTTGCTTACTCGATTACTTCTGAAAGTAATCAATCACCAACAACGGCCTAGCAGTTCATAACTGAGTAGAACTGAACTCAGCGAGCACACTGCGTTGCTCTTGCCAAGCTCAGCATTTGGAGGTGCACAAGACTTTCAGTTCTCGGATTTATTTTGTATTTGGTCATGGCTTTAGAGTTTAATCTAATTACTAAGAATTATTTGGTCATGGAACTAATTAAATATGAGTCAAATAAAACAACAACGAGCGTTTGAAAAACAAGATGAAAACGGCTTTCATGAACAATATCCGGCTTACCTTGAATCATCATCCAACAGGAAAGAATTACTGACTGCACTATTTGAATCTTCAGTCATCAACACTCTCATATTGGATATGACCTGGATTAAAACATTGATATCAAAGCTCAACATAGTTTTTCTGCACGTCTTCGATATCAAGTTATCATATCTTTTTGGTATAGATGACTTTAAAGCTAGTTTGGGTGATAGTTTATTATAAAACTTACATCAGGAGAAACGCTGTGTGTGCCATACTTGTCATCCCAGTACATGGTGCTGATCCGATATAGCTGTTGTATACTGAGGACCTGTGAATAGGGTGAACTGACTATGGTAGGTATTCGGGAAAGTGAACTTTTAAGCAGAAAGTAAAAGATCGCTTTCACTTACTGGGCACAGGTCATGACTTATTTCATCCAGTGTTTTCTTTGGTTTTTGATGTACGACCTAAATTAAGGGCAGGGAAGATCAAATTTTAATATTTTACTATCTGACCATTAGAACAAGTACCATGCAGATGGTATATAGGCTAGATAAATAGATTGATAGATACCAAAAATCCAATAGCCTGTCTAATATGTTTGAGCTCATCCCAGGCAGAACCTGCATACTGCATTTTTTTCCCATGAGAGAACGGAGAGGGGTGGGGTTAGTATTTATACCTCACTAAAAGAACTGCGAAGTATTACAGCAGTGTGAAGTAATGCACCTCATCCGTGGCCATAAAACACCAATGCTCCAATTCAGCCAAACCAGCTTTCACATATTCCCCATTACTAAATGAGCAGCATTCCCGTCTTAAAAGTAGACTGCAAGAAAAATGAAGATGTAACTATAAAATGAAAATTCTGGTTTCCAGAATTATTAGAAAACAACCCCAAAACAATGGAAAGTAGAACAAACTAACCTATTGAAAAGTTGGACATTAATGAAAGAAAAAATTTGACTGAACACCTTACGGACCAAAAATGGGGGAACCTGCCAAAATGAAGCAGAAAGAGGATTGAGCAGAACAAACATATTTCACTCCAACAAATACTTAAACGTGCCCGAGGTTTAACCAAATCATGTGGACTTTCTCTATTTACATTAGTCTACGTATTTTAATTATTAACATAAAGCAACGTTTTATTATAGTTGACATAAGAAAGATATTATGTCTAACTTTAGAGACACTTCAAGAGAAGCTTGCGATTTCATCATGATCATGTATATAATATAATATAATATGACAGATTCAAATAATTTTGTGAAGAAACAGAAAGCATTGCTGGCGAAAATTGCTATAAGAAAGCACCAAGAAAAAAAGAACAAATGAATCAATGTTAAGTCAAAAGAGGTTGTACTAACATGGTTTGCTTGCAAAGTTTTTAAGAAGTTCCCAAGGCTCTTAACTATCCCCTGCCAGTGTGCAATTAAAGCTTTCTGCGCTTCCGAGTTTGCAACTGAACGTGATGATCCCTTAACCAAGCTCGCTCTGGATGTTCGGGGTGCCTATTTCATCATGTTCAAGCAGTGCAAATCGGAGAATTTAAAAGGCAAGGTAGCAAAGGAAAAGCTTCACAAATTTATGAAGGCATGCATGGTAGATCAGCACATAGACGTTTGCTAGAATGTAATGAAAGAAACTGTTATACCTGGATGCATAATCCAAGCAAGGGAGAAATTTCTTTCTTCAAGTTATCTCGAATCATTCCATAAATCTTTTCCACATAAGCTGTAAGCTGCTGTTTGAAAAGCAGAGCTGGGTATTTGGCATCAATTTGTCTTAATGTATCCACTCCGCCACTCAAGCTACCATTAATTCGGGAAAGATTGACTCCCGCTGGAGCACCACGGAAACTCTGAAACGACAGTATACGAGAAAGACTAAAGTCATCTGAAGAAGGAAAGTTTCTCAATGTGAAACAATCTGTTCAAATAAGAAGTAATATTTACATGTGACATCCTCCCAAATAGGGTTCCTGAAGAAGAACGACGGCGTAGAGGAGCCATTCCAGCAGCACTACTTGCCTTAAGTGTGCGCTGGAGTAACAAGAGAAGTGTAGAGGCATTGGATAACCAATACGCCAACACATCGTTGTTATCCTGGGTCTGAGGTCCAAACAAAATATATATTAGAGAAAAAAATATGCTAAGCAAGGAAAACAGGAAGAGCAAACAATCACGTGACAGTTTTGCATTTTAAACCTCAATTGCATGGCCCATTGTTTGGATTATACGATCGAAAACGCTAGTACGATCAACTTCAAATGATCTCCATTGCAAGAGGCATTTATATGTAATACAGGCAGCAATTGGTCTATTCCCAACAAAGCCTAGGTGTTGTGCAATACATCTAATGAGTAACTCTTGGTTCTCCTGTTGTTTCTCATTTAGTGACTTCTGGGGTTTATCTTCCACTTCAGAGGATTCCCTGTGATTCATTGATGGGCTATGCATATCCTGATTAGTTTATCAAGTAAAAAAGAAAACAAATCAAATCCAAGAGGACATACCCAAACAAATAACAAAGATTTAAAATAAGTTCAGTTACCAAAGTTGTCTTTGCTTCCACTGCAATATGTCCACTGTCCACTCTCTATCAACATAGATAAGAAAAACTTTTAAACCATCTCTACTTTCATTTTATCATCAGGTGTACAAGATCCATTCCAAGGGAGTACCTGAATAATT